TCTGACGAACTGCCGCGGCGGGATCGCGGCGCCGTCTAGGTTCGCCGTGCTCTCCGCGATCGTCTGGTAGATGTCGTCGATCTGCCGCTGCATCGTGTTTATCCGATTGATCGTGTTCGTGTCGCGCTCGAAGCTGCCGATCGCCGCCTCGTCGCCGTCGCCGGCCGCGTCCTTCTCGCCGTTGACGTCGTAGACCGGCGGCGGCCATACCATCGAGCCGGACCTCGCGAAATTGTTCACCGCTGGCCGCGCGCGATGCCCGACGCTCTCGTTCGCTTCGTACTGCTGCTTGATGCCCGTCACCGAGGGTCGCCGGTTGAAGCCGTAGTCGTTCAGCTCGTCGTCTTCGTCGTCCTCTTCCGCCCCGTCGGTGTTCACCGACTTGTCCTCGGTGTGGTAGCCGTTGATGAAGGAGTGACGCTCCTCCGCGTCGTTGTAGCGTCGCTTGATCCGCTCCATCCTCGGCTTGTCCTGCTCGACGAAGGCGAGCAGCTCGTCGGCGCTGTTGTCGCCGATGTCGGGCCTGCTGCCGACCGGCGTGCACTTGGTCACGTCCGGCTGGCCGGCGTACTTCCCGTCCTCGCCGTTCAGCACGGCCTCGATGTCCTCCAAGCTGTAGGACGAGTCCGAGTTGTAGCCGATCGACTCGCGACTCGCCAGTATCCTCGGCGGCTCGCCGCGGTAGTAGTCGTCCTGGTTGTCGGCGCTGCTGATGGCGACACACGAGAGCGGCGCGAGGCTGGCCAACAGTTGCCTCCGCACGTCCGAGTTCATCTTGGACAGCGGGTTCTTCGACTGGCACTCCTTCGCCAGCAGGTTCCTGCCGCCGATCCCGAGATCCGGCAGATTCTTCTTGTGCGCGAACAGGTCGGTGATTTTCCTGTAGGTCGACTGATTCGGCGGATTGTCCGTCACCGTCGCGCTCGCCGCGGTGGTGGTCGCCGCGGTGGTGGTCGCCGCCGTCAGGGAGCCCGATCGCGTCGACACCATCGTCAGGGTGGCAGTGGTTTCCGTCGGGGCCGCCGACGGCAGCTCGCTCATAGGCCGTTCCTCGCCCAACGGCGACGTGCGTATCGGCAGGTCCGCGCCGGCGTTGTCCGAGCTGTCGGTCGTGTCCACGCCCTCCTCCTCTTGGTCGACGCACGTTAACTGCCTGATGCGCTCCTCCAGCGACAGATTCTTCGGCCGCGCGCTCTTCGCCTTGCGCGAGATCGTGCTGTACTTGCCGATCAGGCTGCGCCGCAGCGTGTTGCGCTCGATCGACCGCTTGATCGAGCCGGACTCGCACTCCGGCGACTCGTACGAGCCGCCCGGGGTCTTCTTCACCGCCTCGAACAGCCGTAAACTCTCGGCGGTGATGAGGAATTTCTGCGCCTCGTCCTGGCTGTGCGGCGCCGGCGGCGGCGAGATGAACTTCGGGTTGGGAAAGAGCTGTCTCACCGCGGAGTTCGGCTTCAAGCTGTTGCTGGCGAGGGACACGTTGCCGAGCTTGAACACGAGCGACAGCTCTTTCGCCTCCTGCTCGCCCGCCGTCGTTTGATCGCTCACGCGTTCCGCTTCTTCCGTCGGCTCTCTTTTGTCGCCGCCCGGATTTTTGGCCTCGCCGCCGTCACGATCCTCTCTGACGTCCACCGGCTCGTTGCACCGCACGCCGGCGCTCGACGCGTTCTCGTGAACGACCGTCGCCGGCTCGCTCGTCGGCGGACAAAGGGCCGGATTAAAACCGTTATCCTTCGGTACGGCGTCGCAGCTGTTCCTCTCCTTGTCCGTATCGGATCGCCCGCAGCAATCCTTCCGCTCCTCCTCGCTAATTTCCCGTACGATGCGCCGTTCCGTCACGGTCGTCATCGTTATTGTCTCCACGAGGTAGCGATGGTGCAGATCTGCGAAACAAAGATTACCGTACGCTTTGAGAGCCGGAAGGGGAGCCGGCGTAATCCGCCGAAGGTGTGATCGGACTTTCGAACATTCTCGCGGGGGACACCGGATCGCGCGATAAGTCGCCCTGAAGTTTCATAACATCCTACGGAAAGATCGCTAAAGTGAATTAAGCCGATGTTCGTAGACGGCCGGGGAGATAAATAAGGCCTCGTTACGCGCGGATAGTTTGCGCAAATAAGTTTTTGCGAGAGAGCACTTCGAGTTTTAAGTGGTTTGTTACGGGGAAAAAAAATGTACCGGGAAGAGACGCCCGGTGCTGCTGCTGCTGCTTATCCAATCTCTCTTGCAAGTTTCTTTGGCAACCGTCTTGCGCCGTGCTGCTATCTTTGCTATCCTGCGCTGCGTTCTGCTCATTTCCATGATCCTTCGCCTGGGATTCGCACTCTGAAACACAAGAGGAGAGGTTGAACTCTCGCGGTTCGCGTGTTTCTTACGACTTACGAGCGATTCGCCCGCTTTTGGCAGTAATATTAGCTCTCAAGTTACCGCCACGTTCTTTGGCCAACTTGGAAGCCAAATGTTGTCTCTTATACAGAATGTTTCGTAACGTATGGACATGACTTGAGAAATGAATTCAGGACACAAAAATAACACGAAAAGTTCAGACAAACACTTGTCCTACCTGACTTTGTTTTCCAGTTACAGACGTTGATAGTTATTTACATTAGGAGACACCTTGCCGATGACCTCCACTTTCATACATATTATCAAGTATATAACGTTGAATAACAATCAAAAAAGTTTTAAATATTCGAACGTATTAGAAGATAAATGATAATGACATTTAGAAGCCTGTCTTCACGCCCAAGATATGGTCACTTTGAGAACTTCCTTTTAAAGAAGGTTTGGTTTACTGAAGTGAAGACGCTACGCTAACTCGCTTTCTAACGAGAATTAATGAAAACGTCTGTAACTCGGAAACAAAGTCAGATGGGATAAATATTTATATGAACTTTTTACGTTGTTTTTGTGTCGCGAAGTCATTTCTAGAATTATGTACATGTTATGAAACACTCTCTATATATAGCCAAGTGTCGAATCAAGATATGTTGTTATTATTATTGTTGTTGTTGCGCGAAATACGACGTATCAGCTGAAAATCTATTTTTATCCTCCTCAATCGTGATTTGTATATGATACAAACTCTCGTCCAGATTAGGAAATCGTCAAGCGCGTGTGTTTATCACGAATGTCGAAGTAACGAGGTAATTCGAGACATATAACGCTACCCCACTCACTGATAATCTTCGGACAATACGTGATCTTCGCAGAATTCTTTACGCCGTAAGCCAGATCTGCCATGTCAACGATCATAAGAAACAGTATCGAAGTGTCCGACGAAGTCACCATTTCTGCACTGCAGTATCTCGTTAGAAGCTTAAAGCAGTAAGGTTAGAACTTTATCTGTTATCAGGTACGCTGATGTATCACGGCAACGTCTCGATAGAGATACGCGAGTGAGATATACAGGGTGTGCCGGTAAGTGTATTTTCTCACTCGGTCGTGTAACGCTTGAGAATTTCAATGAAGGCATTTTTCACTCGTAAAAAAATCACATTGTTCGCCTTCGCTCGACGATGGATATTTTCGGGATGTTATTCGTGCGGAAGCTTCAAATTAAAGTTCCCCGCCGCCGATGAATGGAAAATACACGGCCGCCCGATATCTCAACATACCACCGAAAGCGCTTACAAAGCCTATAAGTCAAAATGAATTTGGCGTGCCTGACCTAACGTAATATTGATCGCACCAAGTCTACACATACGTAAACATTTACGTTCGTTAGCAAGTAGGGCGATAAGCGATGCGATACGCTAATAATATCTGGGACGGTGATTCTGAAAGTTTTTTTTTCCCGATCGCCAAACTCCTGGCAAACGAATAAAGCTTTACGAGATTTTATCCGTAGAGAAATTTTCCCAGATTTTCCTATATACAACATACACAATGGAAACATTTTGTACTTGTGTCAAAGTCGGTCATTGTTAAAATTCTTATGTTAAATTTTTAATGTTACTCGTGTGTTAATTTAACATATTGTGTTTATGTTATCTTGACATTTTGCGTTATCGTGTTGATATTCAATATGTGTAAGTGTTAAAATAATACATTTTACACTTCAGTATCGAATAATGTATTAATTTAGTGTTAATTTCTGACATAATATTTGTGTTACTTTTCAACATATTTACTTTGTGTTTATTAATATAAAAATTTGAGTGAATCGTTTTGGAACATGTGAAGTGTGTTAAATGTAATACAAAATTTTTTTAATTGTGTAAATTCCGATCAAAATATCAAAAATTGTCCCAAAATAGGCTATGCATTGTGGCTTGTTTTGTGCCACGTCTGTCATCGCCAGAATCGAGTGATAATTTGATCGAATATTAGATTAGGAGATTAATAATAAACGAGGTTATATTTGTAATGTTACTAAGCTTATAATAGCCCGCACATATGTGTGATATGTATTGTATGTCAAATGTAAATATTGACAAATATTTACTAAAAATAGAAATATAATTAACTATGTACAATAAAATATTTTTTTGATAAACATTTACTTGTATGTGTGTAAAATAATTGCAACAAGTATTAAATTTTTAATATTGAGCATGTCAAGATTTATTTTTAGAAAATATTCACCGGCCAGAAGAATCGAAATTTAAGACCACTAAGTTTCTCCGATAGAAAAGAAGTATTGCATAATTCTGGTAAATATTCTATTAAATTCAGCACCATTTTACACTTATATTAAGCATTCATTTACAAATGAGAGTATTACTGCGTTTAATTAAATATTTATTATTAATTTTGTATAATAATTATAAGCTATTAAAATGTACTTAAACTGAAATAAAAATGCTATTTGATTCGAGAGGCTGGAAAATGGGTAATTACGTCTACTTGATTGCGACACATTTTTTTGTTCGCGCAAGAAATTTTCTATGCGGGTGGCGATACGTCGATTACTTGCGTTTCCCAGATCGTTCCGGAGCAAACAATTAACTCTTATTAAATTACACCGCATCTGAATTTCATTAAATCGCTATACTGTGGTACATCTGCTACGGAGACGGATAGAGAATCCGAAACGAGAAAAGAAATCTTTCGCGAGATTCTCGGGACGCCTCGCCAACAAAATTGCGAAGCATCTCGATGGAAAAATTCCCGCTCCGCGTGTGAATGTTATTGAAAGCCGAAGGGAGGCGAGTTCTGATCGTTTTCTCCTCGTTGGCACAGTACTCGCACCGACCGATGGCCATCGATATTAAATGTACTTTCAAAGTCGCGCCGTGTACATCGCGCTATTGACAGCTTGCATAACTTCTGCTGTTTCTAGCCTAGCGCACTCACTAATGATACGCTGACGTGTATTTTCCATTGTCGTGGCGTCGCGATATATCGTGTCGCGCGTCGCAGAAGGATTTAGCCGTGCCGTGTCTTGACTTAACGCGAATGGAAGCATATTTTTATATTCCGCCACGCCGCGCGAGAACGTCGCGTTTTCAGAGTTACGCACAAACCCGAGAAACACGGTTTTACACACAGTTTCACTTCGGGCTCCACAAGTGAGCAAAAGTGAACTCGGATTTCACCGCGGGAAAATGGCTCGAGCGAGAAGTACTCGGTGTACTCCGAGCCACTTTTGTTCAAAATGCGTTTGAAAACACGCACGAGAATGTTGATGACATTGTACATTTTATAATACGCTTTCTGAAATGTTGTATCTCTTAACCAACGGCTCCCCTTACGATGTTGAGAACGCGTAGCGAACGGTTAACAGTTAACACGCGAAAATACATACGCGCTCGTCTTTTATTTATTTTTCTCATACCGCACCGCAACCTGTTGCAAATTTGAAATACGCGAAGAATGAAATGCCGACTCCGCCGATTCTTACGACAAGGCCCTGTGATTCATTAAATTTGGTGTCCGCAATAAAATTTAACTCCGGCCTCCTGTGCGTATCTCCCGCATACACGCTGCGTATCGCACAATGTTCGTCCCTTATAAATGTTTGTCCTATGTTTTCGATCATTCCTATTGCACTTTTAAATTTTACAGGCAGTGTTTCTGTCTCGTTTTTTTTCATTCCTATACCGTTTACTTTTTTTCCCCGTCTTCCCACGAAACCCCGAAAATGGCGTGGACTTTCTCTTGAATTTGAGTCCAAGCGATGCTTCGTAGGAAAATTCAACTCTGGTATGGTGCACCGTTTCGTGGCGTAAAACACGAACCGTTTGGTTAGAAATATAAGTGTTCTTACCGAGTATCGGGGAAGTACCGGAGTTACGCTACGCCGCGCTTCCGGTGAACGTTGATACCGTGAACCTATACACCATATCTACATACATACGTTTTGCGACTGCGTCCATAAATCTAATCGAGGCCTCTAATAGATCAGTACGCGGATTACTATCTCTTATCGTTCTACTGAGGATATCGTTTGAATTACTTTTTTTCAAATTAAAATTGTGCCTGTTCGCAATATCGACAAATATTATATTTCAATTTTAAAATAACATTTATTATCTTTTTATGATTATTTTACACACACAAAGCGAATACTGAGATAAAATTGCAGAATAACGAAGAAATAACGAAATGAGATAAATTTTCGCTCATAAAGTTTTATTTTTACTCCATGAAACTATTTTTACTACGTGTCACGAATTTATGTACGGGACGTGTATTTCTAAAAAAAGAAACAGCTAGTGTTAACGAACTTCGATACATTTCGTGTGGAATTGACGGACGAATAATCATGAATATTTAAGGAACAGGGCCTCCCTTTGAAACATCTTTCTTGGTATTCTAAAGAATGCGCATAAACATCCTTCTGTGTTCTTAAACGGCTTACCAACCGTGGACTAGACTCATGAAAAACAATACCATTATTATATGCGCATCCTGTGTGAAGGGATATCGTGGGACTGTTCCTCAGTTATGTGTGAGAAAAGAGCCGAGCAACGATGCAATTCCTTTTAATTTGCACCTTTCTATTAAAGCTGATAGATTCAGCTCTCGATACGTAGCATCATTACTTTCATCATGCGTGCCGGTTATGGCGTAAAACATACGGATCATTAGCATATTGTTCTCGATTATTGAATTGCAGCACAATAAGCGCAATATGTTATAGCTTTCGATGTTATTTCCCCATAAACGCCTTTTAGCGTTCTTCCGACTTCATAAAAGAATACGATAATCATTGTTCTCCTGGTGATTCTTTCAAGAGAGCACATATATATATATATATATTCGCGGCTTATTGGAGGTCGATTTTTTAATGTTTCCTCGGATTATTTGCAAATTATCAGGTATTAATTCACACTCGTTGTTCGATAATACGTTTTTTCCAGATAAATTAAGTATACGCGATAATTGGAGTACGATATTTCCAGAAAAATTGTATAAATATTACAGCCATGGGCGAATACACAATGAACATAAACTAATATGAGAATATTCAACAAATATTCGTGATGAATAAAAAGAACTGTTGTATTTAAAACTGCGAGATGTTGATATGATTTTACGGGAAAACGTAATTTTTAACTTTGCTTGAAAAAATGGAACGATAAAGTATGAAAATGGCGGGACATACTTTTATATGTAAAAAATTTTCAAACGAAATGAATTTTAATTGAAATGAATTTTGGATCTCAATGGAAATAACTTGAAAAATGTTTGGTTTTGCAACTTACACATACGCGCGCGCGCACGAATCGTATACAACAATTATCGATTTTATAAGCGTTAATTTTTCCCAATTTCGCTTTAATTTCGTCTCATTAGTCTTCAGACCCTGAATGCACCTTTAAGTCCTACATGTACTACGATATACCACGTATACTTATTACATAGGGGTTCCACATTCTCCGGCTGATGATGCTTCAGTGGTCTAACGTATAACACCGCACTATTCAATATATTTCGAACGAAAGACGCTCGTACTGTATTATTGTATGTTTTTACTTTTAACTTTGTTGTTTTTTTATTTTTAACTTTATAATTCGCTTTTATTGTATTTATTTAGTTTGACTTTCGAGTTAGCGTCGCGTCTTTCATGGATTTTCCCGAAGTTTTCGCGAACATCTCAGCAGCTCACTTCTTCAGGGTGAGATGCGACCCATTTTATTTCACTTATTTTACGTTAAGCAAAATATTCCGAGGGAATATTTGGATGGAATTATTTATAACATTGTGAATCCGAGTAAGACAAAGCGCGGTCTTACACCAATCCCGTTTCAATTCAGCAGCGGAAAGGTTTAATGTTCCTTACGAATTAAGCGAATATTTTACACGGTTGTTACACGGTAATAACAGACGTAGATTCTCTCTCTACTTTTCTGATGAACGAAGCGGCGCGTATTAGAAGTTTTCCGGACGTGGAACTTTTTCAAGCGCGTGTTACGACGTGTAACGTCGCGTTAAGCTCCGCGTTACACGACCACTTGCTATAGAAAGCAGCGCAAAACTTCTTTCTTCTTTTATAACAAAGAAACATTTGTCCGCTCGGGATTGCTCCCGCTGCTTTGGACTTAATAGTCGGATACTTCGCATATTTTATACTTCGACCGTTCTCAACAACGATGACGGCGACGACGACTGATTTGAAGTTGCAATTTTCTGGCGTTAAGTTAGTCCGTTACACCTGTTGTCTCGGTGTATCTGTCGATATGAACAACGAAAAGATACCACGTTCCGTTTTACGTACCGAGAAACCGAAGAAAGCGTACACTCGGAGAAATGACTTGATAATAGCAGCTAAATCTCATTAGCCAGTTCGAACTTTGCTGCCATTGCTAAAGGTTGGCCATTAGAGTGTTATTAGAGAGGTAAAGTGCATTTATTGCGACATACAACTTTATTTAAAAAAATTATTAGCATGAGTCACTAACATTAGTTAGCCGTTATTCTTGTATCGTAGACAATACGAAACATGTTTATATCAATCGATAAGCAATGTCAAGTATCTAAGTGATTCATTCACGATCCAGAGATCTCGAGTTCGAGTCTATCAGTACTTAAGCGTGTCTTTTAGATACGATGTAGCGTGAAATCAAATAAATGGCAAAATTTCGGGAAAAATCAACATACGCTAACACCTTGAAGACAACTTCTGTTAGAAAAAAAATTAATTTCTAGTCGAGAACGCGAATGTGATTTTAGTATGCGCGATCTAGCTAATATCTTTCGCGATGATAAATTTAGCTACGACGATCATCATCTGTCTCTACCTCGTTAGATTTTCAGCTCCTATTCTTCCTCCGCGTGTACGCCGCGTCGCCGAGAGAACGATCTACAGTACGGTACAAGAGCTCACCCGCTGCCTGTTGCTGGTAGTAATTGCACTCGGTGCACGCGGCCGGCGCACGACGTTGCTCCGGCTCGTCCGGGATCTCGTTGTTCGAGCACACGTCTTTGTAACCCTCCGGCGGGCTGAGCGTTTCCTGCTGCTCGTGCCGCGGCGGCGGCGGCGGCGGTGGCGGAACCACGGTTCCGTTCTCCTCCTGGGAATCCTTCGGCCGGCGTCCTTTCGCCACGGCGTCCTCCGCGTCCTCCCGCTCGTTCGCGTCCTTCCCTTCCACCGACGTTGTCGTCGTCGTCGTCGCCGCCGCCGCCACCACCACCCTCTCTACCTTCCCGTTCTTCTCCTCGTCTTCTTCCTCGTCCTCCCGCTCCTCCTCCTCCTCCTCCCCGTCGTCGGCCTCCTCCTCGTCCTCCTCCTCCTCCTCCTCGTCTTCCTCGGAGCGCGAGTCCTCGCGACCCTGCTTGCCGCGGCCGGCGCGATGATCCCGCGCTGCGTTCTCACAGATCGTCTGTTCCACCCCCCTCGCCAGCTCGCCGCCGTACCTACCGTTGCCGATGCCGAAGTGCAGGTTCAATTCCGCCCGGCATTCCTTGCAATTGCCCAGCCGCATGAACTCGTGCTCCTGGTAGCAGCAGTCGCAGTCCTCCTCGTAATCGGCGCAGCACTCCTCCTTGATCAGTATTATGTAGTCCGCCGCGAAGAACTCGTTCAGCTTCTCGTTGATCACCACGCGGTGCTTCTGCGACTTGGCCTTCGTCTGACCCGGCTTCTTCAGCAGCGACTTGAGCGTCTTCGTCGCCGGCTCCGCCGGATGCTTGTTCCCGTGTTCCTTCATGATCGAGGCTTCTTTCCGGCTTTCCGTCTCTTTATCTCCTCTCTTCCCGTCTCATCAACCACAGCGACATGTCCTTTCAGCGGATACACTTCCCTACGGTCCCCGCAGGGTTCGCCCTGGGACAGCGCAATAAAGCGCTATTCTTTCTCCCTTCCCGTCCGTCCTCGCCGCCACCTGTGCGTACGGCTTCCTACCTGTCGTTCCCACGGCACTTTCTCGCCGCGGTATATATCCACCTGTCTATCGGCCGCGGTTATCGCAACCCCGTGGTAGCCTTCGCGCGGCCATCGCGCGTATCTCTCACGAACGACATCCCTCCCCCGGCGAGGCGGAGGGTGATCGATGAGCGACGCGGAAGTCACATGCTTCGACGACCTTCTCCGTCGCCGCGGTGCACGTGTTCCTTCGGCGAACGGCCACGCGTTGCGTGCGCGAGGAAGTCAATCCGGCGAAGGCCGTGCGCGTATCGATCGAGGCATGCTCGAGCTTTCCTTCATTTCGCGCGGATAATCGCGTCTCTCGCGATGGCGATGCTCCGGCGAGAGTCGATAATCGGAGCGCGAGAGGGAGGACGACCGCGGAGATTACCGATTATTACCTCGGCGATGCCTCAAGGTTACTATGAGAGGCGAGCTCCATTGAGAAGGCGAGAATTCACCTGGGCGAGCGACCCGGGCAGCGAGGACTCGCAAGCCGACGTTTCCGTCGCTCGATCCCCCTCTCACCGTTTCGCACCTTTCACAAGAACGAATTATAACGTGCGCGCTCTCGCGACGTCCCCGTTTATCGATTTCGCGCGACGAGAGACGCACGGCGACGCTCGCGGTCCGTCGCTGCCCGCGACTCCCGTTGCACTGGAGGCTCAGTCCGGTCGGCAGGAACGGGACGAGCGCGCTCCCATCGTCGTCGTCGCCGCGGCGAGAGAACCGGCGAACAACGGGAGGATCAATGAATACGCTCGTTCTGGCCGCGCACGACTACTGGCACGACTCCTCGCGAGCGACGTCCGTCAACGAGCGTGTCGTCGTCCGTGACGCGCCGACCGAGACTGCCGCCGCGCCACTGCCGCCCCACCGCCGTGCCGCGACTTTCCATTCCGGCGACGTCGTCGTCGTCGTTGGCTATCCCGCGTGAAATCCCCCGAGTGCTCCGCACGCTCGACGACGAAATGGGTCGAAACACCGGAGACTCCGGAGAGAAAGCCGCTAATGCTCCACCCGATTCGCTAATTTCGCGCCCGTCTCACGTATCTCGCGCTTGTCGTGTCTTTCTCTCTCTCTCTCTTCGACGCGCGATGAACGAACGACTGTTGTCTCTTTTGTTGAGAGGGGTAACAGCCGGAGACTTGGAATATTCGCGTCCTCGAGTTCGCGATCTTCGGGCGGTATGCGTTTTTGAAGAAATAAAAGGAAAATCGAAACCCTTCCTTCGCGAAATCGCTCCTCTCCCTACTCCAAGTCGAAATTTTCGCCCTATGTTATAAACCTTTGATTTTATAACACACAGCAGGAGTTAAAACAGCACCATGAGTTCGTAATTGTACCTGTACTTTGACGCTAGTGTCTCAAAATTCCGATTTAGTGTCAAAATAGTTTATTGTAGATGGCATTAAAATTCAATCTGTAGAATTAAAAATTCCAAAGAGAAGTTAAAAAGTATCGGTATCGTCAAAGTAGATTTTTATTAGTCTATAGACCAAGTAGGCGCAAATTATCCTAACAGCGTGAAAATAGCGTCAAAATTTTAACTCGGACTGAAACTTTGGTCTCACGTTTGTCCTTAATCAACGATAGATATAATTGTCGCATGCCATTATGTGTGATTATTTTTATACAGAACGCTTGAACATAGGGATTTGAAAAAAAAAAGATTATTGCAAGTATCTGCATTACTGACTCTCTTTCTTTCTCTCTCTTTGTGGAACGGTTGTCCTCGAATACGCGCGTTCTTCCGTGCTTCAAGTACATTTCGTTGAATGAGGAATTTCTTACGTTTTCTCAGCTTACGATTTCGTAATCGTTGATAATAGGATACCGTGTTACATAACGATCCACGCTTTCAGGAAATCGTTTCTTGCAATTATTATACAGTCGTGAATAATTATGCATCGCGGTGCGCTCCCCACCGAAGTGATATTACCGCCGCTCACAAATTTTTCAACCATTACTCGATTTAACAATTATACCGCTTACCATCTCGCGTTTATGAAAGTGACGGAGTTATTACTATTTTCTCGCTTTTCCAGCGGACAAATGTGAAAAACGGCTGTAACAATTGCACGGATAAATTACAGAATATCCGTGTCAGCCTGTGAATTCTACATAAAAGATCCAGTACGCACGCTCCAATTAACTTAGTTTACGTTCCGCGGTCATCTCAATTGGATTATGTCATCCGACAGAGAGGGAGAAAAAGAGAGAGAGAGAGAGAGAGAGAATATACGTACGACGTGCGCGATATATGGGAGAGATCGTATTGGATTATATTATAGCATCATTCGAATTCATTGAACCGTACTCATGTGTCCGATAATAATATCAAAGCTGGTGCTCAACTATCTCTACGATCGCTGGAGAGATAATAAAACAAATAAAAATTTTGTAACAAATTTTAGAGGCTGCATTGTTGCGAAATTGGCGACAGTCGACTCATAAAATAGAGTATTGAAGCGTTGCGTTTACAACCTACATGGATATACAATGAATAATGCATACGTATATATGTGAAAGTAACAATTACCAAACCGTTTTAGCGATTATAATTACAAAATAGAGAAGGTCGTAACCACTTTGAAAAAGCAATTTATTAAAAAATTCACACTACCAATTTATTGTTAAAAACGTCTTACATATTAAATAGCTGAGAACTTTGCAGGTTTATTTTTCTTTTTCTTTTTTTTTTTACGGTACGGTGTAGTAACGAGTTTTCGCTTCCTGGAGTCGCAGAATACTTTTATGCGACTGTGAAACATTTCCTGCCCGATTGCGCGATTCGCCCTAAAAAATGTTACGAATTAACTTGCGTCTATTATAGCAACACACTGTCGGGGGACAACACGCATAAATCGGCGAATTATTATATTACAAATATCTTTATTTTTATAATTCTGGAATCAAAAGTCAGACTCAAATATCAGCGAATACAAAAGAGAAACGTTAATCATGGTAGAAATATACAAACGTTCTTCCCGGCTAATAATACACACACGCACATACGCACATACGCACGCACACACGCATCATGTAATATATTCTCATAAGAATTCTCTGGCACTTATCGAATTAATCATTTTTATCCTTCACTAATACTTGTATGCGTAAAATAATTTGTAACCTTGGTACAAATCGTGACCAATTAGCCCAATTAACTCGATTTCTCTTGGCTTTCTACAGCATGGTAAATTTCTTTCATTACATACGTACTATCAAGAGTTATCTGAACGTCAATTTTTTTAGCAGCAGAAACTATTAAGAAACGTATCAATTGGCTAATATATTTCCATTTCTTTATGAGCTTTACAAAAACGCATTAATACTTTCGATCTCTGTCAAAAATAACACTGTAAAGACACTGTGACAGATTGGTCAATAAAGTTAATGAAAAATGAAGTATAATAAAAGGAATATATTTATTTTGTACACGGACAAAATTTTCCTCAACAGGAGTCAGGAGTATTCGATATTTTCAACAATATATTCAGATCATCCCATTTTTCTCAATAGAGGAAGGCCTTGCATTATATATTGTTTCAATGTATATTATATAATTAAATGAAAATATTGTAAATTTTTGGAGTTGTTAATAGGATATGTAAGATCGCGAGTCTTAAATAACGTCTACTTTCATGTTTATAACATCTAATTAAAAAGTCTTTAATGTATTTTTATAGGTTATTTTGTTTCTTACCACACTCAGAATATTCTCATCATATATCCAAGAATATAATACACATTTTATAATAACTTATGAAAATAATCTTTACATAATAATCTATATAAGTTTTACGAATTCCATGAATGTATAAAACTACGAATTATGTTTCGCTAAATATTAATGATTAAAAGTAATAATGATGATAAAAAATAAGAGTAATGAAATAAAGCTCTTAACTAAAAAACAGAACTAAATTCTTTTTAATCGTTTTTTTTTTTTGAAGATATTTCTTCATAGCACATTAGCTAATAACCGTACTTTTATCATTTGTGTTCGATGAACTAGACAGTCATTGTCAGTACCTTTGAGTATAACCACTGCAAAAACTGAAATTGTGTTCTAATAAGATTACATATGTAACTAAATCGTACATATTACACGTATAAATCACTAATGAGATATTCAATTGCAACGTAAAAAAAAATATTAAACTAATAAAATATATTAACATAATTTGTTTTATATTGAGAATATATCGGTATGGCCATATCAATAGAAATAAAGACTGTTTCATATTCACAGGTTATCGCTATATGCACCGATGTTAGAAAATATTTATCATATACCTTAAAATTTAACAATTGTCACTATGAAATTTCTCGCATGCAGTGTGTATGAGAAAACTTACAGTCTTCATCACTGTAGGACTAACAGTTTTATAAAAAGGACCAAACACCTCCTACAAAATGGTACACCTTCTTCTCCTAACGGGTTCCGGAGGCTCGAGAGCCGCTAATATTGCTTCATCAAAGACATTCTTCAGTCCTTTCTGAAATATCAAGAAATGGTCAATAGTATATCATAATATGAATCATTTATCTTAGACATCTTTACATATGTCGTGTGAACATTTAACAATTATATTTACATATACATTTCTTGCTCTGCAGCAAATAAGATCAGATCACAGATTAGCATATATATATGCATGCATATATATATATATATGCTAATCTGTACAGCGTACTATACCTGTGTAAGAGCACTACATTCAACATATTTCACGGCTTTTAATTCTTTAGCAAGTTTCTCCCCTTGTTCGCCCGAAATCGCCTTTTGTTTGTTCTTTGCGAGTTTTTCAGTTGTCGCAGCATCGTCTCGTAAATCAATTTGCGTCCCGACCAACAAAAACGGCGTTTTCTGACAATGATGCGTTATTTCCGGCACCCACTAGTAATACATTAAAATATCAGACTATTAATCGGACTATTAATAATATTATCCTTACATTTCTGACCACGACAAAAAAAATGTAACAATGATATTCTTAATTCCGTCATACCTTTTCTTTAACATTCTCAAACGATGATGGTGACACAACTGAGAAGCATACAAGAAATACATCAGTTTGTGGATAACTTAACGGACGCAGACGATCGTAATCCTCTTGACCTGAAAATTTCATAATTCTTAAGTGAGTTTTTCTTAATATACACAATGTTACTCTCTGTTATTATTTAATAATTTAATATATGTTGAATTTATTTTATTGCAAATAATGTTATGCATTAATGACAATATTTACCTGCAGTATCAAATAATCCTAATGTGTATGGCTCACCACCAATCATGACAGTGACTGCATAATTATCAAATACTGTTGGAACATATTCGGATGGAAATTTGTTTGTGGTATATGAGATTAATAAGCAAGTTTTACCAACCGCTCCATCTCCCACTACAACACATTTTATTGTCTGCATTTTCGATATTGCCGAGTGTTGCCTGTAAAAAAGAAAGAGACAAAAATTACAGAAAGATATTCGGTGCCCATTAATGAACATTCTGCATAATAATACCACTAATATATTAACTCAGATAATATTTTCAATGATTTTTCATTTTATATTCCAATATAATTCTTATATAAACGTAATAAAATATTGTACAAGTGAAAGTAATAAATTTATCGTTTATAAAATAATTCTTATTTTTATAATAAGAATAATATTTCTTTATAAATCATAGATATCTCATAATCTCGTTAGGAACGATAAATATATTTTACAAATTCTTTATTAAAAACAAAAGACTTAAGGCTATTTGGTTTATGTTAGAATATCTAATGTATCTTTGAATCATATTTCTTTTTTTCCAGAGGCATACATATCATCCAAAAAACATAATGACATATTAGAAACATTAAGTGACGTATTAAAGATATATTACGACGTAATCATATTACATCATCATATTTGATAAATGATATTTCATCATGCTAAATAACCGATGAACCACATCGAATTACACAATATATCATGATATTGTTGTTTTAAAGTTTTCAACATTCACATATAATTATTCAACATTATGTAGCTTTTTAAACATGCCTTCCTAATGGTTTTCCTAAAATATTAATCTTTATATTGAAATTAAATTCATATATATAAATATAAAACATAGCGAATGGAGTTTAACATTAAAGCATCAATATAAATATCGAATGTGTGGAGTCTGAGAAAGATAAATCGAAAAATTCGATATATTAAGTTGTGACTTTAAGTATATAGTTATATACATTCTCCAGAATACAATGGCGATTATTGATACCGGCGAGCGCGAGTGTTTGCTCAAGTGAGCGAGGAATTTAATCAGGAACGCAACAGCCGGACCGAGCGGTGGTAGATTATTGCTTGCAAACCTCTTTCTCACGAGAATACCGCCGCAAATTACACTTGTACACCCGTCAAAGGGACGCAAAGAATCGGCGCGCGCGGAGAAGTTGATTGTTTCGCTGATTCGACAAATCACCGGAACACCCGGGTGTCTGTCTTTGTGCTTCGAGCTTTGCGTTTCGCGTCGAATCCACCGAGCGAAGAGCCGTTCAGCGATCGGTAAGCTCGCTGCAAAGTGGCACACAAGCACGCTGGAGAATTGTTTTTGGAGTCGCCATTTTGATCGTTTATGTCAAATACACCGCATCGTACGACGAAATTGCGCGATCCGTGACACCTCGCGACACCCGGGATACCGATTCTCTCGCGTTCTCGTCTATCAACGGCGAATTTCAGCGCAAACAAAGATAAAAATCTTAACTTAAACACTCACGCGCTCAACTGGGCGTCGACACTGGACAACGCTTTATCCTCACGGAGCTTTTGGTTTTCCTAGATGGACGTCACGCCGATAACGCGCCACACTTAAGGCTATCCTGCATAGATTCACACACGCATACACAGGACCGTTTCCATAGAAGTCAACACACTCGACATGCAGATAGCAGGGCTTGTTCCTTTCTGCTGCACCGCAGCAAGGAAACTTATCAAGGCATCTTTCATCGATTTTGTGGTATGTCCGGATATGATGTAATCTTAAAAACAAAAGATACGTCGTTTTTTTTTAATATGCTTTCTCATACGTTTAGAGATTAAGGCAATTTCTCGAAAGTAATATCAGCATACTGAAAAAATAATTTGTTAATAAATATGTTAGAAAGATACAAATCGCTGGACGATGTTCAGCGCACACAAAACATTTTACAACGGTAAATTTGTTTCCAACTATATATTTTATTATATACATTATATCCCAGCAAACACACAACGTAATATGTAATATATCTTTTAGTTGTAATTTCTTGTCCAACAATTTAACTAATATGTAACACGCGTTATATAATAATTACATTATCGAGTAAGAAATCACAACTGACAAGTATGTTATAATGTGTTTGCTGGGATGCATAGAAATTAAAGATTTTCTTGTGTCTTGATACATATAGGATGTTCAATAAACCATAACTTCCGCAAGAATAAAAATATTGTGGGTTTGAGGATCATTTTATAGCTTAAAGTCCTTAATTTACAAATATATAGTTATATAAAGTTCACTGCTTTTTTACCGTATTAGGCGAATATCCATCGTAGATTAAGGTCTATCAAATGCGAAAATCTTTGACAAAATTTATTGATTTGCACGATGTAAAGATAAAATTAAAAACAAGTAAAATTTATATGATTGAAAGTATGATACATGTGTAAATTAAAAAGATGCAGTGTAAATGCTCCATTACATGCGTCGTACAATGAATATTGCCGAATGTGTCGATTGGCTGTCGGATAGAGAATGTATAGGGTCCCTGACATTTTCTCTAGATATCCTAGAAATTCTCTATCTGAAAGTTCACTTTTCACGTTTCCGCCTTAGAGAAAAATTATACGATCGCTGCTCAATTCAGCTAAAAAGAACAGACCAATTGTTATGACTGACATCTGTTCTTCAAATCTGCACTGAGTTACACCATCTGTACAAAATGAGTACGCATTAAGAGCGTACCTAAACATTCGTAAATATTCAAAGTCAAGTATAACAATATATTATAACGAAATCGGAATGAAACTCGTATTTCGAATAACAACTTACTACTACAATAATATGTTATAAAACTTCTTCGATATTATTATATTTCAATATTGTGTATTGTGAAGTCTCAGTGATAATAGAAGACAGAATGCCCTTACCAGCTGCATTAGCTGCTCGCCTTGCAAAAAGAGGATTTATTTCTGGTTCTGAGAAACATGGTACGTTTAATTCTAAAAAACTATTTAGGCAATTACTATTTCTGAAAAATTTTATCACTTTCTGAGATGATTTACATCTACTTCTATGGAAGAAGATATTATGTTACTATCGTGTGTATTTTTTTTATGTTAAACCATCAATTTTGCAGAATCTGGAAAGAAGGAGGCAAAGAAGAAAGTGCATGAAGAAGTAATAGCCGAGGATTATGATAATGCAAAGGAAGAAATCAATCAGATTGACTTATCCCAAAAATTTATGGTACGTGGAATTATTAGAGGTTAAATAAGAACACTCCAGATGATTGTGCATCTCTAGATATATAAAGAACATTTAATATTTATATTCTTATATGTGTATGTGATAATATGTATTACATATTATTTTATTTAGGGTTACAGTGGATGTCCTAATAAATATAATATTTATCACGAATGTACAAAGAAATGTAAGGAATTATGGGGACTGGGACACGTACAACCTTCTGACAAATATTTGAAACAGCAAATGAAGCTACTCCAAAAGTATCCTTTACCTGAAACTTGGAAAGCTGTTTATGATCCTGGGTCGTGAGTATTTAATTAGAAATTTGCTAGCTGTGCACAGACATATCTATTTTATAATCATTTTTAGGATTATCACAGTAGTAACATATGTAAGAAAATTAATCTACGACTTGTTTACAGTGGGCAACATTATTATTGGGAATGGACATCTGACTTGGTATCTTGGTTACCACCAGGTCATCCGAAATTTCAAATGTCACAACCTGCATCACAATTACGAGAGGAATTGCATTTGAAGGCAGGCGATCAAGATGACAATATGTCCAGCGATGAGAGTTGCAGCGACCAAGATGCAATGGAAGTTAGTAATTCTGTAGATTTACAGCCTACATGTTACATAAGCATCATGAACGAAATTAAACAGATTCAACATGTAGGAATAACGTTTCTTCAGGTGGACGAGCCTGATTCTAAGAAAGATAAAAAGATCGAAAGCCGTGCAAGATACAAGGGACCGGATAGCAAAAGATCCCCGAGATCCGATAGAATAGACAGCAAAGATAAAAAAGACCGAACGTTAGATCCTATGGATCCAGCGTCGTATAGCGATATTCCTAGGTATATATTTCATAGAAACATGTATGATTATTATAAGTACATTATGTATAATTATATTATGATGTCACAGGGGGAAATGGTCGGACGGATTGGCTAGACACAACGAAGCAAAAACGGGTGCCGATACAACTGCTTCAGGACCTCTCTATCAAATGAGGCCGTACCCCAGCCCGGGCGCGGTACTTCGCTCAAACAGAGCCAACAAGGCGGAGTCAGAATCGTCAAATAAACCGAAAGTTGCATTTCCGGAGAAACCAGAATAAATACGCTAATAACGATAATAATGGGACTTCTATGTATTTTTTCCACACTCTGAAATTATTTGTTATGAACTGTATTAACATCTCCGTGGCCACTAATGTAGCACTATGTTTCGTGTACGAAGTAGTACACCAAGTGCAGTACTATATATCATACATACATACATCAATCAATGGCTGTGAATGTGTTAATTATTCATAAGGTTGTTATATTCACAAAAGCTGGTATACTATTTATTAACGATCAACAGCTTCGTGAGGCATTCCATCATGCAATATTACTTCGGCATGTCCCTTTTTGTATTTTCATCTACTTCATCGATCTCAAACAGTAACTATAACTGAATATACGAATCAGTTAAATAATTTGTTTTCCTTTTCCGCGAAACCTTGAAATTAAAGTATCATATTATCAACTTCCCGCTGATTATCCTAATTTCGCTTCAAGGCAAACTTTGTACGTGTAATCTATGTTCTGAATATTCCTGCCTCGGTTGCATTCAAAATGACTGAGGTTTATCGTCGAACGGATCTATTGGTAATATATTGTTGATAACCGGTTTACGAACAGTCTTGCAAAGTCTCACCTGTCACCTGTCCTTCCAACTGTTTTCTTCCGGCGATGTTAAAATAGTTCCCGAGGAAGGAGTTAATTCTTACGTAGGTAAACCAATTTGCCTTTTTCCGACGCAGTCCGTTAAAATGGAAACATTTTCCGACTGTGCTCGACTGGTTAAAGTAAACATCGATACATGCGCCGCGGGGATCGATAATCGGTACATCGGCGCGTGAACTTTCGTACCGTGTCTTTATCTAATTTTGTATCACTTGACTGTCGAAGAAGATAAAGCTCGCCGCGGTAAGCCGAGTGAGGAAGGAGTGAGGCGGACTAATCAACGGAATTTATCATAAATGCTGTTACCACGGCTCAGGCAGCAGTTTACCGTATTTCGTCTGAGCGGTTACGTCGGCTAATAAGATCCACTTCGATACATCGCGCGGCGGCGGCGGCATTCTCTAACGGATCCGCGCCAGGATTTACGAAAATGAGTGTCAGTATCGCGACGACGATACTCCTCATTTTTGCCATTGTACCTGCCTATGATAACGCGAATCTGGGATTCACGGAATTTACTACCGGTGAGTTGATTATGCGGCCGATGTTTACCGGCACAATTTATGTCGAATTAATGCCGATATTCATTCGATATCGATTCTATCCCATACACTTGATCCGACGTGAACGTTCTTAGGATATCTTTAGGACGTTCCTTGGAAGTCTGTGCTGCACGGGATGAAGCCCCGAAAAATTATTGGACGTCTTAGAATGGCTTTCCACCGAGCTCTGATTAATCTAATTGACGATTAGCTCGACGGAACTGAGCAATCGCATCGATCAATTCAGCTAATTGACATCGTCAATTACATTAATCAGAGTTTGGAAGAAAGTCTCTCTAAAGAATATCCGTCACTTGTATTGTCTCTGCGGATCCAATGTTATTTTTATTGGCATTTTACACAAATGAAGCAGAAGAGAAAGAAAAGAAGGACATATTCAGTATAAATATCAAGTAATAATAAAATTACATCAATATTATTCAATGATTTTCCACTCGACTGCGTAATTGTTACATACAATACGCGTCATATTGCATTTACATTGCTCGGGTGAGAAATTATGACGTTGATGTGATGTTACCATTACTTGGTGTTAATAGGGTGATAATTTTCAAAGGAATATAATTTTAATAATTTTACATGGACCTTGATAACAATAAAAAGAAGGAAAAGGGACAATGATGGAACGCTCGCGCTTCAGTTGTGTAAAGCTATGAAAGCTTTGTTGCGCGAGTATCCAAGTGCAAAGTGCCGAGATTCGACGGATAGCTCGTGCGTCGCTGTAATTCATGCGCATTCTAAAATCACTGCTATAAGTGCATTCTGTCGCCTCATCATAATCTTAGAACGCGTCTCGCGTCTCGCGTGCGATGTTACAACGAAGCGTGTCTTTTTAACGCTCGGCGCATTATTCTCAAGTAAAAATGAATTGCCGCCCATGAAGTGACGACGGAAGTAAAAGTGTTTTCAGTAATTAGCTCGTGTATGTGTCGCAAGAAATCATTTTTAATTTACGTTTACTTTTAATCTGTTAAAAAGTGTCAACAAGAAACTGTCCCAGCGAACTAACCGACTAACAATGACATAATATCAATGTTATAATTTCCACTCAACGATATTAATGCAAAAAAACGCGTGTGTTATGTAGTGGTTAAGCGAAAAATTGTAAAATTGATATTATGTTACTGTCAACTTGTGCTTATTAAGTTTATCATCGGCCACTTCGAAAGTATGTTCCTGCCGCATACCGTTGCAGTGTTATCGTAGTGTTATCGTCTAAATTGCACAAGTGTATACGTATATAGTTCGAATTTTGACGCTCACGAATTTCGTCAATAGGATGAAAATATCACGAAATGTAACGTCTAATATACTTCTCGAATCTTCGGGAGCTTTTTTTAATATGCTTCTCGAACGTTCTTCCATTACTCCCGTCGACGTTTGATCTCTTCCTCCATACAAAAGGAAGAACAATTCCGTTGGTGTGAACTGAACTTTCCCCCCGTTACTCGGGGATACCAGACGAAAATTCGGTTGTAAGAACGGAAAGATTCCCGTAGGAAGATTTTCCATTTGTAAATTGCTGCCAATTGTCTCAAGCGAGTTTCAACGCAGCTGTGAGTGTTTTCACACAAGTGCGGTCAGTCGCGGTAACGTCATTTCTTCACGGAAGAAAAGATCGGTTGAATTAACGCGACGATGAACGAAGAAGCGTTTGGTCGAAGAAGATCAAATTCGATTCCAGAACGAGATATTTTTAATCAAAACCGGCTTTGTTTCGTTCATTGATCCCGATATTCATAGTCAGATCTTATATTCAAGACCGTCTTAAGTTCATCTTCAAATGCTTACGGTTGGTTTCATTGGCTACGGGAGGTCCGGAAATCAATCTAAGACAATCTTAAGTACAAGATCTGAATACCGGTCATCGTTACGTTATTTTCAACTAAATTTTTTTCTCCGTGTTGTCACTGAATTTTCATCTAATCCCTGTTCGGTCGCGGCAGCAACTGGGTTTCTTTTCCCGCGTAACACAGAGGAACCTTGCTTACTCGATCCAGATGGGGACCAACGTGCAATTCTGACGAAGAGCAATGCCGACGTTCACGTGCCGAGCCGTCTCGCCAATGGTATGTCCGCGGAAGACGAGGTCTCGCCGCTGGAAGACGGCAAGGAGGAGTTGAACTGCACTCCGCACTCACTCAACGACTTCCCAAAGGACCTGTTTACCGGCGAGCAGCGAAAACAGGGCGCGGCGGTGCTGCACGCCTTTTTCGCCTTGTACTGTTTCCTGATGACCGCGTTTGTTTGCAACGATTACCTGCTGCCGTCGCTCGACTGCATTTGCACGCACATGAAGATCAGCAGCGACGTGGCGGGTGCGACCTTCCTCGCCGCGGCGAGCAGCTTCCCCGAGCTCTTCGTCAACGTGATCGGCACCTTCCTGACCGAGTCCGATCTCGGGGTCGGCACCGTAATGGGCAGCGCGGTCTTCGACACCTTCGCCACTCCGGCGTGCGGTGCGTTATCGGCCTTTCATGTAAGTACAATCCGAAACGCGCAATCGTGTACATCGGCGGATGTCGCCACGGATCGATGAGAATTCCGATACGAAAATCTCCGCTCGCTTATCACCAATCTATTCAATGGTCTATATATAGGCTAAGTTATCTTCGACTTCCGCTTGAGCGCTACGCATTTCGGAAAAGATAGGAAGTGAGAGAGAGAGAGAAACACGTTGGAAGGATGCATGCAAAGAACTCATTCCCGGTGCTGGTGTTCTCTTACGTAAACGATCTGTGGAATCCGTGGTATTTGGGTTTATATGATAACTGATTGCGAATACACACATGATATGTACGAGCGCGCGCTCCTCCGCGTAAACTACGACCCATATAGCGTTAGTGATCTCAACGCTGATCCGCGATCCTGATCGTTTCCTTTAATTAACAAAGTACCTGTCGTCTTTTGTGCGTCAACACGACAATGAGGCGTCGTCAATCAGTTTCATTCGGAACATCGCCGATAAGCAACCTTATCGAGACAATACGCGGTCTATTGACCTTTCAACAACAGACGTTTTGTAGGTCACAAGCGTTTTGTAGGTCATAAACTGCATCTTAGAAATTTGCATATCAAGTATCTTTTTATGTGGAATCGAATCTCATTTTTCATTTTCAAATCCGAATCGAATCGAATGAAGTCGAATCAAGTCAGGACATAACTTTTAATTAACAATCTGATCATTGAATTCAACGTAAAGATAATGAGGAAAGACTTCGGTAGAGAGGAGAGAGATTATCACCGATCTTGTCAAATTAATTAATTTTAAAGTAAGATATGTATATTTAAATATTTAGAGTAAAATTGATTAAACATATTTTACTTACACGGGATAACAGTAATTAAAACAGTCAGATGAAAGATAATAAATCAATTATTAAAATATTTTGAAGAGCGTTGATATTGTCGGCCGTTTACAATCAATGCAAAAATTAATGCTGAATGGTTTTAGAAATGCAGTTTCATAAAAATATATAATATACTGCGTATTGTAGGTACATACGCGCATCTACGAGACTTACATCGGAATAACTATAAATTGTAAAATTAATATTGCGATATTTTTTAATTATTCGAATCATAGGAATTCGAATCCGAATCAAATCGAATGAAATGAAATTCGATTCGATTCGAACTCGAATAATTCACACGTCTCTAATGCCTAATCCCTAAATAAAAGCTCTTCGTTCTGTACCTGCATATGTAATATTTTTTAGATACATACTTTTATTAATTCTTTTATGTGAAGCCGCGATTTGCTTTCTTTCGTGAATAACCTGTTATCGTTGACACTTAATACTTGAACTTTGAAATATCATTTTGGATATCAATTATCATTTTAGATTTTATTGTGCTTGATGTCGAGGCGGAAAATAATTTTTGCAACATTTAGATTAACAGTGTCTTTAAGAAGAAAATTTTCTTGGAAATAGGAATATCCTGAAGCATATATACAATTTCTTTCATTTTTCTATCGTGTGCGCGTGTTTAACGCGTTAATTGGAAATTGTATCGTTTATTGGCTTTTTAAAATCATACATTTATCTGATCTGATTATTTAATCACGTCTACCTGGACGTATCTAAATCGATTTTTGATAATTCTGAAGCGCAAAAAGTCAGGATATCGTTTTTACGTGTGCAGGAGTGATACCGTCGCTTAACATGCTGTCATCTCATATGAAGCAATCGCGGTAAGGAATTTCTTGTTATGTAATATGCTCAATTGAAGAATACGGCGACAGTTCAAAAGAAGAGAGAAATTGTAGTGCTAGAAAATTCCATGTAAATACCGCAACTCGAAAAATTTGTCAAAAGGTACAATGGCATTTAATTTTACTCGTTATTCCTGTTGAATCTCGCTGTACATTTAATATGATACAACGAAAGCATCGACCGTTCGCGTCATCATTTGAGAACCTTTGAATCGAGGAATCAAAAAATTATCTCACATTTTCCCGGTATCACGAATAATGTCGTATGATGTCTTTTCGAGACGCGATGATTTGCTTCCTTTATCATACTCAACTACTTGTCAGAATAAACACATCTAGATTGATGTGGCGGGTTTTTATCGCGATATGAACGCTTGAAATCCGGAATGCTAGAATCCATTTTAACCGACATCCACATTATACGGTGATTTTACGCTTATTAAATATTATACCTCATTCTGTCGCTAATTAAAACCTGATAAGATACTGACCTAGGTTCGTTCTGCGTGCGTGATAAGTTCCAGATTAGTACTTAAGTCGATATATTTTTGCGCTATTTGCACAAATTGTATCACTCTGTTATGAAGTAAATAACACGAAAAAAATCTCTATTATTATCTTTCTTATTATCGCATTTTCATATCATCGCGGATGATATCTCAGTTTTTCAGGAAGTCCGCGTATTTTTTATTTTCTCTCATGTTTCTATATTTAATTATAATATTATTATGAACTGGCCAGCTGTATGAACCCCGACAATTACTGACTGCGATTTTCAAACATATGCATCGCGTCTGAATACATAAGTAAGCAGTGGAAATCACAGTAACTCTAATGGCGATGCAGATGTCATGGCATACGTGCCGATCGATGCGTGTTTCGTGAATTTGAAAAAGAAACGTGTGGAGGATTATTATTCGTTAATTCTCTAATCGATTTTCCATTTATCTATTGATACATGCCGAGAGATAGCGAACTTTTGTGCACTGATTGCGCCACACAATTTTTACAAACGGTACGAAAATAACTATCTTCTTTATTCGTGTTTTCCTTAGCTATTCTTCTCCTTGTATCGAAGTGCAACGATAATATATCGTTCCACTTCACCACGAACAGTTTATCGTCCCATTAAGATTGTGTTTAAAGACCTAATTCCGCTTTTTATTGACGTCTCGCAAGAGACATAAGAGAAGAACGTTTCCGAAGAGAAGGAAACTCCTCTCTTACGAAGACCGCATAATCAATTTTGAGATAAACATTATTTGTATTTTTTATAGCTCGCCTCGAGCTCGCAATATTGCCGGAGCAAATAAAACTGTTGCTTTTTCATGTTCTCCAACAGGCGATACAATTAGAGTGGCGGATATTAACTCGAGATTGTATATTTAACGTGATATCAGTGGGCACTTTGGTGGTCATTATGTGGGACGGCTGGATCGATTTGTACGAGGCGATCGTCCTCGTAATATTGCTGATCGCTTATTTGACGATATTGTTTTGCGGCAAATACTTTGTGCGCTGGTACAATAAGTTCGTACACCTGTTCGCCGGCAGCACCGGCGGTACCGCCTTTTCCGGAGAAAAATGTAAGTGCTATCAACGAATTCTTGAAATACTCGTCTAATAATAATCTGTACGATATATCTTGTGCGATATGAAATATTCAAGCGAAACAGAGCAATGGCATAAATATTGTTTGAACTTGAAACCTAGAATACTAACCCTTTACAATAAGACTGTGCTTCTAACTCTACGTGCGGAGATGTGCAATGATTAAAAATGGGAAATTCAAAGACTTTTTAATGTATTTTTATAATATAAAACAAATTGGAAATTGATAAGAAACAGAGGAGAAAAAATTTGTAAAAAAATATCTAAAAATATCTTGGAAACTCGCGTTAATATTCTAAGGATTAACCTATATTTTAAAAAATTCACAGAAGAGGCAAATGTTGATTAGCGTAACTCATGTATGATTAGAGAAAAATAATAGAAGAAGAGCACCAAAACTGACATTCGTGTGGTAAACCGACATATTCATGTTCCACGGCCGTAAAGTACTGAACTCTGTCGGACAGAACATGAATTTCGTCTACAAGTGTAGAGTAGTTGGAGCTGAAGTGGCAATTTCTATTTGTAATCACGTTCGATTGTGTTACCAGCATTGTTTGATGTCTTCGTTATGCTGAAGTTTCTGTTAATCTATATTTTCGTGCGAAAACGAAAGTAAGAAATCAGCGGTAAATAAGTTACTTTCTAGAAGCGTCGATCCTTAAAGACAACTTAAAAAATAGTCGTTTGCAAGGAAATATATGTATAATAATTTTCATAAGATTATCTATTTTTGTAGAAAAGTGTTACTGGTTTGCATCCATACGTGTAAATTTTAATTTTATACTTTCCACAGAGCTTTAGAGTTTAAAGACAAAATGATATGCCGGTTTTGTTGCCTCTCCTCTTTTTACACACACACACACACACACGCGCGCGCGCGCGCGCGCGCGCACACACACACACACATGTATATATTAAATATAAATATATCTAATAATTTAATATGTGCAAATATACATAGAAAATAAACGATATGAAATCGTATGTGATATATCTTTTTAATTCGGTGAACGAATATCGAAATTCTCGTGCTTGCTTTCAAGTTCAAACAAGTTGCTCAAGTGTGACCGTCTGTAATCAGAAACTCGTCCATCTCCGCAGTATTGTTTACGTTGACACGCAAATACTTGTCGACAGGTGATGGCGTATTTCGGTATAACCGCGTATGCGTTCATCTAAGAGTCTAGGGAGATACGTGGACCGCCTAAGTATGAACTTTGCACTTTGTTATTCGACAGCTCCGAAGAACACAGAAGAGCCCATGATCGACGGTCTCTATAGACCGTATTTTCATGGCGAGCTCGTAGCGGAATACAGAAGGAAAAGCGTTACGAGCAACGGAGCTCGGAAGCCTTCCGCTGATCGCGGCGCGGAGGCGCAAAGTCACGTGGAAACGGCGGAGGAGTACGTCGAACCAGGTACGCGCGTACCGCGAGCGCGTAATCTGAATTGCGAGGACAAGCTCACTTAATAATATGAATACGTGTTACTATATTACGATAAGATAATCCCGATGTCAGCAGAATGGTAAATCGCTATGTCCTTCTGTGGACGCTCTCGTTTTTAGATACGCCCTTTGTGTGGCCGAGCGGCGGTACACTAGCCAAAATCTGGTTTTCGTTTGTATGGCCTTTAAAACTAATCTTGTTCGTTACCGTACCGGACAGCAGGTACAAACGATGGAAGAACTGGTACGTGGTAACGTTTATCATGTGCGTCTTATGGATCGCGGTCACCTCCTACCTGGTATCGTGGATGATGACCGTTCTCGGCGACACCATAGGAATCTCGGACTCCATAATGGGTCTCACGTTTCTGGCCGCCGGCGGCAATATGCCAGAACTCATTTCGATCGTGATACTTTCCAGGCAAGGTGAGCAAGCGGATGAAAAAAAAACAATCGGTTCCGGCACGGAAAGAAATGCTTTTATATTAATAGAATTTGATCAACAGCGTAGCAATTGGAGTAAATCTTCTCGATTCGGTAACAGTATTGTTGGAACTAATACCTGAGTGATCGATTAAACAAGGCAGGATGTATTAGTTTCGATAATATCGTTGTTGAATCGAAAAAAGATTTATTCCAATTGCAGCAATTATCGTCAATTCACACGGAAAAAAAGTGCTAAAATCAAATAAACGTAATTATCTGTTTTTCAGCGTCTTAAATCAATATTTCTTTTTATATCAATTTTCAAATATAATGTAGCAATAAATTGTCTAGTAAATTTGTTAAGGAATATTGAAGTATAAACATTTTACTTGAATCAAATAAATATTACTTGAACGGTTGAGCACTTTTTTTCAGTATATCGATACAGAAGCATTTTTTTCCACGAGTGCAATGAGACGCACTTCCTTAGATGATATATCGCTATCGTATTAGGGATCAAAAAGGAGAAATATGAAGTACATTTTCGTTGAAATTTCGATCGAAGGGAAAACCACTCGCCAAGGTAAGGTCGGAGAATTTATTGCATACAGATGTAGATCTCCGGTAAAGGCGAAAATTGTGATACATCTTCCGCGTACGAGCATGCTGCAAGGTGAAACTAATTACTTTTCAATTGTGTGTAATCGCAGGTAACGGAAACATGGCTATGAGCAACACGTTAGGTGCGAACACACTCGACATTTTAATGTGCCTTGGTGTGCCATGGTCCATAAAGACTATCATGACAGGGAAAAGCATTCACATCGTCTCAGGCGCACTTTCGTACAGTGTGCTCTCCATTATTGTGTGCGTGATTATTTTCTACGCAGTGCTCGCATTGTGCAAGTATCAATTAAATAAGAAAGTGGGCGTAATTTGTCTGATATTGTACACGATATTCCTCGTCTTCGCTATATTAGTCGAACTCAACGTTTTCTTCCGCGCGAACTTACCCATGTGCTAATTTCTGTTGCCGCGCTATTCAACGGTGAAGTATTCTCTCGTCGCTCCTTGCTTCCCTTTTTAACTGCCAGTCGATCTTTCTCGAGGCGAGGAAACCAATACGTCGAATCGACATCGCTTCCAATGGCCTCTCCTAGCGCGTTCAAAATAAGAGGAAATTGTTTTGCGATCGTGAGACTGAAAATTCTAAATCGAGGCACGAACAAAGCTCGTCGATCGGCACGAAGTTGTCGCGAAATTGCTATGCGTTTTGATCATCTCACATTCATATTGTTATATTCTATGTAAACTTTCGATCATGCATGCATGGAGGCAAGTAATTTGCTAGCGCAGCAAAATTTATGCTGACACAGCAAAATATATGCGGTAGCAAGGATGATTTCGCTACAACAGGAAAATTATTTTTTTTCCGTATACACACTGATACACTCGCGAGTAACGATCGGAAGCGCTATCACAGAATAAGTGTAATTCTCATTAAAGACTATTTATTGTTTTAGAGAAAAAATATTTTTATTATATCTTCCATCTTGCGTTTCTCTTTGAGCTCTGTGCAGAAAATTGTACCATACAAAAAAATTAAGGCGCTCGGCCTCATAAATCGGAAGCTGTTATCAGTTATCACGTAATTAAGAAGCGTTCCTATTAAGTACATTCGAGGCTTAATGGGATATTCCAGTGCGAAATCGTTTGGTTGGAGGATTAATCTTTTTGCTTTTTTGGCTCAAAAGATTCAATACTCTAGAAGCGAATTTATAGCTCTTTTATTATAAAAATTATTATATAATTTATACACTAGATGTTATAATGCCGTAAATCGTGAAGACGCAAAAGTGTTCTTGAAGTGTCTATTATTGGGATGGGCGAACCAATCGCGACCTACCGATCATCCGCACCTTCCTTCGTGCAACATTCAATCGCGTTCGTCGAAAAAAGCGTATAATATATATATATATATATATTTATATATATATTAGATATTTAGTTTAATTCGCATATATAGTACTATTATAAAGAAACGCGTGACTCTTTTGTGGCGAAGTACGTAGTCTCGAAGGGGAGAGGCGTGCCGCTGCCGGAAACATTGCAAACGAAATGTAGATCTCGATATCGTATAAAGATTGCCCATCCCAAAAATTCTTAAAGTACTATAGTATAAATCGGCCTCGACCGGCCACCTTTATATTTACAAGCGGACGGCATGACATTTTTCATTTGATGTCGATTCCCTCCCGCGTTTTGCGAGCACGAAGCGATCGATTTACACCGAACTGTGCGAACCAGTGATTCTTGTCAGTTTTTTAAATATTCACACACGAAAGATATAAAGAGAGAGAGAGAGAGAGAGAGAGTTCGCCTTAAAGTTCAGCTACATTTTTAAATATTCGTTTCCACCCATTACGTGTTTGTTTCTTTTCTCTTTTTTTTTTAACATGCGTACGTTACGCTTTGCGGTAACAATTATACGCGCATCGATTTTTTCGTTTTGTTCGATTCGGTGTTCTTGTAGAGAAAGAAAGAAGGAGAGAGGGAGAAAGAGAGAGAGAGAGAGATTACTGTGGTCGTGTGTTAAGTCGTAAATAGCGATACAACGATATAATCGTCGCGACGATGGCCTTCCTTATGGTCATTGAGGATATATTCAGCGATAATAATGAGATGTCCATCGCAACATTGGTCCCCTTAGTCATTCAGGATGTCGCCAGTGACCGTACGGATATCCCCCAATGATCATTGGGATATTACTCTTCAGCATCGAGAGAGAGAAAGAGAGAGAGGATGCCTTTAAGTTCGACGGGCGGACGCTTGCCCGCGGCCATCGCCCGAATCTGGCTCGTGCTCCTAAAACGCGGAAATGATCGGGCAAGATAGAATATATCATGACGACTTCGTTTTTTGCTCGGTACTCGATTAGAAGGACTTTGCGTGTCGGAAATATTTTTTTCTTTTTTCTCTCTTTTTTTTATTCTCGTCGACTCGGATATTGCTTTTCTATGGCGCTGTTTTACGTTGCCGTACTTCCTTCCTATCACATTAAGGATTAAGGTTGCCTATGCGGCGGCGGCGGTCAACGAGATCTATGTATTTACCTATTTACGAGAATAAACAGGCAGACAGTAAGTAAGTTAAATAAGTAAGCAAGTAAGGTAAGTAAGCAAGTAAGAGTAAGTAGGCGATGGAGGGTGTGCAATAGGCCACGGTGACGTGCTGCGTACGTGGTTTTCCTTGGACGTTCTTTCTTTTTTAAATAAATTGCATCACAGAATGTTAGAAATACGATATAAATACAGCGACTTATATAGACCCCGAAGAGCAACGTAAGCTTTGTTACGCGTTAAAGTATATTTTTATCCTTTATATCGCTCAACAGGATGATGGACCGTTGACATGTATGTTTCTTGTGGGTGAAATATAAAAGCTGAAGAACAAATGAAAGTAAAATTGGCCTAATCCCAACGTGAAACACCAATACGCTAATAATAACATTGCAACAATATTATAATTTTCCACTCAACAATGTAACTGTTGTACGTTATACAACCGTTATGCATGTTATATTCTTACTTTCTTTCCAGACAGCACAGAGATGAATAGAGGTTCATAGAGAATTCATTTTAAAGAATACGCAAGGAATTAAAAAAATGAATATCTGGAGGATTCTCGAAAAATGAACCACAATCAGTTCGTCTTGAAGTATTTCTCAGAAATTCATTGTAACGAATACTCCGCAAATCAGTGAATTTTGAATGTTCTGAGATTTATGGCCCGTGTCTTATTTCAATTGTCACGTAGCTTGATACGATCACGTCCATCCGAAATTGTGTTTGGCATCCTATTGTGGCCATACGAATCATGGTTGAAATGCACGCAAACGAATATAACGTAAAGTGGCAACGTAGAACCCGCGGGAACGCGTTGACCGATTCGACTTTGGAGATGCGAAATTATTCTCCGATGTGTCCGATTTCGCAATATAATTCGTCGCTCTCAACTTATTTCGGTAGTTATTAAGCGATATCGATTGTAATACACAATAAACGAACGGATATGCCAATTGAGAGACTACACTTACGATCAAAAGACCATCAAGAGACTTCCTTTAAAGTTTAGCGGCCTTCAATTTCACGTCGGTTCCTCTCGCTGTGTTCTTTTCTTCCCCCCTTCCCCCCACTGAAACTATACGCGAGCTGAGTTTCAGGCACGGGCTGAGTTTCAGGCACGCTTCAGGTATATGTCGTAATTCTCTCGATTAGTCCTAATGAAAAACCACCACCGACGATCCGATCGACTGTAGGCAACGGACGACGTCGACAACGGGGAGCAATTCCTCTGTACTTCGCCGTCGTGTTGTTCACTGCGGCTCGTAAATACTCGAAAATGTAAAAAACAATGAATGATATCAATCCGCCGTTGTTGGCGATCATCGCTCGACGTCCCTCTCCCCCCTCCGTAGAGATCGCTACATGTCGATTCATAAGCATTAAATGTCGCGCGAATTCTACGCTCGCGCGGTTTATTTACTGTGCGCGATAATTGTTGGTTTCTTTTTTAATACGCGTAGCGCGACTGAGACTCTCTCCTATAACGTTATCGCTCCCAATATTTACAGTGTGGACCTACATCGCTGTACCTATATATATATATATATATATATATATATATATAGGTATATGTATTTATAAATACATATATATATATGTATGTATTTATATACAACGTTTCGACGGACGCGATGTCGAGGTCTGGCTCGAAAAAAAATCGTATGCGCGATAAAAGCGTACTGGCAGCTTCCATATTATCCACTGTGTTTTTTTTTGTTTCCGAGTAAGACGCGCGTGCGCGCATTCCCGAGAAACCCGCGTTTATCTTCGATAATCCGGTTGACAAAATCGAGTATGGAATGCGATGATATCTCTGACAGAGCGAGAGAGAGAGAGAGAGAGAGAAAGAGAGATAGCGCGACGGAAATCTCCGCGCGCACGTAAAAACGAGCGAAACGCGCGTTTATGCGGAGGATGTCACGTGAAAAGTAACGCGCATTCGGCAAAAAGTGTCGCGGATGGAATATAATTCTGGCAAATAGCGCTTCTCGACGACGAACGAGGCTGCATATCACTGTCGGTTTACACCTGCTCTCTTCCACTCGCTCGATTTCGTTCGCCCTGACGCTAACCTTGGCGGAAAAGTCGTCCATGAGCTACGCAGCCGAGAAAAAGTACGTTGTTTTTCCTTTTCCAACGCTTACACGCACCCCCCGTGTGCGTGATCATTTCATCTCAAGTCACTTTTACACGCGCGAGAGATTCTCTCGCGAGCTACCGTTACTTGAGCAATGTTTCAAATGACCGGTAAAGCGGCGCTTAGTAAGTGAAGACGGTGCATCCCGCCGATGATGACTTTCCACCTTTTCTTCCGTTTTCTCTTTGTTTCTTCGTGCGTGATGGAACCGCGAGATAATTCGAATACGCGCGACGAAGGGAGCGCCTTCGCGCGAAATTGTAATTGTAAGTTACATCTCACTACCCCCTCCCCCTCAAAATAGTTTCTCTCTTCGGGATGCTATTTCAGCTGTACGGTAATAAAGCGAACAAAGCGGAAATCGTGGACGATGAACGAACGGTCATTTAACGAAACGGTCGTCTATTGAAGAGAAAGATACTTTTTACACATTGTGTCCGGTTGTTCGGAGATTCTTCGCTTGCTACGTGTGTATAATTCCATCGCATGCCCTTGTTTGGTAAATTACTGTCTGAGCTCGACCGAGCCGGCGATTGGAGATGCTTGACGCACGGCAACGTATTCCGGGGAAACATCAACGTGTGAAAATGTAAGGTGAATGTGAAACGCGCTGCGAAAGAGCGATCCGCAGAAATTAACGCGACGGATGAATGAATCGAATTTTGATTTAACATCAAGGCTCTCGCTCGTTCACCGACTCATTCTCCCCCGTCGTTTAGATTCGTCTCGACGGACTCGCTCATCGACATCATCGTGGCTCCTCCGGAAAGTGATTCTCGATTCTCGCTCGTGATTTACTCCCCCAGCCGGAAATGAGACGTGTGTGCGTGTCTCTGTGATAAATCCGCTGAAAGAATTTGAGCGCCTTGCGTTTCCTAATGTAAAATACCCTTCTCAATCTCCTCGAATAAACTGAATATCTAAAAGCTGATTGGATAAAAACGAGACGTAGAGACGACCTGGAGATGGGAATAGCGAGCGAAGTCGGCGGGCAAGATGCGAGAGAAGCGTGGAACCAAGCGGCAGCTGTTGGCGAAAGAAGTATGCGTGTAAAATCCGAATGTCGGAGTTAATGAGACGATGGTGTATCGTTAGGCGTGAAAACACCGGATGGGGTACTCGCAACGCAGCTGATAAATATCATCATCCTCCTCGACAAATCCTACGACCTATGACGTAATTTTTGTTTTAGGTAATAATAACAACGTGCTATAACCGTCCGAGTTGATTATCCACAAATCGCCCTCTTTACTCGACCAAAGTGGCAGAACGAGTGTATCTTGGTATTTTTTTTCGGTGGACACTCGAGATACTCCCAATTTCTTTCGCTATAAGTGTGTATGTGTGTGTGTAGGTGGACGTATGTTTGTACGTGTAGCAAATAGAATTATTAAGAATAATGAACACCTTGGAACCGCGAATGAAAACCTCGACGACGAATGCCTGCAGCCGAGAGATTTTACGGATGGTTCGCTTTTGGAGCAGTCATGTGTTTCTGTATGTATGTGTGTGTATGCTTTCGATAAAGCGCGATAATGCGATTCCGTTTAACGAGAGAGATAGATGGATAGAAAGAGAGAGAGAGAGCGAGAAAGAGAGAGAGAGAGAGATTCCGAAGTGCGAAATCGCCTTTGACTTCCCTAATCTACGAGTGTCCACGCGTGACGCGACGCGACGATGACATGCGAAAGAGTTGACGATTCGCGCGCGCGAAGTGTCACCCGCGGCTGTGCCTCGCCATCGGACATGTCGCAAACAGGTTGCCCGATGTACTCGTAATTAGTAAGTATTGTCATCGACTCGGATGTGTAATATGTACACTCGACGTACACCGCGACCAATCGGAGGGGGAGGCGAAGACGCGGGCGGGTCCGGTCGCGTCGGTCCTCGGGCTCGACACTACCGGAGCGAACAATGGACCGTCGTCGCGCTCTTCACTGTATCTCGCAGAATGGCATCTTATTGTTCACATCCTTGGTCTGCTCCTGATCCTGGCTGTTGCCGCCTTCGCTCTTCGGACTGCCAGCCTCCTCCAGGGAGCCCCCACCGCTGCCGTGGGGGCACATCGATTGTCATCTGAGCGCCAGGGTGGACACCATCGGCGGTCGGGACGGTTTGTTGTCAAGGATCCTCTCGATTTCGCTCATTATGCTCGCGTTCAATTTTGGGATAAGCTGAAAGCACACGTTTTCGTTTCACGCGCTGCTGCATTTTCCTCTTTCTCTCTACGGTACTTGATCCTCGATTAATAATACTCACCCAGACAGCACAATGTCTAAAGTCGAGATATAAGATGTCTAAAAGACATCTTAAGGATATCTTCAAGATGTCTTATATCCCGATTATGCTGTCTGGGTATGTAAGAATCGTATACATTCGGCCAGTACTGGAGACTGATTTTCAGCCTTTTACACATAACGTATAAGGCTAAAAAATCGCAATAATTTTAATTATAACGGTAGGGGGAAAGGTGGTTACAATTTTAATTTAATTTCGACCTTGTGTATAGGCGTAAAGAAATTGTGTAACATTAAAAAATGTCGATCTAAAGAATGATACGGCATGTATGACGCCGACTGTACAGTTACAATACTATCTTTCGCGTCTTGACCCGTTGCTATCGTACCCGGTATTCCGCCAATATCAAATCGATTTTGGCATCCGCTGTTCACTAAAAATTGATAATGAGCCCGTACCTCGCGGGCAGTTTTTTCCTACTAGGGGTCGCCTGGAGAGTCCCCGATAAAATCCTACCGTTTCCGCCGAGTGCAGCGTCAAGTGAATAAAACGCCGAGTAACTTTGTCCGCGTTACGCACCGAGTTCGCTGTACCGGTTTTTTTTAATTCGAATCAGTGGAGTTGAGTTTACCTGCAAACTTTGGAGACTCTCGTACAGTTGATCTATATTGGACGCACCGAGCAGAAGGCACTGAACACTTTCATTCTTTAAAGACCACGCGATGGCTAGTTGCCCGAAAGAACATCCCAGTCTTTCGGCCAATGCGCACACGTCCCGCAATTTGTCCGAGTATTTCCGGGTCTCTTCGTCGGCGGATTTGTCCTTCCACGCGTATTCCTGTTCGTGAAAACGAACATTACTCCAAAGGCGAGCGCGCACGGAATTGCGCATCTTGTGTTACACATATTACAATTATACTTGTTGAAAGTAACGATAGGAATGGGAGGAATAGCACGGTGTATTTTATGCCTGCGATAATGACTGAGTGGACGATAAGTCAGCAAACGTGAGCTTTGAAAAAACTATAAATGAGGAACGAGACGCAAAAATGTGACGAGCACTATCGTGTATACATGTTACTTCCAATAAGTGCGTTACTCTTGATAAGGCCGTACCTCCTTGTACAAAGATTGAGTTTCATCTTCTGTCCAACTGAACGAAGAGTATTTGTTCTGAAATCATCAGAAAACGGTCTTCGTTTCAGTACACGCGCAGATAAGAGCTTTTCATTTTGAATAGCTTGTCTCGTAAGGATGAGAGATTAGCGCTCGATATTTTCGCCGGAGAATCGGCTTATTTACTTCACTGGGTACTCACTTTATAAGAGGATCTCGAGAGGAACGATACGCCGCAATCTTCCGGCTTGGAGGAAACCATTCCAATGGTGACAGTGGACCATGCCATCAAGCCGACGCCTGTAAGAAATCGGATCATCTTCTTATGAACGAATCGCGAGAGTTATCGCCTTCGCCAAATTTGCCGGAGATCGAGGAGAGAATCAAGGGAGGATCGAGAGATTGCTGGGAAAAATTCCTCTCGCGTTACACAGTCTGTCTAATAAAAGCGTGATTAACATCACTTTTAAACTACTTATTTAGAGAAAGAAAAAAAAATTACGTACATGCTTACGTACAATCAATATTACAACGCTTTTGTATTAACAAGTAGGCCAATTATCAATGACCATTTTCTTGGCATTCAAATTCTTCACAGGGTAAACCGAAACAAATTGGATCACAGGGAGAATCGGATCAATATGAACTTTGAGACAGTTGTCGTTAATTTTTTGTTTCCAACGAGCTGTTTTATCGTTACCTCTGTGCACTTCCTCCGCACCTATTTGGAACAAAAAACTAACGACAACTGTCTCAAGGCTTATATTGATCCGATTCGCCTCGGTCTACATTCTGGTACTCATAATTAAATACGTCGTTCTTCGAACAATGACTGAGACGCTTTGTATATTGCGTCGTAGGAGAAGATCCTTTCCATCTGGTCGTTCAAAAGTTTTCGATGTAACGGCTTTGAAATAGAAGTTTGCTCGGTTACGCTCTCATTAGACAAACTGTATTACGCGCTGTTAGATGAACTCGTGCGTAAGGGCTAATTACCAATTTTGTTATACAATTCGGGCATATAGAGTTCAGGTTTCTCCCTGTAAAACAGATGATACTCCGCTTGCTCGACGATCGGCGTCACACAATTGAATTGCCGACAGTTTGAGTAGGCTTCCATGATCTCCACGGGCGTCCACCGCGATGTACCCCAATACATCACCCAGCCTTTGTTGATGACGTAATTCATAGCACGAACTATCTCTGAAACGAGACCACGCGAACACGTGAGATACAACAAGAGACGGACGGCGGCGTCGCTCCGTTGTGGAAAGTTGCCAGGTGAATCATAAGTGATGGCAAACCAATACGTGAACTCCTACTCTTTATTGGACGGACAGTTATCTTCGGTTTCTTTTTTTTCTACGATAAATGTCTGTCAAGAGAGGAGCGAAAAGATGTCCAAAGCGTTTGGGGATAAAGGTAAAATGGTTAAATAATTCCCACTTACATACATTCTTCACACGATATTAAAGCGATACATTAACGCGATACGTAAACACAAGAATGAAGAAGTCGACACGTATATATTTATACAAAATAAATAAATAAATATATATATATATATATATATATATATATATAAAGTACATAAACACTTTTACACGACAGTAACTTCCCATTTTCACGATAGGAAGAAGCGTATGATAATTGTTACGGTACAGTGCAACTGCCAAACATCAAATCGTCACTATAATGAAAACTTCCGGTAACTTTGCTTATTCTCATTTTCTCGAAATTTCGCGCGTGAATACGCTGGAGAACAGCCATTTTAAATTCTTCATGTCTTCTGTGAAGTCGAGTCGCATTATGCAATGTGGAACCAAGTGTGTGGGGCTTTATCTAATTTCGAGTTAAATATCAAGAAAGCCGTTAAATCTCCTTATTAATTGCGCGATAACGCGATTAAACTCATTGCATAAGGCCGCTCGACGGAATCATCGAGTTCGACAAATATGTGACAGCGTAATCCTCCAATTCGAGATCCGTCATGATAAATTAATGAAATCGCCCTTTGAAGTTCAAGGGTCTCGATCTTATTTTCGCAACTTCAGCGCCCGGTCTCAACGAAAGGGAGTGATTTTACCTTTATCCGTGAAAACGAAAATTCATTGCGAAATATTTCTGTCCGAGCGAAACGCCAAGCACGTGACGTTTAAATCAGCGGCGTGTCTATTTCTACTCGTGGAACTTCTATTTATACGGAACTACGCGTTATCGCGCGAAGGACGTCTTCAAATATCGTGTAAAGTTATTATCGGAATTATAACATGTCGCAATGTGTGTGTGTGTGTGTGTGTGCGATGCGGTTGGTGCGTAGGTGAGAGTGTTTCGTGAGTGACGAGACGAACGAGATGAAATGATACGGGAGGGAGGGATTTATTTAAATCGGAAAAAAGAGGCAACCCTCCCGCGCGTCGCTCGCAAGAAGAACGTAGGAGCTGAAACGAAAGTTACCTTCCATCGGACACATCGGATCGACTTTGTGGATCATGACAATGTCGATGTACGACAGTTGCAGCCTGACGAGCGAAGCTTGCACGGACTCGATAATGTGTTTCCGCGATAGCCCGCGACCCTCGGTCCTATCACAAGAATGGTAGATGTTATCAGTCTCGTAATGCACAAGAGCGGATATTATAGTACTAATGAGAGAATCATAAGAATCGGAGATGAGATCGACGGACGCGCACGGTTAAGAATTCCCCTCTTGCGGGATTCCGTGTGTTTAAATGGCAATATATCCGAAACAATGGTCTAAACGCGATGCCTAACGCACGGAAACCTAGTTATCGATCCACACGTCAAGGCGAAGCCTCATATCCCACACACAGGCCACTTAATATTAAACGAGGCCGTCTCGTTCCGCGAGATTCCGCTTATGCATAATACCGGTCGGTACGGCTACAATCGTAAAATAAGAGCGACATGTAACTCACTTCAGGCTGCTCGGCATTCGCAAGCGCGCGTGGTTTTGAATGGGGTCGGGATCTTAATCGTCAATGGCACACCGCGCCCGACGATACGCTCAAGGCCACGATTTTTATGATACCCTCCTAGATATATACGATCGGCAAATACGGTGTGTAATCTGATAAGGTGTCGATAGCCTTTGAGCGTATTAGCGACATAACGCATTACTTCGAATCTGCAGATCCGGCAGTGAGAACAACGAATTGTTCTCCGACTAAGCGTAAGCTGGCTAAAAGTTGGTAAAAGCTATAGCTTCTCTCTCTCTCTCTCTCTCGTTGGGCTATATGGAGATACGTAAAAAAAGAAAACAAAGAAAGTTCGAATCTATCTATTCTGACTCCCTCCGGGAGCCTGAATTGCAATCGGAGCATCTCGCACTACTTCGCCCTCGAGGCAACGAGCTCCGCTTAGAATCCACACCGAGGCTACATCCTACAGGGTTCGGTACAATATTACGGTACAATACCTATAGGTATCACGAGACTACATAGAGAGTATATAACGCTAATAGGGGGGGAAAGACGCGAAGGACAAAGGTCGGTGAGCGTAAGTTCGATTACACTGAAGCCATCGATCGAGAAGCACACGTAATAGAATGCGCCTTCGCGTGCAGCAGCGGATAATACGGACAACATCGAGAGAGCCACCGGCGCCACTACCAGCCTCTGCTATGATCATCAATGCCCGCTACACCACCAACGACGACGACGACGACGACGTCCACCAACTGACACTGACACGCGGGCAAGAACCGGGGCCAGCGCGCTACTCACTTGGTGTTCCAGTAAATTTTCGTCGTGACTACGTAACTGGAGCGATTCCAGGCGCGCCTCAGCAAAATCCGGCCGAACTGGATCTCAGCGCGGTGTCCGCTGTGGGCCTCGCTCAAGTCAAATACATTAATCCCGCTGTCGTAGGCGAGAGCTACGACGGCCTCCGCGGTCTCCTCGCTGCCGCAGCCGCCCACGCCGAAGGTGGTCCATGTTCCTGCGCGCATAAAACCAATCAAGCGACATCAGCGACCGTTTAACGCGGCCGCCGGGCAGAGTGCGGGCGATTCGCGCGCGACAACAAACGGTGCGTCGCACCTGATCGGCTGCTGCGATCTAGCATCGGCAGGTCTTCTACCCTTACCCGTCTCGCAAAGGAGAACACCATTCCGCCGGAGGTTCAAGTGGCAGCGCGCGCAGAGCCGGCTCGATTGCAGCTGAACGGCCACCAAACTACGGCTTTAGGCTCTCGCGACGATAATAATAATCACACGGATACTTTCTCCCCTGCTTAAAAAAAGCCGATAGAAGATGACAGAAGTAGATTCAAATCTTGCGATACTTCGTCATAACTTTACCATCTCAACTAAACTCACGTTTCTGTCAAGGTAGAAATATTATCTCTTTCTTTCGTCTTCAATCATGTTTTGGTTTAAATGACTAAAATTTATTTAAATAAATGAAAAATATTTAAATTTGGTTTAAATGAAGAAAATTTATTTAAATGTGTATATTTTTTCTATGTTATATGTTGAACTATCTGATCCAACTGAAAAATTATGATTCGATATCTATACGTATGAATCTATTTTAATTCTGCCGGGGAGGTTCCTATTTTTTCTATAAATAATATATTATAGAAATACATTTGTATCATAACTAAAATTGAAATGTGAAATTTGAATTAAAAAATATGTTTTACCGATAAACAAGTAACTTGAACGGTATATTATATGTTTAAATACTAGAAAAAAAAGAAAATTTATATATGTATGTATATATCAAATATATCAGATAACAAAACTGTGAAGAGCCAAAAATACGATTCGATTTATTGACATTTTACTTATACAATTCTATCGGGTTTTTAAGCACTGGGTTCCTTTATATAGATTATATTAAGATAAAAGTAATAAAGGAAAAGCACCAAAACTGACATAGGTATGATAAACTGACATACCCATGTTTCTCGGTTGTATAAAATTCTGTCGAACACGAATTTCGTCTACTGAGTGCAGTAACAGTCAGTAATGAATAATTTATTTGACAATGCTATTTTATAATGTGAGTTTTGAACTTTATAAACCATTTCGGATCTTGTGCCAATCTCTATTATCTGCCATTGAATCACGCAAGAAAAGTTAAGGTTCGCTTATTCTGCGAGATATCTGAGTTTGCTGGTCTTTCAACCGATATACCTCAACTTTGCTGTGAAATATTATTTCAAAGAATACAGGTGAAGCTACCTGATTTTCCTCTCTTTTTCTTGTTTGTTTATTTATTTAAGTTGGTCGGAAAGGAATCAGGAAAATTCTTTCCACATAATACAGAAGCAATATATATCGTAAAAGTTTCAAAAAGTATGAAAGATTAAAGATAACATGTAAAGATATATAATAAATGTACAAAATAATATAATATCAATGCTTCTGTTTTATTTTTTCTTTTATAATTTTCTATACATATCATGGGTATGTCGATTTTGGAGCTTAGTTTCTAGAAGCGTTTCAATCCTCAAACATCTTAAAAATAGCTATTGCAAGGAAATATGTAATAATTTTCATAAGACTATAATATATTTTCATAGAGAAGTATGTCTACTTTGCATCCATGCACATAACTTTTAATTTTATACCTTCAAGCTTTAAAGCCTAAAAATAAAATGGTATTTCGGTTTTGGTGTTTTTTCTCTAATAATTATCAGTTTGTAAAAAATTAAATAATTAAATTATATTAGCAAGAAAGGTATTTTGACTAGCCTATGAGAGCCAAAACCGCTGTTATTTGAGCGAAATAAATATTTTATTATAATTGTATATATTACAAATTATATTAAGACGAAAGTAAAATAAAATAAATAATATCGATTGTAAAAAGAAATAATTTGTTGACAACGTTTTGCTAATGATCTATTTTGCAAATATCTTGAAGCAAATCTAAAATTAAATACAAAATGCAACGTGTGTTGTTGACTAAGCTACACGAATAATTGGTTTTTCTTAAGCCTTTAAGCCTGTCAACCTTCATCCCAAGGTCTATTAGCAAATTGTTTTGTATCGCGAAGATATCCAGCCGGCTCTACTGGCTCTGATTATTAAAAATATTGCAAACAGGAAATATATGAAAAGCTTGTAAGCTCAAGAAATGGCAATCAGTGATAAGAAAAGCAGAGTGAGGCGATCGCGCGGAGAATCGCGATCCGCATGAAATTGAAGTAATTTACAAGAGAACATCGCGCAAGCGAGCTTTATTCCGCCTTGAGACAGCATACATTTATATAGAACGTGCAAAAGTCTAAGAAAGCATGTGTTCCTCTGTCTTCGCTAATCTTTCGTCTCTGTTGCAACAAAGTTCTCCTCGCTCGTTAATGTAAAAATATATAGTAATGGTGTCAAACGGTTTCCGTTTGCGGGAAAACCAGAAAGAAACTCTCAACTCCTCAGGGGAGAAATTAATAATTCGCAGCGTAACCTAGATATATATATATATATATATATATATATATATATATATGTGTGTGTGTGTATGATATATATACATATACATATGTATGCGTATATAACAAGCACGTGTGTTTACCTACGCAAGCAAATTGCACGTGTATTGTCAGAGCCATTAAGCGCGTACGTTCTCGGCCAGGTGAGCGTGAGGTAATATTATTCACATACGTAACTGTGTCGTGTGTGTGTGTGTTCGCATTCGCAGCACAACATTCTAGGAACGAAAAACGATGCGACGATGAGGGCGAGAGCACAAGAGCGTTATACGAAATAATGAATGCGAGCCGTGAATCGAATGCGAGGACGCGACAACGACGAAACCACCCACGGCGTCTCGGCAGGCCGGTAATAAAAATCCGATAGCCGTGGAGAGGATGCATTCCAAGATCGATTTGCGATATGTGCGCGCCACGGGAAAGTGGGTCTAGGTTAGCCGGGCGGGAAGCCTCGCGAAAGATCTCAGAGAGAGAAATCGACTCTACGAAAGTGGGGGAATACATTCAGCGTACCTAATCCAACATTGGAAACACGTAGACCGCTTTTGCCCAAGTTGCGGTAGCGAATACCTGGCGAGGGATGCTGCAAACGTTGCGCTTGTGCGGCAATGCAGCTAGTTAGTAGCTGCTCTTTTGTTCCGGTCGTGTTGCTGCAGTGCACGCCCGAGTCTGCACCGCCGCCGCCGCCGCCGCCGCCTCCTCCGCCGCCGTTGAACTCTTCCATGCAATCCAGACTTGCTATGGGTGCACGGCAGCTGCGCATACAACATGCACGAGTTATATCGCGAGTATATATCGATGTCGATATCTGGCTCGTGCACGAGGAAACGCGAAGGAGACGCGACGATCCGGCGGCTCCGGGCTCTGTGCCGGCTCTGTCACCGGACATCCCGTCCTCCTCCGAGTTCCACCCCGGCGAACGTCTCGCGAGGTGTGGGGTCGCGCGTCAGGGTCGCTGCTTTCGCGACTTCCTCGAGTTTCCTCGGCCGCGTTCAGGAAACGCAATGTCCGAAGTGAACGTTGAGCGATTATCGTTCTTCACTGAGGTATTCTTTCAGATCATCCGTAATAGATCTAAAAGAATATTCCAATGATACGCAGTACACCAATTTTGTGTCAAATTTAATTTGTTCCGAACGTTATAGTTTTCTAAACGCGCCCCTTGGAATCGTTCGTCTTCGACCGCGGAATTTGACTTTGATCTCGTCTCGACCGGTAATTTCGAGCTGAATTGTCGAGTTCAGATTCCGTCCTGGGAAGAGCGATTTCGCTCGATTCGTGAAACTTTGGAAGTTAAAAGCTTTCGCGATCGTCGACGTCTCTAATTGTCGAAGCGACTGTCGTGTTTCTCAGTTTGTCCCGCAGTTTCGCCAACTGAGGAAACGTCTGGTGATTCCGCGACAGCCGCGGATTAAACCGCTTTGGTCCAAACCTCTCATCGCCGTTTAACCGCGTTATGTATCGCCTACGTGGATACGCATGCGTGCACGTGTGCACGTAGTGCTGCATGCATGCGGCGCGTGTGACTCCGTCATATGGATTTTCGAGAGTTTTCATGACATCAAAATGTAGAAGGTAACGTCATGATGGTGATGCGAGACTCGCAATATCGAGCAGTATTCGTCGCAACGGGAACGTCGGTTTTGATTTCTTAAACGTGCAAGAAATGTTGAAGTATCCTTAAAAGAGTCATCCCGCAGAAGTAAAGTCGAAGTAATTATATTCTATTCTTAATGTAATCACAACGAAAATACAATATTGCATAATAAGAATTCAAAATAATATAATCAATCTTGCATTTTGACATAAATAATAATAATATCGATAAGATAGAAAGCCAATGTTTTTCGAGAAACCGAGTCGTTTTAACTTCCACATTAAACAGATCATATTATATTAGGCTCTCATGATGTATAATCAAATATTCGAAATTAGGATAGGTCAGTGAGAGCCAAGCACGGTTGTTAAGTGCGAATATATTTTTATTTCGGGAGGATAAATACGTTCGACAGTGTGAGATGATTCCACGTTAAAATTTATTAAACGCACAGTTTGCGATTTACTTAGACAATAATTACCGACGAATAATTTTTCGATATTTTTCGATGCATAATATTAACCGAATACGTCTCGAGAAGGGGACTAGAATTATTTTCCACAATTATATTTGCTAAAACTACCTTCGTTTGCTCCACAAACCGGGCAAGTTTCAGTTTGCTGCACAAACTCGACGAGTTTTATCCAAATCAAAAGTGCAGAAAGGCCAAAGTACACGAGTACCTTTAAAACGGCAACTTTATACACGGTATCTTTTAAAAGGACGCGCATCCTTTCATATTCGGAACCGTTATCTCAGCTTTATCGTTTCTTTATCACATGTGAAAGCGCGCATTCTACGTTTGCTTACATCATATCATTGCGGAAAAATACCAGGTAGGCGAGAACGCTTAACAATCGACTTACCGTCGTCAGTTCAACGTTGCGATTACAGACGCGACACCGTCAGACGATTATCTGATCAAACCACGTGCAGATTGACGCTATCGGCGAACGACGCTAAATCTTCGGATGCAATGGAATTCGCTAAATGTATGTACACAGCCGGCAGATCAAAGGTTGCAACATTTTTTTTCGATAACGATGAGTTATCCGATAGAAGAATTTGTTCAGTAATTTTCAGAAGATATGTTTTCCCATTGAACACGAGATACGTTGTGAAATTCATCGAAAAAAGTGTTGCATTGCCTTTAATCTGCCGTGTGTATGTATATATAGTCAGTCACGAAAAGGTTGCAACACTTTTTATTATAAGTTTCGGAATACATTCTATGTCCAGTAAGAAAATTTGTTTTTTAGTAATTTTCAATTTGTTGTTTTTTAGTAATTTTCAGGAGATACATTTTTTATTAGATACAATTGGAGATGCATCGTGAAACTCATCAGAAATAAAGTGTTGCAATCTTTTTGTAACTGACCACATACATCAGTCGTACAGATCTGATGAGCAACGCTTGTACGACCGATCCTATATATGACTCGAGCCATCCCGAACTTGAAATTATTGCTATGGTGACTACGCGAAATCGCCGCTCACTGTTGAGACACGTGGTTTGTTCCTTATAGTTGAACTAGCTACACTAGTTCAAGAAATTTACGCACACCGAAATGTCAGAATCTTGTGCGCTTCATGCGCTTCGATGTCTATGTAAATTTCTTGAATTACTGCAGCCAGTTTAGCTATAAATTACAGATCAATTCAACAATTCAACAGCGTTCGACGACAGAGAGACCCGAGTAGAAATGTATCTAATCGGTCCGAATGAAAAGCTAGTAACTAGCGAGCGGAAGCTAGATTAAATTTTATAGCTCGTTATTAATTCGTTACTGGCCGATTATTCACAAATACGTAAAATCGATTTTGTAATCCAGCTGTTGTCTAGCCATTACCCATTAAATTTGATAGAATAGATGGCGTTGTCTATTCTAAAATATACAATTTAGCTACTAGCATATACCCGCCATTAGCATTTAAAAATGAGATAAGTCAGAATTGAGGATATTTTATTCCATAAAAATTTTCGAAAAGCAGATTGAGTATTAAAAACTACTTGTTATTGCCTTGTAATACATCACTCGCTTACTACTTACAACTCGCTTCTGAATTTTGATCTATTATCCATACAGCACAGAAACTTGTAGCAACATTGCTGCAACGTTACGAGAATGTCGTGAGCAATGTTGCTGCAAGCTTCTGTGCCGAATGGGTACTAACGGCTTCTTATAAGAAACCTTTTACATTACTACTTCGCAACTACCCGAGTCGAAATTTTACAATTCTACAGTCAATTTCTAAATCTTCGGTGGAGAAAACGGAAATACGTTCCCGCTAATAATATCAAAAGAGCGCAATAAGTGCTCCTTTAATGCTGCAAAAGAAATTTAGTCCTCCGGAGCCCAAATTTTAGCCCTGCATTAAGTCTTCAAACAGAGAAAACGGCAATAACTTCCCTATTTGTAGCACCAAAAGAGCATGATAGAAGACCTTTGAATTTTTAAAGTAAAACTAAATTAGACTTAAAATAGGATTAAAATTTCCGACTCGGATTAATTATGATTTTTCATTTCGTAATTTCTTTTGTTTAACCGTCCAACTTATTTACCTATCCATCATCCAGTCACTGGGAGAAATGAGCGTTACATTACTGGCTAATAGCGACGTTAAGACACAAATTTACCACCCCGTGATTGAACATCCACGAGGTTTAACTTCTACCTGGGACGACCCGCTGACTCTTTGTGTATAAGCAAGTATAAGTCGGCTTTAACGATCCGCTCTGCCTTCCTTTCTTTCTCTTTCTCTCCTCCTCTTTAGAAGATAATCTTACGCACGGTATAGAAGGAAGGAGAACTTATTTTAGCCAAAGTTAGCCGTAAGTGACGTTGGTGCAACCGGGCCTAAGTGAGCTCGCACGGCTCACCGCTCCGTACCGCTCGTGTTACTCGCTTGAGTTGAGGAAACGGCGGCCGAGTTCAGCGTCGTTGGTATAACGATCGCCGTCGATGTTGCGGAACGGATTCTCGTCGTCAGATTTATAACTCGCGTTTGAATTCCGCTCGGTGAGTGAGCTCGCCTATATCCGGTCGCGCTCTCTCGGTTCGGCGGTTTTACGACGGGCCTTTTTCCATGAAGACTCGTTTCCCGTTGTGCCCCTTTAAAGGCTAAAACTACCACCGCGATGTGGGTCACCGGCGCGGGGACGGGGGTTTCAGGTCGAGGAATATCGCTCTCTCGAGCACACCCCGGTAACGTCTGCCGGCCACTTCGTGCCACGTCGTTACCCGGACACACGCGGTAACTTCGTCAACCGCTTTAATAGTTAAAGCACCGCCGAATCCGTCTTCGATAACCCGCCGCAAGTGCGGCAAAACGACCGCTCGCTCGATCGATATAACAGCATTTCCCGAGGAAACGCGAGCCAACCGGGAAGCAGCGCGGCAGTTCCGAAGAAAGGCAGTCTTTCATCCGACAGTCCGCTGAATGACCGAGCGATCAGGACGGAAAACATCCCCGGAGATCCTCGGGATCGACACCCCGCGGAGTCTTCGAGCGGGACGTATTGCCCTCTGCCGGAGGAAGACGATTCGCTCGTTCTCCGCGCACCGTGAAACTACCGCGGATATCTTTGGGCACACACACGCGTACACACGAGGCCCTCTTTTAATTGAATCGCGCACGATATCCAGCGGATGGCCCACATCGCCGTGTGACGTTCGTTCCCGTTTCACCGCGATCTTTTCTCTCTCTCTAACAACGAGATATGCGTACGTACCGATAAATTGTAGGCAGTGGATAAGAATCGTCGTCCTCCATACTGCTGTTTGTATTTGCGTTGTTGTTCGTATCATTTCCCGCTGTCGAGGTATTGCCAAGATTACACAGCATTAATCGCGACATTACTAACGTCGGTAAAACGTTTCAGTCTATCGGAACACTTCGGGGGGAGGGAGGGGACGCGAAACAGGCCGATATCACGGTATGGGTACCACGTACGGACTCAACAACGAGCGCATACGTACTTGACTCCTAATGCGGCAACCATACCAACCGGTGAAACGTATTACTGAACTTTCGCAATTCTATCGTGTCTTACCGCGTAGTCTCCTCCGTTCCTTCGCTCGCTCTGTGCGCTTTGCTTTGATACTTTGGCGTGATTGGTGCGTGGTAAACGAGCATCGCAATCGTATCCCAAAACGCACGTATGTACAGGTAGAGATCTCGGTTCTACGTGTTCTTCTCTCTCTCTCTCTCTCTCGCGTTATTGCACGTGTGTACAAGACGTGTGTAGGCACTAATATATATAATATAATTTTCTTTTTCTCTCCCTTTTTACGAAATCACGAGCTTAGGCACCACTTTTGAAGAGCATAAACTTCACAGCTTCCGGTGTAGAGTCGGGCACAAGTAGCAGTCCGCGCGCGAGAGGGCCGAACAGCGTTATTTCGTGCTGTTCCTCGCTGTCGGTCGCGGCTTATTATTTAAGAGGAGCGATACACCTGCCCTTCGCACGAGGGAAAACTCTGCTCTACGTGCTCTAGGGGAGGAATATGGGGTCGATATGAAGCGAGGATATGTGAACATACGAATGTCGCGCGTATTATATCACGGAGGCGCGCGATCCAATCCACTGGTAATCGCGCTACAGCGTATTCGGGGCTACGGTATTCGCGATATCCATCATCCGTCGGTGGGTATCCCGACCGTCGCCACGGTGTGTCACGAAGACCGTCCGCCAGTTGTGCCCGCGTAGACTGCCGTAACGCGCGCGTCGCGGGTCACGTAACTACTCGCGCGACGACGACGACGTGAGACATTATCGGACAGCTGCGAGGCGGGTCTGAGCATAAGTGTATGATAATTTGCGAGATGATCGTCCGGCGCGGCCGCAATAACGAGTTTTCATAAAGGAACACACACAAATCCGGAACGAAACATCGGTAAAAATGTCAGGGGGAGGCCCGAGAGAGAGACGAGTGTTGTGCTCCCTGCGCGGTAGGCAACACTGCACACACTCGACACCCTGCGATTCCCACCTTTCCGCGCCCGGTGGACGCAACCCCCGTGAGAGAGCCACCCCCGAGGCCGCGGGAGACCGCGCATGCGCCGCCCGACGCGGCTGCGCGCGCGCTCCGCCGAGTCGCGAAAGGCGCGCATGACGCCGCACGAATCCCAGTCCCGACGTCGCTCGTCTTCGCCACCCTCGCGCTATCATGCGATAACAGCCGAATTTCGCGGAGTCGATCATCGATAAACCGACACACGTCGCGATGCTCGCCCCGATTAAGAATTCAAGGCCTCGATACTCTCCGATCGGATATTGGAAGGCCGTATCGCGCGCCAGCATTCTCCGTGAAGACGGACTTTTCAAGCCGGCATTCCTACAAGGACGTGCAATTATTTCGACCGACGTCGTCGTCGCGAGATGAGCTTACCGTATTCCCGGCAATTGAGACGGTCATGCGGGACGCGATCTCGGAATGCATTCTCTCGTGATCCGCGACTCCACTGTCATGAACTTGGCGGGAGGAGTGTGTCTGAGACGCCGTGTATGCAGCCGCATTCGCCGCGCTGTGCCCCCCTCCGTGCCGTCCTCGCACAACCCGCGCAAGCTCACCGGCCGCACGGACACACGGGAGTATAATCAGTGTAGGAAGAAGGGTTTTGTGAATCAACGGTCTCAACGGCAACGCCGCATTGCAGATCTGCCGCGCTAACACGCAACTGACCCCTCACCACCATTACACCTAACTACACTCATAGTTAACGCACACGTACGTACGCCAATGCGGACTCGTCATGCACACACGCACATACTGACTGACAGGCGGCGCGCGTGCAACACACACGGAGCCCCGCGGGAAATAATAAATACTTCACGTCGCCGACGATGATTCGACAAACAAACAAGCGGTACTATACAGCCGTCACGGACAATTGATCGCATTCGCGAGGCTTTCTCGAACGATGCTTAGGGAGAAGAGAGAGAAAGCGTGTGTCGTCGCTTCGTGCGCGGTGCGTTGCTCGGTACATCGTCTCATTATGTGCACGGAGAACCTCCGTCCGCGCACTTCGACAACGTCAGACGGACACTCGACTGATCTACGAGAGAGAGAGAGAGAGAGAAAGAGAGAGCTGGGGGTATAATCGCTCGAGATGACGGTGAGCCGAAGACGAAGCGACGACGGCTTGGACGACACTCTTGCCATGCTGTGCTACCTCTACGAACGGATTCGACAAGCTGGTGCGGCACGTCACGCTGACGCATTGCTCTCGCAGACTCGGAAAAAACACCTGTCCGTCCCGAGTCAAAGAGCCAAAGCGACATGGAATCGCGTTACGTACCTTCGAGATACGGCGGGCTAATGACGCGACGCTGAATCTTTGTGGGGGATTACGTTGAGCGCGCTACCAACGTGTCCCGTCCGACTCGGATCTTTTCATACATTGCGGAGTCTGCGAGAGGAGCAGGCAGACGCTGCTCCGCGGCGGGTAAAGTCGGTCGTTGAATCCGTGCCAAGGCTCGGGTTCTCTCTCTCTCTCTCTCTCTCTCTCGCTCTCTTTCTCCGGAATCCGTGTGCACAGGCGAGACGGGCGCGCCTGTGTGGGAACTCGAAATAAAATCGCGCCGATATCCGCGGGATGAGTGGTATTTTGCTCCCGAGTTGACCCTCGTCCAATTTTGCGTCTTATCCGATCGAGGGCGGAATCGCGGAAAAACAAAGGAAGGAGAGGAAACGTGCTGGGTACTCGCGCACGACGAGCGTGTAAAGCGGCGCGTCGTCACTCGCGCACGCAGTTCCGATATTAGCTTAGTCCCCGCGAATATCAGAGATATCTATAGAGCGTAATCAGAATAACGAGCCAAGATTTATAGGCCGTATTCTTGGCCGGCGCGAAGATAACTTTAACTTTAACAATTGGCAGGGCTCTCAGCCCAGAGGTTTAAAATCTTGCAATCTTAATGGGTTACGTGATATGATCTTCCGCCAAGGGGGTGATAAATGTTTTCCAAGAGCAGAAGGAGAGATCCAATTCTATCCGCTGCAAATCAAATATAGTGCCCCGGGGCTTCTGAGAGTTAGCCAAGCGTTGCTTCGAATGTGATGTCGAATATTTTTTAGAGTCACTCCATCGAAAGACATATCGCACTCTCTCTCTCTCTCTCTTGGAATGAGCCGAGGTCGCAAAATTGGTAGGCGGAGTACTATCAGACGGGCGGACTGCCATTTGTAACACGGAAGCTGATGGACATAGCAAAGTGAGAGAGAGAGAGAGAGAGAGAGTGTGTGTGTGTAAGATGAGCACCGACAGCCATAAATAAATAGCTCGCGCATATAGGTCGTATCAAAAGTGACGTACGTTCTCGCACTTACGACGACGTCTTCCCTCGACGAATTTCCACAACGGATTTTGCGAGGGATTTACGAGGGAAATTCCATTCGGGAGCACATTTGATCAAAAGTTCTCAATTTCCGATATTAAGTACGTTAATAATCTTGAGCCAAAGTTACGAAGAAGTAGAATACTCGTTAGAATCAACCGAAGCATTGTCATTTATTCAGAGTTTCCAGATTCCAATTTGTGTGCAAAGATCCCACGGTATAAAGGCAGAGATTTCCGCCTCTTTTTTTTTCTAGCGGACTCGCTGTTTATACAACAAAATGTTTTTATCGTATTTTTGGAAAGTTCCGGGGACACTGAATTATGCTTCGGTGTGTTTTAAAAATAAGCGCTGGCACCGATGTGAAATGTACCGGATCCCCCCTTCGTTCGATTCTCCGCGTGAATGCAAATCTCCCGAGCGTGTCGTAAAGTGTCGAATATACGTGCGTGCACGGGAAAACAAAACCGACATGTTATTCATACAAATGCAGGATATAATTTCCGATGAAATATAAATACCAGTTTATAAATACGGTCGATGGAAATGTCTCTCGATCGTTCAATCGAGTGCTTCATGTCGTAACAATGTACAGCGTATCTCAGAAATCGCATATTTTCGCGCGAATCGATTTTCCTTCCACGGCCAGCATCTCATGTATGCTGTATCGTTTCCTCGGGGTGTCACACGATTGTCAGCCTTACGTATAACGTGTGAAGGTTAAAAATAGCAGAAGTAACTTTAGATATAATGATAAGGTTATAATGACTCTGATTATAATAGTTTCAACCTTATGCATATATGTGAAAAGTTAACACTCTAATGGTAAGGTGGGGTCAGATTGACTCCACTTTGTTTATTTTACTGCGCACGCAGTTTCTTCAATGAATGTTTCACGTTATTATTATTTACTTCTTTCACCCATTTTGTACATTGATTACATGAAAAGTGAACAAAACAGAGCATGTGAAGTCGGATCCGATCTTTGCCATTAGAGAGTTAACAAACGTTTAATAGTAAAAAGTTTCAATCTATCGATTGTATAACAGTCTGAGTCAAGAAAATGTTCTTTTTTGAAGATAACCACCATTTAAAAGAAGGAAAATAAACCGAGACATCACTTGTCTTAGAAGTAGAATGATACTTTTCTACGAGTACACTCATGGAAACTGGACAGGTGTATTTATATTTTTTTATATTGGCTGTATTATTTTAATAACTTATTACAGTACTTTATTTAAATGTTAAGTTACGGTTTATCTAGACACTTTTTTACAGTCACAGATTTGGTGTATTTGTGTATGTGTGTGTGTGTCTGTGTGTGTGTATGTGTCGCAATGTGAAGGTGTATCGCGGAGAAGTATCGCGCGCTCGACGGTTCTCGTTCACCCGACGCCACGGCGGCTCGACTCTGCGTTGCGTTATCGTTTCGTTCATCGACGTAACATCGACGGTTACGGGGGAGAACACGTGAGAGGATGGAAGTACGAGGGAGCTTCCGCTCGTTCCCTCGTGAGGCCACCCGACTCGCGGCTTCCGACGCGGATACAAGAATTGGGCGAATTCGTCGGCGAACGGCCACTCGTTTCTAAGAGCGATTTGTTCCGTTTCACGGAGAGTACTCTGTTGAAAAAAACCAAGTGGGAATCGACATGGGAAATCCATATGGAATCTCTGTCACTGTTGCCCCCCGGGGGATTTACGTTGAACAATCCAAGTCCTAAATAACAATCCGTACGGATTTCTATATGAATTTTCACACACCATGCGGATTTTCAACGTCCTGTATGGATTCACACACGAGTTCGGTTAGATTTCCGTGGGAATCCATCTGGAAGTTTTCAACAGAGTTTGTCTCGCGTCGTCGGGAGGATGCGACGCGACGCTTCGACGGTCGCTCGATTCCGCGCGCGCGACTTGAACGCGACGGGACAGTCGTCGTCGTCGCCGCGGCGTGTATAATCAATGGCGGTTCACTCGCGTAGACACGTTCTCGCGGTTACACACTGGCCTGCGGGGTCTGCGATATGCTAACGGAACGGAGCGTGTTAAGCGGCAGTCTTTTTCGCGCTTTTTCGTACAATTAGACACAGTCGCAGAGCAGAGCGCCCTTCCTCGATCCCTCTCCCTCGCCTTCTCGCTCGTTTCGTTAGTTCTCTCGAACTGCTCGGACGAGCCGTTCAATTTCGACGCAAGTGTCTATAGAGATTCTCTCTCTTTCTCTCTCGGGCGAACTTCCGATCGGTATATGGTATGAGATCCGTGGCTCGTTACTGTGGCTAATCGTAAGTTGTTGATCCTTCGGCGCACGCAACGCGGCCGTAAGCACAATGATCGTACCTTAAGAGAGGGACAAGCGTGGATAGACGGAGAAGAAATGGAAAGAGAAAGAAAGAGACGTAAAGGAAAGGCCGATGTTGATGTGAATAAAAATTGAGAAAAACACGATGGAAGTACGTGTGGAATGTACGTGTTGGATGGGACGAAATGTGAAATAATATTCAAAGATGCCGTGAACTCGAGCACACACGAGCTCGAAGGGAAGGTGGAGTATACGGTAAAAAAAAGGAATTCGTTCTTCGCACGATCGGTCACGTCAGGTTCGGACGTCAGAGGCGTATTCGGGGAGTATCGTAAAGAACGATGCGACGGCATGCGTCAATGAGATAATCTATCAAGATGAGAATAAGATTCAAGAGTAGATCCAGATAAAAGAGTGGGGCGGGTGGAAGGGGGTGGACACTTTTGGATTTTTTGGAGAGCAGTAAGTAAATACAAAATGCGTTACTGTCAGGTTCTAACGTGATAACATTGTGATATTAAAACTGTACACACGGTAGTGTCCTGTGTAGCTGAAATAAACACCCTTCGCTCGCGTGTCGGGGTTCCCTCGTGAGTTCGGGGGAGGAACGTTTCCGGCGCGGACTGCGAGTTGGGATACCGCACCGTTACATCATTCAGCGGCGGGTTATCGTTTCCGAGTTCTCGATCATTTCACCGTCCTTTGGCAGGTGGGTAGATTTACCATGAAGAATACGTTGAGCTCGATCAGCGACGCCAGTATAAGGAACACGGCGTACATGCACAGACAGGCACGGCCTACTTTTGTATCGAGCTGGAACTTGTTGGAAGCGAACGCGATGTACAGCAGCATCAGCGTCGACAGTAACGATATCGCGCTGTATTCCAGCCCGCCGGAATTTATACTGATGTAGTGCCTCCCGGGCTGCGTGGGCGAAAAGGACGACTTGATCAGCCACGGTAATCCGAGACACAGCAGTATGTCGAACGTGTTCGATCCTATCGAATTGCTGATGCCCATCGAGCCGTGTCCTGGACAAAAGTGAAACGNGGGGGGGGGGGGGTAGAGTGGAAGAGAAAAGTAGCTAGCGACTAGAATACCTATGTATAAATAGGGAAGTACCATTGAATTCGATATACCGAAAGCCCGCCGTTTTCCTTGCATGGTGATACTTGGAGCAAGCGAATAAGAGCTCGGATGCAATGGAAAGGAATAAGGAACAAGGAATTCAATTTCAACATAAGAAAACCATGCTTTAATTCATGATAATGGAATAGGAAACTAGGATTAGAGAGACACTATTGAAATTCTATTTCTTATGACTTGTGTGCTTGTAGGGTCTACTGATTGATTGAAAGTTAACCTTCACAATGACGGTTCGATTACTGTCAATGTATAAGTCAATCTCAACTGACTTTATTCATTGCGCTCTCTATTTATATCTGAGACTCTACTGATGGCTCGTTTTTTCCGAATGCTTGCGCTACCGTTTTCCTGCAACTTTTCTTCCTCGAGCGTCCGTTCGCGATCGTTAATCGCTCGTATCGTCACCGCGACGAAATCAATTTTCAACATCACTCATTACCACGCGAACAAAACACACGGTGATCACATACCTTGCTTCGCGACGATCACGCTCGACACGGCTTCGGGCACACTGGTTCCCGCTGCGAGGAAGGTTATACCCATTACGGAATCTGGGATCTTGAGTGTGTCGCCTGGAAGAGAGAAACGAAATATGCGCGTCTCGCATGTAGCCGTTTCGAGATAGATCACGAAGATTCTTGCATGCACGGCAAAATATTCCCCATCGTCGCATCTCTCCGCTCTTTAATACCAAATCAGTGGAGAGAATAATGTAATATTGTCGAGAGAGAGAAATCTCTTTAGAAAAACATTTAATCTGTTCATGTGCGACGTGCGACACGTCGTAATTCAGCTTTAAATTAGTTGCGTTCAGTAGAAGAAGAAACTCAGCGAACGTTTAGTCGTTATTGCTTGTACTGCTGCGGAGTACCTTCCTTTAGAATTTTTACAGATCCAGGAGAATGCACCAGTCAGGAGCAATAGTCACTTAGTGCTCACTGAGCTATTATTTTTCCTTTTTTGCAGAACGCAGGCGCATTAAAACGACCAAAACCCACCGATTATAGTGATCATCCACGCTACCACGTAGCTGAGCGACCCGATCCAAATGATGCACATCAGAAACGTGACGGGAAACCAGTTCTTGAATCTGGGTTTCTCGCAATCGGGGATTGTGCACATGAATATCAAATGAATAGGCCATGTTGTGACCCAAGCGGTCTTCCTTAACCACCCGGCGCGCGCCGGCCACACCAACAGCTCGTACTCGTAATCTGCTGCAGAACATGTTACAAGAATTTCAGACTCGCAATATCCCACATGGCAGAAATGTCCGAAATACATCATAAGGATATTTTTAGGACATAATGTATTTTGGATATTTCTGCTGCGTGGGATAACAGATCGATATCGTCTCGTTTCTCTTCATTTATTTCTCTCGCGTGTATTTTCCAATCGGAAGGATTTCAAGGGTCATCTCATGAGAGAAATATGCAGGCACAAAGTTTGGATAATGGCTATACAAACGTGCATCAGAGTGTGCAGTCGGTTAAGTCTTTCAACCTCGACAGGTATGTTGCTTTGGAAACTTCCATTCGCACGCGCTTAACCCGTTTAATCGTTTCAATCAAGTGGAAGAAGTGTTTTCGATACAACCTTGACCGATCAAGTAGCCTTAGTGACATATTATGCGTCGCTTTACGCGGTTACTATCGTTACGTCGTCGGATCAGAAGAAAGTATCGCAAACTGATATTGTTAATAATCGAATGAATCAGACTGATTAGATTAGATTAGACGATACACGCTGAAGGAAAATGTTAGCTAACCGTCTTCTCCGTCGCGACTAGTAGGAACTTTTGCGGGACAAATTATATTTCATTCGTGACGACGAGGAGCGCGCTAAACACTTACTAGGATCCGGATTCTCCTCCTGCGTCTTCGTTCCGCCGTTTTGCAGCGGCACGTCAATGGTGGCTATTGGCTCGACACGATCCACGGGCGATTGCAATTTATCCGGTCTCGGTAAGTGAATATCGCTAGCGTCTGTGGGAAACGTGGATTATGCGTTTTACAGTAACGAGCCGGAAAATATATACGACTTTGTCGCAAAAGTGCCGGATTTATCATCGATGCAGCGTTACACAGACGCTCGCTCGCAATCCCGACACCCGCAAGGATCGTAGGTGACGCCGAAATTCATTTTTTTAACACGTTCACGACGGGGTGCATCACCGGTGGGTCACGCTCGACTGTCCCATCTGGCGGCGTGCATCACCGGTGGGTCACACGATACTGAGCCATCGGGCGGCGTGCATCACCGGTGGGTCACGCTTGAACATTCGTTTAGATATCGCTCACCATCAAAAATATAGTTCGTTTAGTAACTGGAAAAAATTGCCGTATAGTTGAAAATTTAAATAATTGAAATTTGAATGGCGCCGCCAGATGAAGCGCAGCATGAATTCGAGCGCCGCCTCACAGCGAAAAACATGAAAATCGACCCCGGCGTGAACGTGTTAATCTTACGAATCTCATCAGAAATTTTCTTGATTTTATTAAAAAACTTTAATAACTACTCCAAGCAATACCGCGTCTGACTGTAATTTTCGGCAATCGCGACTCACGTCGCGTCGATAAAGATTCTAATTATATAAATGCATCTTGAATGATACAGCATTATTCAATGTGTGTACACAGAAAAAAAAATTAGTACCAATTCAACTCATATTCTCATATATAAGGGGAGGTTCTCATCTAGAGGTCTAAAAACACGGTGATTTCCTTGATTTTTTTTTTGTCATAGAAGGAAGTAAATGAACAACTTGAGTTTTTTGACAGTTATTTATCGACTCTTAAAGTGTAGAAAAATATTTTTTTTGGTGCATAAAGGTGTCATGGGAAGTGTTAATACGTCGTCGAACGTCACGTTGAAAAAAAAGGTAGCCAAAGGTCTCCATCACACAGCACGTTTATGTCATGTGAAATGAAAAAAACCCAAAAATTTTATAAATTATATGATATTTATTGGAGCTTGAAGCAATAATATCAATAAAAAGTCGAAAATTACAAAAAAGGCGGACATGTGAATTTCTAGTAACGTTTTTTTCACATTTTTCGCTCTTTAAAGTGCTCTGAAAATAAAAAAAAAGACGACAAATATCATCCGAATTTATGTTTAGGATCCAATAAATTTCATCTACTTTAAAATAAAAAAAAATCCAAGTCAATCCATCGAGTAGTTCTTGAGATATCGTGGAGACCAGTTTGAAAAACATGATTGTTCAGAAAACGCGTTTTAATGTGATAGTACTCGTACTTGACGCCATGCAATTCGTTCCTTTCTTATGCGATAACTTTTTATGCAATCGTTATCGGCCAAACCACTTTGAGAACATATTCTACACATCATAAGCTATCGAAAAAAAAAAAATTAAAAAAAAACGATTTTTTGGTCGAGTTTCATGAGAACCTCCCCATAAGCAAGAACATATTTTACATGAAGATAAAACTCACTTTTACACGAACAAATTCTATATGGCTCCATTAAAAATATATATTCATGTTATTCAAGAATAATTTTCATGAATGGAGAAGAGAAAGTATTGAATAAATAAGATACGATATCTTCAAAGAATCATATCAATTTGAAGATATCCTTTTTATATATCCAATTTTATATGTCCAATATCTTTTCCTCTCAATTCGTAAAAATTACTCTTGAATAATAGAAATATGACACTTTTCTTCGTGTAAGAGTAAGTCTTATTATCTTCATTGTATAAGATTCTTGCTTATATATGAGATTTGAATTGATATTATTTTTTTTCTGCAATCGCATGTTTATAAACTTGCAATTGTCTTTCTTATCTCTTCAATACGTATCTTCGACGAGAGTTCAATCGAAGGAGTAAATGTTATGGAGTCGCAGATATCTATCTCGCGCATTCGGTAGTCGACGGAATTGCGAGTCTCAGTATATAAATCGCGAGACGCGATAATCTCGCTGCAACGAACATCGCTTCAGGCTCAACAATACCGAAATTACGGTCTCACCTGTCGTAACTCGTCGGCTGTCCGAGGATATCTGATCGTCGTTCGTACGGAATCTCGTACACCGCTGGAACGATTTATCCCAATACATCACGGCGATATAAACAATGTACAAGAGCACCAACGTTAACGCTTCGTACCATTCCACCCGTTCGTCGTGTATAATGCATATTAAAATTGCAACCGTGACACCGTAAGCGAGACAGTCTCTACTAACGGGCCACCAATCTAGAGGTACCACCTGTGTACGAGAAAACATTGTTATGAGACTGGATTGCAGCACAGATGTCGAGTGAATGTTCGTGGACGCCCAGAGAAACAATAATTCATAAGTCTTCAACATTATCGCCGGGAAAAGGTATATTGACACACGTATGTTAAAAAAAAGAAAAATATCTCATAATATGAATATTGTATATTGTACGTTTATTTTTTCTTTTTCATTCTCTCTAATAATCTCGGCGGTATTTGTAATTTCATTACATGTCGCGCGCGCGGGCACATGCAAATTTGCACGCCTTTCCAATTTCGCGTTTATTAAACTTCGCAAAACTACGGAACATTTGGCAACCCACCATTCCCGCACCGATACCGCAGCAGGCTGGGACAGCCAGGATGTTGAATACTGCGGAACCTACTATCGTCCCGACGCCAATGTCACCTTCCGTGATGAATGTTCCGATGGCATTCACGAATAATTCTGGGGCCGACGTCGCCGCCGCCATAAACGTTGCGCCGGCTACGTCTTTCGACATTGAGAGTGCTGAAACGTAACGCCAGTTCTCCGCTCAGTTTTAATTACCTACGCGTATATTACACGCGCCGATTATTATTGCTAGCGATTCATCGATCTTTGCCATCTGAGATATTTTCTAATTTTGTTTTTTTTTTCATGTAGCTTTTACAGTTTCAAGCAGAGAGAGAGAGAGAGAGAGAGAGAGAGAATACGCGAAAGATCGATACGCACACAATTCGCGCGACTTTGTCTCTGCTACAAATATCTCCGATGACAACGAACCTCCGATGGATCAAATGAATCTACATCTAATTGCGCATCGAGCGAGCTAATTGTGCTTTTTTTGAAAATTTTATTAAGAATAGCCACGATTTTTACACTTTGCATGCTCGCTGTGCATTTGGCGCTATAAATGCGGCTAATAGACTAACAAATGCGATTTTCTTGCTTCTTGCGCGATTGGAACTTGCAACGGGGTACAATTGCGTTCAACACTAAATATAGGTGGCGATCAAGATGACAGCGAAGATACCACGAATGAGATCGAGAGAGCGTTTGGAAAAAATATCGCAGTTTCCGAATGAGAGACAATTACAGTAACAGCTGATGAGATGTGTCTGGCGCCCGCAGTGACGCAGATATGCTGCAGCACGGCATCGATTCGAGGAGTCGCACATCGCGTATCTCAAGCGCTCGCTTGAAATCAACGTAACGTTGCTGATGCCCGTTTCTCGGCCAGCGTCGCTTAAACCTTAACCTAAGCTTGAACTCTCCTCAAGCAAAGACTGACACTCAAGTTAAGGTTTAATCGACGCTTGTAGAAACGGGCATAGAAGCACGCCAGAACAATCCGTTTCGACCAGATCCGATACTTGAGATTCACTTTCAAACATTGGCACACAGATATAAAATTAATATCAATTCGAGACTCATCATATATAAGCAAAAATATGGTAACCTTATATGAAGATAAAACTTGCTTACATAACAAAAATTCTATATAGTTATACTATTCTATATAATCTCTGCTAGTATTTTATATAATTTCACTAACAATATATTCATATGTTATTCAAAAATAACTTTCATGAATTGAGAGAGAAGAAAATATTGAAAAAAAAACGATATCTTTAAACTAAGAATCGTATCAGTTTAAAGATATCGTTCTTTTTCCATCCAATATTTTTCCCTCTCAGTTCATAAGAATTATTCTTGAACAACAAGAATATATTTTTAGTGGAACTATATATAGAATTTCTTCGCATCAGAGCGAGTTTTATCTTTATATAAAATTATATTACATGAGAATACGAGTCTTGAATTGATACTAATTATTTCTCTGCATACGCGCACGCAGCGATGCGCGCTCACGCGAGCGAGTGAGCGAGCGGCGTAAAGTTCACAAGAAGTTCAGGGGGAAAAAAATATGTAATGCGCAACCCTTACCGTGACATATTTTTTCTACAGCAGGTACGAAGAATTTATCGCATACTACTGCTAAAGCGATAAATAAGTAAAGCGACACAATGACGTGTACGACAACGGCACCGCCTTGTCTCTGCTCCTCATCAAATAGGTCGTGTGGAAAGTCTTCTATAGCCGGTGGCGTACAATTTATACCTAAAACGTAAATCACCTTTTAAGGACGATGCACAGTATCATACGGTCGAAGGGAGATTATCCGACGTCGGGAACATTGGCTCTATACGAGGCGAGTACAATACAAAGCGACATTGTTTTAGTTATTTTCCGTCCGTCATTTATCAGCAAGTAATTCTCGTTTGCCCATTCGAATGTGTAAAGCGTATTCTAGAAAGAGAGAGAGAGAGAGAGAGAGGGACGTTGGCCTCATTGAATATGTCGTCATTGGCTCCCTCGATATCGCAGAGTGACCTATAATCCTCAACCAATAGAAAACAAGCAAACGGAGCGAGATTTAAATCTAGAAGAAGATTTCATCGTTTTGATGTCGAGAGAAATTCTTATGATGTGTCGAAACGATTCTTTCCTTCGAGATAAGCCTTCCCGACGGAAACTTCTCCGCCGTGAACAGGCTTTGCCCCCGCGATTTAAATTCACTTCTGTTCTTTTTTTTCCTGGAGGAATCTTGCCTTTTTGTACTCCTGTGTGACTTTCGCCACACCCTTATTCTATTTATTCGTGGCGAGCGCGTAATACCGATTCCGGATGTACCGCACCCACGCACACTCCGTATCCGACGAAATGCATTTTTATCGTTATGCAACGCATAGCGCGATACAAATCTGGCGGCGGTACGCACAAGCCGGGGAGAGCCGTGTGTAGGATACATTCCTGTTTATAATTTAGCACACGACGAATAACATTTTGATGAGACGCGCCGGTGATGACGCATGTGTGACAAGAGAGAGTAAGTGAGAGGGGCGGGGGGATGCGATGCTGAAAAATAAAAAAGGTCTCGCAGCCTGAAATATTCTATATATTTTTCTATACGCTGTGTTACTTATAAATAATAATAATAATAATACTATGAAAATAATAAACGTGACTTCACGTTCGTCTCGTCGAAAATATTAATTTTATCCCTCCTCTCTTCATCCCTTTTCACCGTTCCCAAGCGAGCCAATATTTTCGGTCAGCTCGGTCCGCTCGTAACTCGCGTTGTCTCTCGTATTGAATTCCGCGAGAAGACCTCACACGGCAGAATGGACAGCTACATGTTTGCTACTTTAATATAATGCAGAGACTTTTTCTCTCTGTCGCGCGCGACGCGCGGCCGCTCATGGGTTAATACGATAAGAGAGCGGCGGGAAGAGCTTAAAGTTAACCATTATCTTTTTAGAGTCAGCAGCGCTCGTTCTGGCGCTAAAAGGGAGCGGAGCCGTGACGAGGAGGTAGATCGACGATTACGAAATCGTATATTAGCACGTACGTTGACTCGTCGAATAGGAACATTCCCGCTGAAACGCCTGAACGAGACACGAAATGTCACGCGTGTACGTATATGTATGTATCGTGTGTATGTAGGGTCCGCAACCACGTACACGACTTGCGTCGATGTCGCTGTCCAAATCGGATCGTGTGGTGGTAAGATAACGATAGGCCAAGTAGGAAACGTCTCGTTACCGCGTGCGCCATTACTTCAATTTTATGGAACCCGTGTCGTGCCGAATTATTTGGCAAACAACCGGCTGTGCCGCGGTACAAAGGTGGTCTGTACAGTCGACCTCATGTACCATTCCCTGCACGGCGAGTTGCACGATTTTCAGCCTTACGCATGAGGCTGAAAGTCGCAGAAGTAATTTTAGTTACACTGGTTGCGTTCAGCAGAACATTTTGTTTCTTTTGCGATGCGTTGGAAGTTTTGAATCTAGAAGAATAATCCAATCTCAGTTTGGAGAGCTTCCAGCAAAGTTGCAAAGTAAACATTCTGGTGAACGCAGCCGTCAGTAGAGCTACAATTCTAATTGATGACAGTTTTCGGCCTTATGTATACGCGTGAAGGGCTAAAAATCGTGTAACAGTAAAAAGTTTCGATCCAGAGGATAGCGCAGCACGCATGACGCCGACTGTACTCGCGCGAAACGCGATTTTGATCGTGCACACGCACAGTAAGCGCGCACAGAACCGGTGCTCGTTACACCAATTTTAGCGAGGCGAATTTTCAAAGGCGTTCCATCACGGAACGTTTAGCGAACTGTCGAACCGCTGGATACGTGTCCACTCCGGTTTCGGCCACGTTACCGCCGACCTTGTCCCGTTAATTGCCGAGATCTCTTTCGCGCGCGTTGCGTCGCACGAGCGCGAAAAATTTGATCGATTCTCCGCGCGCGATGTGCCACGCGCGGTTGACGCGTCAAACGTGTCCTCAAATTCGTACGTCCGTCTTCAGCGTCGAAAACCTAAAAAGTTGGAGCAGCTTCTTTTCGCTCATACAGAAATAAAATCTTAAATCAATGATAGATATTCTCATATATAAGAAAGAATATTATAATTCAAATATTATATTATAGTTCAAATCAAGACTAAAAATCTTCCAAGATTATGTATAACATTCTTGCTTATATATAAAAACACTTATCATTGATTTATAAAACTAACCTTTTTTCACGCATAATTAACGATATTTGGTAAAAATGTCTGTACTAATTAAGCTTCTATGATATAATGAAACGCGAATTGGAAATTCGAAATTGGAGAGATTCCGATTCTCATTGAATTGAAATACGCGTTAACGGGTATTGTATCTCAGTTACAGATGAACGAATCGCGATCATTAAAGGTAGTTGGTCGGTCAACCAATTTTCTCTCAGAAATCTTTTCAAAGTTAGCTGCATATTGATAAGAATATTATCCACACGTCTGTAAATTTGAAAAATGAAAATGATTGGCCATTCGACTGAAAAATGAGAATAATTGACCATTCGGAAATTGAAATGTTCGTAACTGAAGATGACACTTTTTATACATGTTCCTTGAGATTAATGTTCCACTTTTAATTTCTTCTATACCGTAAACCACATTTAGGATTTTAATGGGAAACTACTGTGATATTAAGGACTAGTATAAAGACATTATATAAAATTTTCAAAATTATTGACCATTTTGTTTTAAAAATACAGCCATAGATAATTTACAATTTATAATAATACCCGTGATATATACGTACATATATACATATTTAAATGTTTATGTATCGCTTTCTATTATATATGCACTTCTATTATGCTCAACTGGCGCATAAATAAATAAAATTAATATCGCTTAATATCGGAGATCCGGTATCGCGGACCAACTACCCAAACAGAACAAATTTCTAAAGGACATCTTAAAGACGTTTGAGGGATATCTAAAAAAGCAAACACAGAACGTCTCTTGAGCGTCTTTAAGAAATTTGTTCTGCCCGGCTACCTTAACTCGTGTCAACTCTTATCGCTGTACGGACCGAAGTCGTAGACGAAAAATCGAGTCGAGATCTCGGCGAAATACGTGTATCCCGCAAGACGCAACACATATTCGCGCGTCTAGCCTTCGCTCGCGCGTGAGATTTCGATACGTCGTTTTTCTCCGCGATAAAGCCCGCTCGTTTCGCGCCTCGCCGAACCGCCGGTCCAACGTCCGCTCGAAATTTCAACGGATTAAATACTGCGCGCGCGCGAGTTCGTGCCGCGGCGGATTACCTAATTGCGCCGGCGTATCCGGAACGCGGGCCGGCATTATTGCACGACAATGCAGCGAGCTAATGGCGACATTAATCTCGCCAGCCTCATCATATTTTAATTTCTCCCCGAGACACGGTCCTTCCTCCCTTCCGCCCTTCCCGCCGATAGAGCGCGAGCACATGCAAGAACGTGCGCGTATTGGTGCCTCTTGCAGGTTATACCGCTATGTGACTGATGTGACTTCCTACCGATTAAGCAACCTAAAGAAGTTAAATTGCTCTCATTCAACTTGGCAGAACAGATGCCATTCATGTCTAATGTACGTCGTATAAACTAGATATATCACGACTCAACGAGACTCGCGGAGCCCGACGGCGGCGGCGGCGGTGGAGGCGGCGGCGGCGGCGGAGGTGGCGGCGACAACGGCGGCGGCGATGCGGTCGGAAGGGCGCGGCGCGATGCGACGCGTCGCCGGTTGCCGGCAGACGGTAGCCGATAGATAATCGGTTTTTCGCCACCGACTCGCTGTCCGACGATACTCACGACGGCCTGATGATGCTTTCCGCCGATTATTCCAGAGGCATTCGAACGGAGAATCCTCGGCCGGCGGGAACCGAGCGGGAAGTTCTCCGAAGGACTGGCTTGAATCCGAGAGAGCGAGAGCGAGAATCGATACGGCCGGTCAAGTGAGCGAGGGCTCGCAATGCGAGTCGCGATCGATCGTTCGGATTTCAAATGATCGCGAGCAAATCCGCAAGGGAAATTCGAATGCGGACGGTATTTATCGCGAATGAGAAATAGAGAATCCTCGTTTTATTTTGTCGCACAACGCGGCACAATCGGCGTCACAATTCCCCAGACGGAAAATTACACGATTTTCAGCCTGCACGAGTCATAAAGTTGAAAATCGCATGAGTAACTATAACTATAATGATAGAGTTGCGATGACTCTAATTATGATGGTTTTGACCTTAAGTGTGTATATATGTGAGGCCGAAAATCGTGTAATTTTCAATCTAGGGAATGGTACAGCATACGTGACTCCGACCGTACAGTCGACGTCATATATGCCGTACCATTTTCTGGGCGGAGAGTGACACGATTTTCAACCTTACACAAACGGTTGAAAATCGCAAGAGTAATTCTAATAATAATAAGATCATTATGACTTCGATTATAATGATTTCGACCTCACGTGTACATGTATAAGGCCAAAAATCATGTAATTTCCGATCTAAGCTCGAACGAAGCTCATCTCTTCCTCGACGGAGGGTTTACACGATTTTCAGTCTTACACATAACACGTAAAATTGAAAATCGCGGAAGTGATTCCATGGCAGCATAATTAATTTCATACACGTTCTTGAAACGTATGTAGTACGTTTACGAAACGTTACATAAATACGTACGTGTAAAAAAAGAAGAACGTATATGAAGGTAATACATGTTACTTGAGTCTAATTATAATAAAGTAGGGTTGTGATGGTTCTAATTAGAAAAGTTTCAACCCCTTATGTGTATATGTGAAAAATCGTGTAATAATGAAAAATTTCAATCTAGGAAGTGACACAGCATATATGACGCCGACTGTACATACGGCAGATCAAAGGTTGCGGCACTCTCGTTCGATGAGTTTCGCAACGTGTCTCGTATCCAATAAGAAAAGACATCCAATAAGAGACAAATTCTCCTATTGGGCGCAGAATGCGTTCCGCCACGCTCATCGGGAGAAAAATGTCGCAACCTTTAATCCGCCGACTGTATGGAATACTAAAATGCTCGGAAGCTGCAATAAATTTCCCGGCGGTTTCGAGCTGAGAGCGAAGGTGGTGTCTTGAAAATTCCGAATATTGCTTTCGTGACGCGCGATCGTTCGATTTAAACAGGGGCTCGCGTAAAAGTTGTACGTGTTGCATGTTGTTTAACGTTGTCGTCTTACGCACTGTGTGTTTCGCTCGCGCGTCGTGTCGTCTCGCGCGTCGGATCGCGCAGGGGGGTGTCTATAGTCTCGCTATAAATATAATACTGCGGCGAGGAAGAGAGTAAATAAATGGTTCACATTGATTATCGTTGCGCGTCTTATGGTCTATACAGCACGTTACTTTGTAGTGTAGACGAAGGAACGATTTTAAACCGATATCCGCGGCGGAATCGCGCAATACAGCGTAAATAAAACCGCAACGACCGGCAATAGAGATGAGCTACGTAACTCACTCTCCGATGCTTGTTTTATCTTGCGAGGGTTCGGTGTTTTCGAGCTTGAATGATCGCCCGATACGTTATTCTCAATCAAAGGGTTACTCAGATTCTCCAGGATTTTCCCGAATCTTATTCAGCCGATATTCCGCATCTTGCGTTTCCGTCGAATGAGAACATAATTCGGATAATTAATCGTTTAATTGCCGCGTTATTAACGTTATTACCTTCGGAATTCAGCGTTAATCGCGGAGAGATTTGAAAAACGGCCCGTTATTTCCGTTATTTCTTGCTCTCCATAAGACACTCGCTCTTAAAGACTCTCTCACGCTCGCGTTTAAAGATAGACCGGATGGATTTTTTCGATGATAAACAGTCCGAGCATCGATCCTGTTTTTCAACATCTTCGATAGATAAACGTAAAGTAGCGGTTGTGCATAATCGAGGCAGCGAGGCTGGCGTGAATTAGCGTGAGTCTGTTCTATAAAAACCGAGCCGAGCTTCCCTCGAGCGACAAACAAACAATAATAAATATTAAGTAGGCTGTTCTTTTCTAAGAATGACACACTCACACGCGCACGAGCCTCCTCGTAATGTGCGGCTCTGAGCTTTGCGGCTCGTCCAGCTCGTATGTAAATCTGGCCCTGCGGACGATTGACAGGTCACGCCGGACAAGTGAACGACAAAGAAGAGCGACAAGCTAGAACGGTGGACGACGAGCGAACGTCGTTTTCGTTAATTTTCACTGATCCCAGGTCGCAATTGATGATGCTTAATTAATCGCTTTAGAAGACGCCGTGGTCCTCACGCGCTCATGCCTCTCGCCGGCTTGACTTTAATTAATCGCACTAATCGCCTCACCGTCCTCCCTGCGTTCTTGTTCTTATTAAAGGTCAACGTAACTGCCCACCGACGAAAGCGGATGCATCGCGTCTAAAGCTGAGTACGCACCGAAAGAGAACGAACAAGGAACGAGAACAGCTTTCGTTCGTTACAATTTGGAAAATCCGTAGCGCCACTGAGCGAAACTGAGCAGAGCTTTTCGGGAAGAGATTTGTTCGTAAGATGCTTTATTAGAGATAATTCGCGGGTGTTTAGACGCGAATACACACGGAGAAGATGTGTAGCAAAAATTACCGTAAAATTACTAAAACTTTACCGGAATTATGACTGAAATTATTATGTGTGTTGTGATCTTTAATGATGTGAACAATGAAACACGTCATTAAAGATTATAATACACATTATAATAATTTCAGTTATTATAGTTTCGGTCCATGATCCGGTGTTACAAAATTTTGCGGTGATTTGTACCTACAATATTTTCCCCGTGTACCCATTCATATTAAACTGGGCACACATTGGGCGAACGAACGAGGAACGAACGATGAATACAGACATTGTTACGATTTAGAAAATTGTGTGCGCCATGACGAGACTGAAAAAAAAACTGGTTTCGTGCCAATTTACTCATAAAGTGCTTTATCAAGGAAAATTCGTGCGCGTTTAGACGCAAATGTACACATTCGTATTACACATTCGTTCGTTGTTCGTTCGCTCAGTGTATACCCACCTTAACGTGAGCGGAGCGTGGAAGTAAACTTCTGCGTTCACATCGCCGTCCGTGTGGACCGTCAGTGACGATTGATAGAGATCTTTGCGAACAGTGGTAGACTCGCTTTTGCGGTATCGCTTGTGCAAACAGCCGGGATATGTTTGGTCGTTGACATTATTCATGCGTACGAATTAACATGCCGGAAGCTCGTCTCTCCATCCTAATATCCCAGTAAACACCAATCAACAAAGCAATGTTACAATTTCCTACCACGATAATAGTAGTTTCCCATTTAGTGACACAAGTCGACACAAACATCATTTTGTCTTTGTTCCATACTAAGTGAGTACAACAAAGATAGGATGATGTTTGTGTCGACTTGCGTCGCTGAATGGAAAGTATCCAATGTAAATACAATATAACATATGTTGTGTGTAATACAGTTACGATGTTGAATGAGATTATAACATTGATGTTATTGTTAGTTGATGCGTTTACTGGAATGTGTTCATCGACAATTTATTAGCGAACAAAACGATCGCGTGTTCAGCGCAGAGCGCGTGTCTCTCCTCCATTATTCCTTTCTACCCTTTTTCTATCGTTTCTTTTCTGATTTGTAACGGACACGTTGGACTAACGTTTCGTCCGAGTGAATACGCGCTACTTCCCAGCAAACACAAACCAACACCGGTAACATTGCATCAATAATTATAATTTCTCACTCAACAATGTAAGTGCAATATAACATGCGTGATACATATATTATATAGTTGCATTGTCGAGTGGAAAATTATAACATCGTCGTAAAGTTACCATTAGTTGGTGTTTATCGAATTGATAGTTTTTTTGCGACATGTAGACGATATGGAAGCGTCATCATTCGGCTTGCGATTCGTTGCGATTTTTGGCTAAGATTGAGACGTTAGAATGGAGAAAAATCCAAAATATAAGAGAAGGATTTTGGAAGGCCGCGGCGTCTCACAGACTTTCTGCCTTCGCGAGACATTTCGGGTGTTTGCGCTTCGCACGGAAAATACAATTCTAACGTCGAATTCGTGTCACTCGAGTTGCTGATATTAAAGATTTCTCATCGATAGGTCGTCATCTCACGATATTTCTCGAAGGAAGCGAAACATATATATACACACACGCACACACACACACACATACACAGTAAACACGCGATGCTCAGCGGCGGCAGCTCGCGCATACAGAAAGCTGTGTTTGCCTTCCTACGGCGCATCGTGTAAATTTTACCTTCTAAGAGTTACAAAAGGAGAGCTCACGCGAGAGTTGATTAACCCTTTCACACCCGATGTCCAGTATAATGGACGCGTCACTCTTACAGTCACTTAGTACCGTTTCCTCATTTTGCAGGCACGTTCTGAGATTCAAATCGTCTAACGTCATCTTTGCGACTTTCAGATCGAACGATGAATCGAGAAACGGGCATACAAAACGCATCTAGCAACGCAGAAGCCGTTAGCGAGTGCAAATAATTCGTGCTGTTAGTGGATAAAAATAAGACACACACCGGGAGACATCTGAAATCGTAAACAATTTTTCATTAGTGAAATCGAGGCAGCCGAGTTTTTCTGAAAAAGTGGAAGAGGCAAAAGGAGAGATAAGCGCTTTCGGGGTGCATCGTCCTCGAGCTCGGAATTAGCTCGGTGGTACTCAGCAAGTGGAATAAAATTCAAGCTGAATTTGACAGAGGCGAAAGAGAGGCAGAGGAGGAAGAGAGAGATGAGAGGAGAAGAGCAGGAAAAGCGATGGACGACACGTCTGAATACTCGTTACTGGCTCCAACGGCACGAATGTCGCGCGTGCAACCGAGAGAGGGAATTACACATATGTATACGTGCTATTTCTTTTCTCTTTTAAGGAACACTTCTTGCATCATCATCGGGCATCTCGCTCGCTTCGTGCGCGTCGACGACGACGATTAGCACCATGCTAAACGTGTAACGAAACAGTCCTACCGGACTTCGCACATTCCGCGTCTCCTCACAGCGCGCAACTGCCGTTCTTCCCGTCGACAAAGTGGAAAAAGTGGCGAAAAGTCGCGAGCCGACCGAGAACACATTTCGACAGATCCACGCAGATTTTCCCGCCGTCTCCCCGTTTTCCCCGGCTCCCTCTCTCTCTCTCTCCCTCTCTCTTTCTTTTTTTTCCCCGCGAATCTCGTCGTCGTCCTTGTCTCCGATTCTCCCGATCGACATATTTTCCGTGCACGCTTCACTCCGTCCCCGCATCCGCGTCCGAAACTGACTTTAACACGACGCAGTCCCGCCGATATTATTGAAAATAAGATTCGAACACACCTCCTCCTAGGTCAGACGTATCCATGTTGTCAATCCCGTTGTCACACACATACTACATTAACATCTACTCCGAAGTCCGACATCGTTTGTTGGAATCGCCCCTCCCTCTATCTCTTCTCTCGCACGTAGCGCCTGTTGCTGAATCCGTACTGCATGTAGGTGAAGCTCTCTCGGCTTTAGGTACGATGGAGGCTCCCGAAATTTACAACCGCAAATGCAAGCCGCAAATTACCGGAGGCCCGTAAATTGCGTCACGATCGTCAATACATTATTGTTTATTTCTTGTTTTTTCGCTTTCCTTAATGGGAGATAATAAACACGCGTCGTTGCGGCGATATTCTCCCGATCGAAAATCACCGCGCGCAACGTCCAATCCGCGAGAGGCGCATTACCCGTACAAGCGAATGTTGTGTTCAGCTAAAACTGAGTATGCATTGAGCAAACAACAAGGAACGAGCAACGAAAGCAAATTTTCATTGTTATAGTTATATGGAAAATGTGTATGACCGATTCACAAAGAGATTCACGAAGGAAAATATTTTGATGGCACAGCAGATTGTTGGTTACCTTTAGGGACAGTAGAAAAATTTGTTCGGACAGCGCAAAGATCTGTTAAGAGTATTAATTGCCTTTGCTGGATATATAGATATAGCAAAATAATTTGGTTGCGCCAAGTAAATTTTATCGTTGTCGCAACAACGTTTTACTACAACAGTAAAATTATTTTTTCCGTGTTGTATTTTTTTTATAAATTGCATTTTTTTAACAATAAACGCACAGCATATGCAAACTTTCGTTGTTATATTTAAAAAAATATATATGTCGTGATAAGTTCAAATACAACTTTTCGGGCCGATTTGCTTACAAGATGGCTTATCAGACGGTTTTAAAGAAAATTCGTCTCGCCGCGAATACATCACACGTTCGCTGTTCGTTCGTTTGCTAGGTGCATACGTACCTTTATATATTCGCTGTTCGTCCATTGTTCGTTAGCTCAGTGTACACCCACCTTAACGTGATCGCTTAAATTTCGTAGAATCGAGTTGGCTTCGAACGATGCGCGTGTACGTATGTATCTTATAACTCACGTCTTATCGACGAAATATAGATTTGCACGTCATTGGGTGATATTCGAATATATTATATATTATGTATTACATTATGTTATACATTATGTAAACGCAGTAAGAGCCAGAAACATTAAATCAATCTTTTCGAAACATTAATTTCATGTGGATCTTATAACATACATGACACAATATTTTAATATTTAATATTTAATATTTTATCAACGTTTTTAAACTGTTACTTAATAATATAACATTCCTAAATATCAAAATCATAGTGTAGATGTTTGGATCAAATATTGTTAACAATGACGTTGTATACAATATTAAAAATGACATATTTGAAAACGTTACCTATTATAAAATATCATTGTAATAACGTTGTGTTAATGATTTTATATTTCTTTTAAATAAATAAATGTGTATTTCTCTTTTTCTCTCTCATTTATGTTACACGTAAAATTTACATATCATGCTGCGTGGTCGTGATGTTACACGCGATTTGATTTATGTCGTAGAATTCGCCGCGCGCGGCTGGCGTTTGTATTTTCAGCGGTCCTGATATATTCGGTGTAGTTGACGTTAGTTGCGGTGCAGCGGCGAACAATTGCATGTAACTTCCAACGAATTGTTTAAACTGGAATCTCCCGTGAAAATTACACTATACGTTCGTGCGGGTTAATTCAACCGGTGCAGGCGCACCGAGCCGCGCTCCACCGTCTGTCACCGGCAGTCGTCGATTCATCCTCTACATCCGCATCGGTGCACCTGCATCAGCTGCTATGTTAATAATTAAACGCTCTCGCAAGCGTGTTCCGTACTTGAGAAAAATTTCGATCTCACGACGCGAGTTGCAAAAACACTTCTACAAATTGCTTCTTGTTCCGCTAGCTCTCTACATTCCTGTCTTCGTGGGATTCAACGTTCTTCAAACAATACGTGCGAGCTAACACTCCTGTACACTTTATTTGAAGGCTGTTGAGGAATCGCGGGTGAAAAATGTTTTGGTTTGAGTGAGAAGTTTATCTAATAAAATTATTGGGATGCTCGCGATTAATACGAAAGTGTACGGGCGATAACGAGCCACGACAATAATGTAAACATACTAAATTGTCTTACGTGTCCGTATCAGTTCATTATCACTACGTTCATAATCCATGGTATCGCAACGTCCAAATATTCCTTCCACATGTGGAAAGTTTCTTTTTAAATGAAACATTTTTCGCCTATATTTTCTTGCATTGTGTTATGCTGCTACATATTGCATTTACATTAAAATAATTTGCGTTTGCATTTATTTTGAAATAAAGTTAAAATGAGATTAGTTGCTTAGTATTTGTGCTTTCTTGAACTGAATGCTTCTACGAGAGGCTGCATGCCACGACTAGAGAGGAAAGCAGCATGTGTCGCAGGTAATCCATTTTTGTCTGGCTTCGCTCTTAAACCCTCACTTTTCTTTACGTGCAACAAGGATGGCATGCCTGCATGCAGACAGTGAAAGAGGAATACAAGGTCTGTTCGTTTCGGCTAAATTAGTGCTGCACTAGAACTTCGTTCCCTTTCCCTTCAACATTAGATTATACACTTGTGTCGCTCGAGCTGTCATAAGAATGTGCAGCGTACGTATACAAGTCGATGTTGTACACACACATACACAGCTCAATTCTGTCTGAACTCGTCCTATTGAAATAATAAAGATACGATAAACGACGAACCTCCGAAGGAAACGCGTGGAGGGAAATCAATACATCCGAGTTTCTTTCTAATCGCGCCACGTGTGATTAAAGAAGGATCCGAGAAGGAAAAACCTACGAGCACGGGTCACTCGAAAGTGGAGACGTGCATCACTCTCTCTCTCTCTCTCTCTCTCTGAACGATCTCCAAGATATCGGTCGCGGGCAAATGATATCATTCTACGTAACGATATATTCGAGAGAAATAAATTTTAATCGACGAGTGCATGTTCGAGGTAACTTCGCACGATAAGCGTGACCATGTGACAAACTCGGATGAGAAAGAGAGAGAGAAGAAAGGAAAGAGCAACAGCGTAAACGCAAGACATATGTACGTTTTCTCTGGCTGCGTGCATAACAATATACAGCCGCGATACGCAACGCAAACTCGCCGGGAACGGAAAAATTCGTCGTGTACCTAACCGGGCAACGCCGGGGGATCACGGCGAGCTAAGACGTGTATTGGACGGCCCGATCGGAAACTTTCCTGAGCGCGGATAATCGTAGGGATGGATTACTTAGCGAGCACGCAGTATCTTATCGGCGATGCCGACACTGCGCGATAATTCTCGAAAAATATAAAGCAGTCAATCGAATCCTACGTGCCGGATAAACGGCAGGTAGCCGTTCCGTATCGCATCGGTCTGGAGGAACCGCTTCCGAGGAATTCCGTGTCATTACAGAAACGTGCAAACGAGAGAGAGTTCACAGTCGGCAGCCACCCTCGCGCGTTCTTACATAACACACACAAAGATGGCAAAGCGACACAAACATATGGTCGGATACCGGATATTTTTCGTTATAGCTATACCGACTTTGTACTTCCTTTGTATCAGTACAATGAGCCTCTTTTTGGATAGTTCGACGAGCACCGGCAACACAGCAAACTGGCGTAAGTATACCGATAATAATACGTGTTACAAACCCTTTTGCGCGCACGAACGCCCGTCTGCCGTGAAACGCGAGCGGAGGAATTCGTGAATTGCCTTCGAAGATTGTCTACAAAGTCGAGAAAGATTACATAATAATATTAGAGACAACAGTTTTGTAATGAAAGATAAAATATGTCATTTGATATGCTCTTTTTCGATATATTAATACTAATTAAAAACAATACACATACATATATTTGAAATCTTTTATTTTTAGAGGATATCCCACAATTATGCGTACAATCGTTTAATACAGTGTATTCTGGAGCCTAATTGGAGAATCGAGAATCCTAATATGAAAAAAACTCGAAAGAAGTTGAAGTCTCGATATTTTTATATTAGGATCTTTTACTTCAATTAAGCTCCAGAATACACTATTGCATTGTACAATAATTTTTAGGCATCCCCTATGTTTGTGTGAATATATATCATATATATATATATATATAATTGTGATAGAAACATTTTGCTAAATGTCCTTCTTATTCGTGCAAATGTATTCCGAGCGAGATGAAGCGCGCAGATACGGCGCGTATATTCGACGCGTCGCCATTATCGTTCGCGATCTCTTATCTATCGGCGATGAAACGCGTCTCACCGAATGTATCTCACAATTTTCCCTGCTCCTTCGGCGTTTCCCATTCACACGACGCGCTCGTTCTGTGTTTTCCAGAAGGACGCAAATTGCTGCAAGCGAGCGAGCTCGAACAGCAATGGAACGACAGTAACAACTGCACGCCGCCAGCTATCAAAGAGTTCCCGTCCGACGGGCTTACACGCCAACAAAGACAGGCAGGATTTATAATTGTCCACTTCGTCATCGCTATTTATCTCTTTTTATTACTTGCCATTGTCTGCGACGACTATTTCGTTCCCTCTATTAAGAAAATTTGCGAGAGTGAGTACCGTTTGGAACAACGAAAGGAAATTGTTCTTCAGAAAAATGCATCGTTTCCGCGTATAAATATTTTTGCCTCCCCTCACTGTGGCTTCTCTCTCTCCGTTTCGTTGTAACGGACAGTAAGACAGTGTGCAGTTTGGCGCGCGCGCGCGTGTGTGTGTGTATCATGTCGCTTCTTTTTCTCTTCCAATTACTTTTTTACTCGTTTGCAACTACTTTTTCGCGGCCGCGGCTGTCTCTTTCTCTCTCTCTCTCTCTCTCGCGCGCGCGCACAGTTGAATAAAACGAAATGAAATATCTCGGTAGAACTTAACGTCACCGAGGATGTGGCCGGCGCGACCGTAATGGCAGCCGCGAGTTCCAGTCCGGAATTGTTCATCAACGTCATTGGTACCTTCGTGACGGAAGGGGATTTGGGAGTAGGCACCATTGTCGGTTCGGCGGTGTTCAACATATTGGCGGTGCCGGCGTGCTGCGCACTGTTCGCGAATCAGGTAAGTATGCGGCAGTGTACATTTTTTCGATACAATACTTTTCTCAGAGATTGCCAACGACCACTCCTGATCCATATCGTTATCGCTATCTCGTATTCGTAGGTGTTGAACTTGGAGTGGTGGCCCGTGTCGCGTGATACGTTAGCGTATGCCTTCACGGTTGTCCTCCTGATACTGACTCTTCGGGATGGACGTGTCGAGTGGTACGAGGGGCTTATCCTGGTCTCCTGTTATATTATTTACATATCAGGTAGATGTAAATACAGTAGATACAAATTTGTCTGAGATAGGCTATTCAAGGAGACTTATGACTCATTCTCAGACAGAATCGGGAGCTTCTCATGCACTTGTCCGAAAAATCAATCCTGCTTTAATCCTGAAACAGCGTCCCCGGCAAATTTGATAACAACCGACGAAATATGTATTCTGAGCTGAATAATTCGTTTGAACCTCAACGTCGTTTGATGCAGTATCGTTTTTTTGGAAAGTTTCTCCTTACGACAAATATCTCTTCTGCAAGAGATACTTCCGTCCTTGTCAATTTTTTAGTTATCATTCAAGTCTTATCCAGAGTTTGTGTTTCCAGCTATGTGCTTCAACCAGCGTATCAACAGTTTCATAAGACGACTAACGTCCAGAAGGAAAAAGTATAAAAATATTTGTGAAGAGACTCCTCTCATATCAAACAGTAAGATATATAACTTATTAATTACACGTATATAACGTAATTTATTCAATATAATAGCCTCTGCAAAAGTAAGTGAATTAAAAGAAATTGATACAGTTTCATTCTGTGAAATCATGATTGTAATCTTAAAGAATCGCCTCTAATATTTTTGCATTTCTTCCCATTTATACCCGCCAAATCTCTTGTTTTGATTTTATTTCTACGGCAAGGTTTTCATTAATCGAAAAGTTAATCACTTTTCCTAATATGTTAAGAATAGAAAAGAACAATTTGGTCTGATCTTGTAAATTAGAGATACAGTTTCACAGAATAAATCCCTGTCATTTCTTTTTAATCCACGTATCTCTTTGCAGGGATTGCATTCGATAACTACTCATAAGAAATGTAATATCATGCTTGGCTATTTTTTATGATGAAACCTGACAGACTTCATTAAAGAAACAGAGATATGTGAATTCAGTTCCAGCGATCACGATGAGTCACGTATGTATCCCATAGAAAAATTCTATAACATATGTCGAGATAATGAACATTTCAGTACAAAAAGATGTAATCGTGTTACTTACGGCGGTCCCTAAAGAATCCGCAATTACAGTACATTGCGTTGTGATACAAATATTAAATCCGAGCATTTACGAAGTAAACGGCAATATGTAACGTAAAATATTTATAACATTTTACATACTCATTTCTAGTCGAAATTGTGAACATGACGAGCTGGCCGGATTCGGTGGGCGAAAAAATATGGTGGGTTATCACTTGGCCTATTAACTTGGTATTGCTCTGTACTATCCCCGACTGTAGAAGAAACAGATTAAAATCATGGTATCCCTTGACGTTCATTATGTGCGTCTTATGGATAGCGTCTTCGTCTTATATTATTGGATGGGTCATCACTGCTATCGGTACGTGTCATCGACGACTGAATATTTATATTCGCGGATACTACTTAAATCCATGATGTACGACAAAAACTTAAAAATAACCAATAACTCGGATTTTCTAAAACAAATATCCCCAAAGAAAGAACATCGTGAATATATTAAATCTGTTAAAATTTAAAAATGTTCTTCAGACATCTCTTGTAGGCTTCTTGGAGTCATTTATATTAACATTGTATTTATGTTTCAGGTGATACCTTTAGAATACCTGACTCTATTATGGGTTTAACGTTTCTTGCGGCAGGAATGAGTGTACCTGAAGCAGTGTCTAGCGTTATCGTCGCGAATCAAGGTATATATATGATCATACAAATATATAACTTTTTCCATTTTAATACGAGAACTTCTTGCAGCGAGTTAATGTAAAAATTTAAATATCTTTCAGGTCACGGTGCTATGGGGATAAGTAATTCCATCGGATCGAATGTGTTCGATGTGTTATTATGTCTTGGACTGCCATGGTTCATAAAAGCCACGTTACTACCAAAAGTACCTGGAGAATATTATGTTCAAATTAATTCTCAGGGACTAGTGTACAGCTCGATATCTCTCTTCTCCACGTTAATTATCCTATATGGATCACTGTCCTTTAATAAATTCAAATTAAATCGTACAGTCGGAATGATCTGTCTCGTTATGTACGTTATATTTTTGATATTTGCATCTGTTATAGAACTCAACACATTCTTCGTCGTTAATTTACCGATATGCGTTGACTGAGCAACATTAATTTTGTAAATAAGGCAATATTTATATATCTCTCGTCAATATCTGTACATTTATATACTATAATAATTAATTTTTTACTTAAAATGTTTACGCAATTTTTTTTCTTGCTCTATGACAAACCAAACGCATGTGAACATTATACTTATTTCTATTATACTTATTTCTACATCGTATGTTTGAATAATCTATAACTAGTTTAATTATACAAGTTTAACTTTTGTATTCAATACATTGCAGCTGTTTAATTATTAATATATAATTAGTAATATAACAGCTATTAATATAATATTGTGACTTTTAAATACTACAGCTTCAGGAAAAAAAGTGAAATGACACATTCAGATTTAAATTGTGATGCTTAAATGTTACAAGTTATTAAAATATATTATGTTATTATATAGTTTCTATTTAAAATATTCGTTTGTTTATTAAAAATATTATTTCTTATATAACTTTAATATTTTCATTAAAACTCACATTGAACATTCTTGTTGAGTATTTAGAAGAATCCAAATGAGTTTCTTATTACACAACATATGAATTTATTTAACACAATTGACCACAATTTCCTATCATAATTTTTTCATATGTCTTACCACTCTGCGAACCGTAACTTTCAATTTTCCTTACAATATCCATCCCATGAACAACAGAGCCGAACACAACATGTTTATTGTCCAACCAAGGCGTCTTTGCAGTGGTGATAAAAAATTGTGAACCATTAGTATTTGGACCAGAGTTTGCCATTGACAATATACCATAGCCTGTGTGCTTGAGTTCAAAATTCTCGTCCTCAAATTTGTCGCCATAAATAGACTTTCCACCTGTACCGTTGTGATTTGTAAAATCACCCCCTTGGCAAACAAATTGGGGAATTACACGATGAAAATAGCTGCCTTTGTAACCAAAGCCTTTCTCCCCTGTGCATAAAGCTCGGAAGTTTTCCGACGTCTTTGGTACAACGTCAGGTCGTAATTCTATGATAATTCGTCCTAAAGACTTCTCATCTGCGTTTATGTCAAAGTATACCCTCGGTAAAACCATAGTGCGCTCGTAGCCTCTCACAAATTGGACCTGGACATAATAAAAATTGATCTGAAGACTCTATTGAAAAATGTGAAGCCAGATTATTTATAAATAAAAATAAATTATTTATAAATAAAAAAAAGCCAGATTATTTATAAATAAAAATAAAGAAAATATCCAGAATTACCACGTTACCTGACAGTGTTAGGTTATTATGTGTAACTTTGTCCCACGTAATCTAAATCCGTAAGAGAAGATATATTCTTTCAATTTTACAGATTTAATGGTTCAATTAGTGCCGACAAATTTCATTATTAATTATTTTCTCCGTGCATGTATGTCGCATGTATGAAGCCGTTTAAATACTTAGACCACATAATTATAGCGATACAGTGTTGTCAACTTGAAATTAAAAAATCTATCATATGTTTCTTTCTCTCTCTCTCTCTCTATGGGATAACGACGACATTAATATAGTTAATGTGGTTAAAAACTAGAGACTTCAAGTTTTAAAATGCTTCTTAAACGATCTCCATAGCGTTATTTTTACGAAAGTTATAGCCTGTTGAATTTCGCCTATATTTTGTTATAATGGAAGGTACATTTGACCAGCCCTTGAGTTATACTACTTAAAAAATAGATAGTACGCCCGGCTCGTTTAGTCATATCACGACCTCAAACACTATTCTTCGACCATTACACCACCATCGCAGGTTATCACGACTTCAGTTTCTCGTTTGTAACCAAAGACGTTGTATAGATAGACCAGGCACGCCAGGCCGAGCGAGTGGTGCGAACAAAGAGAGAGACAGAGAGATAGTTGGAAAAGGTGCTGACTCTTTCTAATACTATGTGGAGGAGGTACCTCCATTCTCCAGCTTCTTCTCTTCTTTCCAACCCTAACCTCTAACCTTTATATCGGCGTTCTCGTTTTGGCAGATAAAATGGTTAATTCGTGTTGCGTTTGTGGCATTGAAGCAGAATCAATTGNAACTTGCCAATGTCTTCAACTAATACCAACGTCGGTTTTTGATGATACAAATCATTTATTGGAACAATCTCCATTATCTGATCATCGTTATCAGATAATAAAAACTATACTAAAAAAATATTTTGAAATTAGAATGCATCATGAATGCAAAAAGTTTCAAGAAAACACATCTAGATTAAGGATGAAAAATAATAAATTAACATTATTTAAAAATCAATAAAAATTATTTATGTTGCTAATTGTTCAAATATTGTTTTTATTTTCCCTATTATTAAATTATATAACCAAAAAAATACTCAATCCATTAGTTAGAGAGCTTCGTATATTGCTGCACACGTCTACGCTTGTCTGCTAGTGCGGAGAAGGAAAGGAGGAGAATGGAGGTGCCTCCTCCACATAGCATTAGAAAGAGTCAGCACCTCTTCCAACTATCTCTCTGTCTCTCTCTTTGTTCGCACCACTCGCCTGGCGTGCCTGGTCTATCTATACAACGTCTTTGTTTGTAACGTCCGGACTTATTTTGAAACATTAATAATATATTAGTATAGATCGGAGGCCGACTTGTCTGATTTCAGATATCACTAGGTTAAATATTCACCAGGTATAGATATTTTATCCCTATGTTACTAGATGTAAGTACGTGCGCATATGTATATTCGCTCACGTTAAATATTATAATTAAAATTATAACGTCAAAGAAACGACGTATCGTTAGAGAGTCTTAAAATCGATGGATCAACTATAGACAAGAGAAACCGTAATTTCAATGCGATAAGGCACCCCGCTGCTAACATAAACAGGAGCATGAAACTTAAATCCAAACACCACTCAGGACCGACGCGGCGATATCGACGCGGTGACATCATACCGATGGAATGAATTTCTTCCATCTCCACGACTTCATCAGCCAACCAGAAAACGACTCTCAACGACAAAGCAACGTATAAAAACGCGCACATTCGTTGAGAAGGCGATTCTTTTCTCGTAATTAGCTTTTGGTACTTGTATACTTATATACTTTGGAATATATTAGTCGTAAAATCCGATTGTGTAGCAATTATTTTTGTCTACCCCTCATTTCTCGAACGTTGCGAAATTGAAATTGGAATCGCGGACGCATCATCCCGCGCAGCGCCGGAACATCCGAGACCGAGCCAGGAGAACGAGCGGCTCTGATTTCTTACCAGATTCATCGATCGTTTCGCCAGACTCCGGAGACCCAGGGTAAACTCGGTGAAAAGCAGAGTGACCTAAAAGCGGAGTCATCACTCTGTTGACCGTCCACGTAAGTCACTGATTTTACTACTTTCAAATTTCCCTATATAGTTATCTATCGTGGACGTAACACGTTGAATATAGTGGCGACTCGTAGTGGAGATTCTGGAACTAAATTACAGAAATAACGGGTCTAATAATTCCGTAAACCTGTTATTATATCCGGTGTCGATATTCGGTATACGAGTTAAGAATCTAACTCTTGTATAACTGTCTATGGCAAGTGCACGTGCGCCACGTTAAGAAATGTAGAAGCGGATGAAGAAGGACGAAAGGGAAGAGTGGAGAGATACCTCATCTTTAAAGAAAAGTAATTACTTTCGAAACATTTATCTCTAATATTCAAAGAAGAACCACAGGTTAGCGATAGGAAATATTTTACATTTCTGGCACGATAAAATAAAATCCTAATCTTAGCATTGTTTTCTTCTCAACGTTTAGCAATCACGAGATTATCTCAAGTAAAAAAATTTAATATATATGAAATGGCAGAATAATTTACATGTATATTATAATATATAATCCATGTGCATCTATTTGCAATCGTCTCCTTTATATGTGCATGCTTAACCTATCTTTAATTATAGATCTTTGTTGTAAAATTACATAGATAATTTTTAATATAATTGTTTATATATAAGTTAAATAAAAGTCAAATTGATCAAATGATACATGGATGAAAACTGAGAAACAGGCTACATAAATCATATATATTTTATAAATAGGCTTAAATAATATGATGAATTGTATTAGCATGAATTTATGATTACGTTTGTACATGCACTACCAACTGAAGAATCTTATATCATTTTATTTATATAAAAGGTATAAAGAAATTTAAGCAAATTGATCGTATTAATATATTTTTTTCAGGGTTATATATTAGCGACCAGGGCTGTATTCTCTCTCTCTCTCTCTCTCTCTGCATCATAGGACACACTGGTAAAAATTATTAATAATTTAATCTACGAACCATAGGCTATTTTACATAAATAATATGATGAAATTTTATACGTATGAAGTCGTGATTACATTTATTCATGCACTACCAACTGAAAATTTTTATATCAATTATTTATAAAAAGTGAAAAAGTTTGAACAAATAATTATATTAATATATCTTTTTCAGAAATTATGAATTAACGACCATAACTACATTCAGCATTATAGGAAATATCGGTAAAGATTATTAATTATAGTAGCTATAAACCATATATTTCTCCGTATGAACAATAGGATGAAACTCAATACATATGAAGTCATGATTATACATACATGCACTACCAACTGAAGTAAATGAAAAATTTTTCACAAGGAATGTTTTTGAAAGTACGAAACTAATTTTTATACCTTTACAGGTTGTAAAGGGTGTCCCAAAATTCATGCAAGATTTGAATTTTGCGCTATTTGTGCGGTAAAGTGCTGCCAATGAAAAAAGAAGACAGCGTGACAGTTCAGGGTTATTAAAAATGGGGCGCTACACGAAAGAACAACGCGTTTTCATTGTTGAGAAATATTAGGTTGGGGAAAAAGAAATCCATTATTTTTTCGGTAGATGGCTGTAGTGATCGATATCTCGTAAAGTATCGATCAAACAATTTCAGATTTATGCTCGTTGGAAAGATGACATTTCGCACTAAAAAAATTCTTTTGTTGTTTTTTGTTTGGTCCATTCAGTTGTGAGTTACAGGGTGTTAAAAATGGAAGTCAACAAAGAGAAAATTCGGTACATTTTACAGTTTTTCTTTGATAAAGGCGAAAATGCAAGCCAGGCAGCTGTAATTGTGAATGGTGTTATGGTGCCGATACTGTAACAGCCAATTACGTGCAATTTTGGTTTCATCGATTCCGTTCAAGTATTTTTGATGTTAAAGATGCACAGGAAGGCCCGTCATCGAAAATGTCGATAAAATCACAGAAATAATCGACCGACATGTTAGCAGTCGTAGCATCGCCCAGGAGCTAAAGATCGACCATAAAACAGTTTTAAACCATTTGCACAAAGCTGGATTCAAAAAGAAGCTCGATGTTTGGGTACTACACCAATTAACACAAAGAAACATGGATCGAATTTCCATCTGCAAAGCCTTGGCCAAACGGAATGAAATCGACCCATTTCTTAAACGAATGGTAACTAGGGATGAGAAATGGATCGACAACATTGTGCGAAAACAATCGTGGTCAAAGCGCGGTGAAGCAGCTCAAACGGTGGTCAAACCAGGACTAACGGCCAGGAAGGTTCTGCTGTGCATTTGGTGGGACTGGAAAGGAATCATTTATTATGAGTTGCTTCCATATGGCTAAACACTAAATTCGGATCTCTACTGTCAACAACTGGACCGTTTGAAGCTAGCGATTGACCAGAAACGGCTAGAACTGGCCAACAGGAGAGGTGTTATGTTCCATCAGGACAACGCCAAGCCACACATGTCTATAGTGACTCGCTAGAAACTCCGGGAGCTTGGTTGGGAAGTTTTGATGCATCCACTATATAGTCCGGCACCAAGTGATTACCATGTTTTTCTTGCATTGCAAAACTTCCTTAATGATAAGAAATTGGCATGAAGAGAAGATTGTGAAAATCGATTACTAGAATTTTTCGCCAATAGGGACCAAGACTTCTATGAGAAAAGCATTATGAAACTACCTTTAAAATGGCAACAAATTATAAAACAAAACGGTGCATATTTGACCCAAATCGAACAATCCGAAACATGTTAAATAAAGTTTTGAAGTTCACGTAAAAATAATGGATTTCTTTTCCTTCAACCTAATATTTTAAAAATAATGAAGGTTTGGCAGCTACAATTCGTAATTTTCGTACAAAATATGGTCGGAATAGTAATTTAACTTCATCAACTGCGAAGAGATTAATTAAAAAATTTAGGGAAACTGTATCAATTAGTGATCTTAAACATTCTGGCCGTCCTTCAACACAAAACATCGAAGCAGTTCGTGAGAGTGTTGCTGATGATCAATTGACTCAAGAACTGCAGCCTACTTACTCCGCACAGGAATTAAAGATCAGTGAATGGATTAAGAAACCACCACAAGTGGGTGCTTTTTCGATCCTTAGCGATGAAGCTCAAATTTTGATGATTTGCTTCATCGAAAAAATTATCGCATTTGAGAAACTCGTTCAGAAAATCTACGATTGATTGTTGAGAAACAAATGCATCCACAACGTGTTACTGGTGCGGATTTTGGGCTGGAGGCATCATTGGACCATTCTCCTTCGAAAATGCGGCTGATCAGGCAATAACAGGTAATGGTACTCGCTATCGCGACATGATAATCCAGATTTTTGTGCCTAAATTGCAAGATATGGATGTGGACGACATGTGCTTTCAACAAGAAACAATGGTGCCACATGACATACAACCCGAGAAACAATTCAATTACTGCATGAGTCATTTCCTGGTCGTGTAATTTCCTGTTTTGGTGATCAGAATTGGCCGCCCAGATCATGCGATTTAACACTGTTGGACTTTTTTCTTTAGGGTTTTTTAAAGTCTAAAGTTTATGCCAACAAGCCCACGACACCCACGCATTGAAGAAATTGAGCGCTGTATCAACGAAATTCAGCTACATTTATGCAAAACGGTCATGGAAAATTTCAACAAAAGAGTATGTATGTGCCAGCAAAGCCGAGGAAACCATTTACCTGATATTCTATTCCATATATAACTCTATACTGTATACCTTATTTATCAATAAAAAATTTACAATTTTTAATAATAAACCTGTGTTTTCAATCAAAATTACTTCTTGCGTGAATTTTGGGACACCCTATACATACGTAATAAGTGTTAATTTTACACATTTGAACTCTTTAATACGTATTAAGTAAGATTTTGAAATGTTTATTTTCAAAGATTATGGGCTCATGATAATATCCAAAAAATGAGTTGAGAATATAGAAAACATACATATTAACGGTCTCTCGCATTCATAGAGTTAACTATATTTTTATTAGATAAATATTTTGAAGTATATTTTGAGACGTCTCACTAAGGGCAAAAATTTAGTTTTCTTCTCTTGTCCCGTTCGGACGCGAAATGTAACAGCCCTGATAATAACGTTACATGGTCGTGCCTCTAGCGCCATCTGAGGTTTGCAGAGAGAATGATAGAACTAAGATATCAATATGGCATCGTGACCCGCTCAATTTGAATAGATTTTTCTTCTATGGCTGCATTTTGCAATGTAAAACGTTCCCAATAAAAAATACAATTATATATATGAGAAGTGTCTGATAAAAATATAAATATGATTTTGCCCTTATGTGATGTTCATTATAAGATTATATCGATATATCAAAATACGCTGGTAATGGCACTTTAGTACTTTAATATACTATAATACTTTATTATACAACCTAATTGACTCTTTTCGTCTTTCTCCGTCTCAAACGTGCAAAAAATTCCACTCTCATCTTTCCGTACTGAAGAGAAGAGAATCGCGCGATCGATATACCCGAGAGGTATTACAATTATGTATAATCGTGCAAATTGCTGCGCACGTCACGTAGATCAGTCGCAGATATTATCGCAAATTATTCGATTAACGTCGTATACTTATTTATATCGCAGAACGCAAAACAAATTCATTGTATTTAGACATGGAAAATCACACAATGACTATATTATGACTGAGGTAATAAAGACCGTTAAATTGACGTCGATAAAGTGACTTCTGATCCGTTTGAAGAAAGTCCAATTACGAATAGAGAAACCGCAATAAGAAATCACGCATCGTAATAAATTGCTCTCAGTTAAGTGAATTCCGTTCGTTTCGGAATTAAAGTGACGCGAATGAAATGTTCCAAACGCACATATCAATATCTCTATCCGTCCGCGTCCGCGTCCGTGTTTAATTTAATAATGATATTCGCGTATAGCGGGATGACGCGATTCGCGTCTTTTTCTAAGATCAGCGATTGCAGATCGCGAGTCGCGAGTCAAGAATGCGACGTTCCTCCTTCTCAAGATGATCAATCGTCTTATATATACGTATTCGCCTTATAATACGTATCATTTTATTCACATCGCTTCAATCGACAGCATGAAGTTTGAAATGCCATAAGAGCGGCATCAAGTCACAAACTACGTATTTGTTAATATTGTTACGTATTTGTTACGTACACTACCGATACTAAAGACTAAATCTTCATTTATCCGAGAACGAGAATTGTTACGATCGCGATTTGAAAACAAGAGTAATGTCCAACGTTTCTCTTTCTCTCTCTTTCTCTCTCTCTCTCGTGAACGTGGAACTGAAATATAGTAAGCAGAGAATTGAAAACAATGGACTTACGTATCTAACTTATGTACTCGCGTCAGTGCGCGATATATGTGTACATATGTACGATGTATATATATATATACGCACAAACCTATTAGATATTCTATATACTCATTACTCTCTTACACAATCAAGTGTGCGCACGCGTGTGTAAGTGCGAAACGGCCAAGGAGTTAGTGTGCGCGCGTTCTTTCGCTGGTGATTCGGAGTCAAGAGAAATTTCTTGCCCTCAGAATTATCGTGTACTATCGGGAGCGTCAAGCATTGTTGCAAGCAGTGCGCGAGGTACTTCGCGCGACTGTCGCGCGCACACACAATTCGTGGTGTCGTGGTCGTCGGCACATGTAGAGGAGAAACGATCGAGGAGCTGATTCTCGAACGCCGGTTTTCTCGCAACCGACCGAACTGAGACGTCTTCGTCTCGATCGATTCATCGTTCTTTCAAACGCTCGTTATTCGCTCCACCATGGAAGCTCTGATACCAGTGATAAATAAATTGCAGGACGTGTTCAACACCGTCGGCTCTGACGCAATACAACTGCCGCAGATCGTCGTTTTGGGCACGCAGGTTAGTACTCCTGAGACTCGTTGACGATCGTCGAAACGCGATCAGATCCGTTTGTTACGGCTGCGTTATGTTGTGCTATCGTTTGAGATGTGTTTGCGTGCGCTCGGCTTTCGGAGAATCAGACGGAGGAAAAAACAGTTCAAAGTATTTTGAAAATGCATCTGAAACAAACGGATCTTGGTGTTATCTATCGGATATCGGTGCCATCCGATCGTTGCATTCCTTCCTCGTCACGGACGATGTGCGATCCGTAACGGAGAGAATTTCTCGCTGCTTAACGAGCTTGAAGTTCTCACAAGTGTGTTACAGTCGAGGAAATCACTGCATACCCTTTGACACTTGTACAAATCGGAGTAATGGGGAAATGTTACAATTTTAAGTATTTTCGATTTTCATAATAATAAATCAAGAGCTAAACAATAGTGATTTCCTTTATCTCCGGTGGAATTTTGGTTTCGTGACGGTATAAAGTATGGTCTGAGTCAAGTTATGATAATATGAGATAAAAATAACATATTTTTGAATATTGCCTAATCATGATATGTTGTATCTTTCAGAGTTCTGGAAAATCATCCGTGATAGAGAGCCTAGTGGGTCGTACTTTCTTACCGCGAGGAACTGGTATTGTCACACGGCGACCATTAGTATTACAACTTGTGTACACACCCAAGGATGATCGGGAGCACAGAAGCGCGGAGAACGGGACTTTGGATCTCAGTGAATGGGGAACGTTTCTGCACACAAAAAACAAGATATACAGAAATTTCGATGATATTCGTACAGAGATCGAAGCTGAAACTGACAGAATGGCTGGAGCTAACAAGGGAATCTGTCCGGAACCGATTAATCTCAAAATATACTCAGAGTCTGTCGTTAATTTAACGCTCATAGACTTACCTGGTATTACAAAAGTACCAGTAGGTGACCAGCCGGAAGACATCGAGAGTCAGATACATGAGCTTGTACTAAAGTATATATGTAATCCTAATTCTATCATTTTAGCAGTGGTCACTGCCAACACTGATATGGCTACAAGCGAAAGTTTGAAGCTTAGTAAAGATGTTGATCCGGATGGCAGGCGAACACTGGCCGTTGTTACCAAATTGGATCTCATGGATGCTGGTACATTTTATTTACTTTTTATCGCAGTAACGTTTATAATCTGAAATGTGTGTAGCAACAATGTTATGTCTGACAATATTGTTGAATGCATTCTCCTCTTTACAGGAACCGATGCCATAGATATTTTGTGCGGTAGAGTAATCCCAGTCAAATTGGGAATTATAGGCGTTGTTAATCGTTCTCAACAAGATATAATAAACAATAAGAGTATTCAGGAGGCACTGAAGGATGAGGCTACATTCTTACAACGTAAATATCCGACGTTGGCAAACAGAAATGGAACTCCTTATCTGGCAAAGACCCTCAACCGCTTACTTATGCACCATATTAGGGATTGCTTGCCGGAATTGAAGGTAATCATAGTTGACGGCGGTTGTTAAATTCCTCGATATGAGTGAAAGCTATCGTAACTTGATTGAAATTTGTATTTTCCGGAAACAGACGAGGGTGAATGTGATGGTCGCGCAATTTCAAACGTTACTTAATTCTTATGGCGAGGATGTCGGCGACAAGAGCCAAACTTTGCTGCAAATCATCACGAAATTTGCAAGCAGTTACTGCGCCACGATAGAGGGCACAGCCAGGAACATAGAGACCACGGAGCTGTGCGGTGGCGCACGTATTTGCTACATATTTCACGAGACGTTCGGTAAAACCCTCGACTCGATTCATCCCTTGGCAGGCCTCACTAAAATGGACATACTGACCGCTATCCGCAATGCAACCGGTCCTAGGCCAGTCCTCTTTGTGCCAGAAATCTCCTTCGAGTTACTAGTCAAACGGCAAATACGGAGATTGGAGGAGCCCTCGTTACGGTGCGTGGAACTTGTACACGAGGAGATGCAGAGTATAATACAGCACTGCGGCACCGAGGTGCAGCAGGAAATGCTGCGTTTCCCTAAGCTACACGAGCGTATCATCGACGTTGTTACGCAGTTGCTTCGTAGGCGGCTCCCAACTACCAATGCAATGGTAAATTTCAAGCGTTCGCTGTGTCCGTGTTTACAATTTGTAGGATTGAATAGTAATTTGCTGATTAAAAATGAAAAAAGTTAATAACTTTTAACTTAACTTAGTTAAATTTAAATGAGTTAACTTTTAACTTAATTAAAACAAATTAACTTACTCAACCCTAACAATTTGTTTTTGCTTAATATTCAATACAATCGCAATTTCTTGTGAAAGGTGGAGAACCTGGTCGCTATAGAATTGGCGTACATCAACACTAAGCATCCTGATTTTCACCAAGACGCAGCACTCGTGTCGTCATTACTAAAGGGTGCTGATGTCGAGAACTTGAAGCACAACAAACGATTAACAAGCAGTACTCTAGTCCCAATAGAAACAGTGAGTAATGATCTCTACTTAATGTTGCTTTTAAGATGCTGATCTTCTGTATGTGCACATGCACATCATTATATCCCAGATATAATACACAGTAGTATATATATTCGTGTGTACATGTGAATTCATCCGTTCGTTCATTCATAATTTACATCATTTTACACCATATGTAATTTTGTGGTGTATTTGTGACTAATAGCGAAATATATTTCTAACAGAATGTAAAGTCAAGCAATAATCAAGATGAGATAAACTCTGTTTCTGATCAGACTAAGGAGCAAGGACAGCAAAATCACTGGCTACTAGGTAACTTACTACCGCATACGAAAGCAGAGTTAGCTGCCTCTACGGACGGTTCTCCTGTTAGAATGCGTGAAAGCAATAATGTCCCGAATTCTGGCATTGACTCAATATTTGACACACAGAGAACGTCGCCGCAACAGAAATCGATAAATTTACTCCCCGCTGTGCCAATACAGACATCCCGAAAACTTAGCGAACGTGAACAACGGGACTGTGATGTTATTGGTAAGAACAACGACTTATATTCTGTTATGTATCGCGCTATATTGCATCGTTGCTATTGTGACGCCTCCTACATCTTGATCATTTCTGTTTGGTCGTTTGCAGAAAGACTCATAAAATCATACTTTTATATTGTACGAAAGTCCATTCAGGACAGTGTACCAAAGGCTGTTATGCATTTCCTAGTCAACTACGTGAAAGATAACTTACAAAGTGAGCTCGTCACGCATTTATATAAGTCGGACCACGCTGAGGCGTTGTTGAATGAAAGTGAACACATCGCTGTTAGACGTAAAGAAGCAGCAGACATGCTTAAGGTACAAAACATAACTGTATACATTTTTTACACATACTCTTTTTACGTGCGAATAATCAACATCCCGTTATTGTAATCCCGCAGGCACTGACTCAAGCTGGTCACATCATTAGTGAAATTAGAGAGACGCATATGTGGTAATCGAATGCCTATCCTTACACCATAGGATTTTAGTTGAGTATAGGTATTACACCTGTGTTTTTAACGAACTAAGTTAAAGGATGTAATTTACCAGATGTATATGCCGAGCCGTTCGTGTACATAACTCGTGTCTTTCATGCAAGTAAGGTGTCATATTGAAGCACAATGATATATATTTCATCACCTAATTGTATGAGCATGAGAGAGGCATACAGCATTGTGCATAAAACGTGCACTTGTGCGACTCAAATCGTATTATTGTTTAATTCACACGATGAACGTGACTTAGGCTCAATTTTCTACTGATCATTCTACCAGACGTAGGCGCTCACCAGTAATCTATATTGTATTGTATTGAATTGTAAAACGTTTTTGAACGATTTTTTTTGCTGTGTTATGCATTTTACATTGTTACGTGCTTCTTCGTCACTTAATACATATTCTTACATTATCTCACATTACAATTAGAGCTGTTACAAAGACCGTTACTTATAAATGAGAAGCTTTGTACCGTGTATAATGTTTTGTTTTTGCTATTTATACATTTTCTTCTCCCGAAATAGAAAATGGATCATTATTATTAGCCAATTGTGGTTTTTTTCTCTTTTTCGCGGTTTCACTGCAGACATTTTAAACGATTGTTTCGCACTTGCTGTATAAACAACCGTTACGAGCCGAGAGATCGTCACACGGAGATAGAACCGAGAGAATTGTAGCACTGGACGATAGACTGTTCCGTTTTAATGCTCTCTATGTTAGGCTCGACCAAATATTTATTGACAAAGTGCGCGTGTTCGAATAGCAGAGGCATCGCGTCTCTATGATTGCCCTGATACATCTTGGCGATGGCGTTCAGTCTCTTCTGAATCGATTTGTGAAGTTGTTTCTCGATCTTCCGCAGGTCGATCGTTCTCTCGCACTTGGCGCATCGCGTCGTCACCTTTTGCGCAGCGTTTGCGCTCATCACTGAGAAATCCAGCGGTTCGGAGCACGCCGTACATTTGTAATTCACCGTTTCGGATAACGGAAATGTCCAATTGTGCGTGCAGGCGTCGCACTTGCACAGAAACCGATACTTCTTCCATAGGAATTCGCGTCTGGTCAGTCTGCTCTCGCTGAGAAATTGCGGCCCGTAGCAATCGAGTATCTCGGATTCCTTTCTGATGCAGCGCAGTGCTCTGACCACGACTGTTCCTGCAAGGATACTATGTATGAACCACTCGGCACAATCGGCGTCATGTATGCTGTATCATTCACTAGACATGATTTTCAGCCTTAACGCTTAAGTTTGAAAATCACAGAAGTAACTCTAATTATAATAATAGGATTATAACGGCTTTAATTATAACAGTTTCGACTTTATGTGACATATGAAAGTGACTAAAAATCGTGCACGGAGAAAAAAGATTGAATTCACGATGAACGAACCGAATACGTTTTCATCGAAGGAAACAGAATTTCTGATTCTCACAAACCAAATTTGGTTCTTACAAGCAAAAATGTCGTCTTCTTCAATGAAAACGCATTTTATTCATTCTCAGTAAACAAGAAATTATTACAACATTATTACAATAATGTTTATTATTTATAACATGTAACATTTTTAAATATACAGTTCTTAATGTTGTATGCAACGTCATTGTTAACGATATTTGACTGAAATATTAAAAATAATATTTCTACATTATGATTTTAATACTTAGGAATGTTATATTAAGTAACAGTTTAGAAACATTTATAAAATATCATGTTAAAATATCTATAAAATCCACATAAAAACAATGTTTCGAAAGATCGATTTAATGCTTCCTGAATTGTCATGTTAATCAATCTTTTTTTCCCCGTGTGTGAAATACAAAGTTTCAATCTGGAAGATGATATAGCGTGCATAACACCGACTGTAGGCCGTCAATCTCTGTTCATCAATTTTTAAAATTGACCTTTCTTCTCGGTCGTGGGCTACTTACCATTCGGATAAGAGTGACGTACCACATTGGGATAACAACTGTGATTCACAAGACTGACCGTAGTGTAAATCGCGCCGCCGATATTCCTGGGCTCCCAGACGCGAGTCGTCTCGTCGTAGACATTCTCGATGATTTCGTATGCGTTGCAATCGATCGCCTGCAAATGACGCAGCATGGCCACGGCCAACGGCACGAATATTTCCTTCGTGCAGACGACGTCCAGTTTGTTCAGCACGGAAATCAGGCATTTCGCGAGGAAGACCGCTTCGATCGCTCGAACCAGATTCACGTTAGGTTCCACATCGGCGCAATGTGTCTCCAGTTGGAGCACCGTCCGATAGTCGAGAGGGTTGTACAGCTTCTTCGTGCCCAACTCCGTGCATTTTTTGCCAATGTCGTCGTCCTCGGCCTTCGTATTGCCGTTATCCGCGTGATAGCGCAGGAAATCAGGATCCAAAGCACATTCGGCCCTTCCGCTGCTCAGCTTCGAAGTGTCCGCCGAAAACGCTTGCAAAACTGTCGTCCGATAGGCGAGCAAAAGAGAGCTCTGCTGACACTTGTTATTCGCGGCATTCTCAAAGAAGTAGTCGAATACCGAACACTCGTATCGGTGATACCTTTCCCAGGCTTCTCTGCGGCACGTTTCCGTGCAGAAGGACACCTGAGGAAACGGAAAGCGGAATTCGTATTGGCGATTCTCCAGGCGTGCAAATTCACGTAACGCGTCAGAGGGAAAGAAAGAAGAAGGGTACAAGGAGCACATTCTCATAGAAAAATATGTAATCGTGGCAATTATAAAAATTAAAAACTAGAGAAATACATAATCAAGGCGACTATAAAGGTGACAACTTTCACGAGTTTTGTACGCAGAATTAATACATATTGTTTAATAAATTGTCTTATAATTGTTGTATTCAGATTTAGTTGTGATAACTAAGGAAATAGTTCATTCAGTAAACAAGAAACATTAAATCAACCTTTCAAAACATTAATTTTATGTGAATTTCATGTAGCATTTTAACATATTTTACAAATTTTTCAAACTTACTTGATAATATAATATTCCTAAATATTAAAATCATAATGTAGAAATATTGTTTTTAATGTTTGGGTCAAATATTGTTAACAATGACGTTATATATAACATTAAGAATTACATATTTGAAAACGTTATATGTTATAAAGTACCATTATAATAACGTTGTGTTAATGATTTCTTGCTTATTATTACTTATTAAATTAAACGCATTAATTCTACGCACAAAGCTCGTATAGTTGTCATCTGTGTTATTATATTTTTCTTCGAGAAGAGTTAACACTACTAATAACAGTACTAACTGTTTGGCAATTACGGCACGGTATTCTAACGCTATCCCCTGATTTAAGTGTGACATGGCAATGCAAACAATTTCTGGCGAGAGCCGATGCGTCCGTGCTGTAGGAAAACGGCCAGTCGACGATGAGTACAGTTCCTGGTCTGATGTCTCTTGTAGCCACGAGATGCCGGCCTCGGGCCACGTCGAATCGCAGCGTCACGCTATCCTGACAGCTCACGAGGCAGCTGTGCCGTCTGCCGTCGACGACCGGCGTCGTCGTGACGCCGCGCTGCTTCTCGAGTGACGACGGGCCGGAAGAGGAGGAGGACGCCTTTCCACGGCCAGCGGTGCGCTTCTTCGCGGCCTCCAGTTTCCTGGAGCACTCCCGTTCCAGCTGAAGGCACCCCTTCCTGCGCTGCACAAAGTACTTAACATTCTCCGCGGAGTCGTCATAGAAGCTCGCCGGAAGTGCCAGCATGCACTCGCAGTCTCTCAGACAGCTCGCGTAAGCTCGCAGGCTGTAAGAACGCCTGGCGCGCTCGCAGAGCGCATCCAGAAACACTCGACCGTTCGCACTGGCCGCAAACAGTGCTTTCGTGAGAGTATCATTAGGCTCCTCCGCCTGCAACGATCTCTCGTACAATCCCACGGCCTGCGAGTCGTTCTTACCCAGGTACGAGTCGCCCGGCCTCAGCTCGTGGGCCGTCTCCGTGAGCATCTCGACCATTCCACGTCTGTCGCCGGACGTGGACAACTTGGCGAATCGAGCAGCGAGCGGCTCCTGCGAGACGACGTTGTGCACGGCGCGACGAAACTCGTCGAGCGAGACGTACCTGCAACACGACGGGGAGTGCGTTTTTGCGAGGAGTCGAGAGTCACAGTCGCTTCCGTGTATAAAATAAGGAGCGAGCGTATCATGAGACGACGAATGAAATTTTGTCATTGTTTCACGTTATCGAGGCAAACGTACCGACAAACGACAAAGATAATTGTGCCTATCTGTGTGCTACGACCTATCAGGACCTGGATGATTTTTACAGAAATAAAAATAACGATGTGCGCAAAGTAACTGGGAGATCAGCAACCGACATTGGGAAAATTCCCCTTTGTATAAATCGATGTCATATTATAACATACGCATCTGTGTAAGAATGCTTTCGCTGAGAAATGCGTGTGTGACACTGATCCATCATTATTCCTCGATAGATGTCAATCGCACCAATCGCGGGACAGAGAGTTTCGCTCAGCGTAGAAGGAATTTCCAGAGATGTGTGCGCTGGACATTTTCACTTTTTCTCGCTGCACGTTTGATATTGTACGCTTGATATACAACGTAAAAGGCATACATCGCCCTCCGACAACGCACGTGCGTTATCGTGTTAGGATCTTTGTCATTTGAAACGCTTTTGTCATAAATTACGTTACATTTTATTGCTTAAAACAAGGGACTTACAAACTTACTACACTTATTGTAGATTCGGATTTACGATACGTGCGTTTGAGGACACGTACGAATCGCTGGGAAGAAATTCCGAGAATTTTGCGCGCTAAGCGCACACATATTTGGAACGCGACCGGTAGCCTTAATTTTCCGCAAACGAATCCGCCATATTTCCCTATTGCTCTAAATTTATCGCTGTAAATTTAATCGAAGACCGAAATAGCGACGAGCGATGGCCGGCCCAGTCACAGACTGGCGCGGATGCGATATTCCAATCGCCGATGAACGGGGTGTCTCATTAGAGCGACAGTCATCTTACATCGGATCGACGGTATATGCATAGTGTGAAACATAAATACTCATGAGAGATAAATGGATCTGAGTGAATAAACGAATGGAAACGATGGCTACAGATATAGTAGCCGTAATCGTGATGCTGGCTTACCCCTTTTTCGCCAGAGACATTCTCGTGATCGTTATCACTATCGGGACAGATCGATTTTGTATTTGATATAACATCTACGAACTCCGCTCCCCTCGAAATGGAGACACGAGTACGAGACGGATTCTAAAATTAGATGCTAAGGCTGAAAGTTCCGCGTATATCTGTCCCCTCTTTCGAAATGTAACAATTCGCGGCCTGCAGGAAGTCGCACGAGAGACGGACCGCCTCTACGATTTGTCCCTCCTTTTTTCTGCGCACCGATAGAATGTACAAAAATCTGCTTTAATAACGGAAATAAATCAATTATTAAAACTCGTCTCGCTAGCGCCTACCGTGACAATCAAATCATTATAAGTACAATAGAAGTGTAACTAAGGCAAGGTGCATGCAATTGGCTTTTCTCCGCACGGTTCTTCGTCAAAGTAAATCAGCAGATTTCCCGTGAGTGAGAAAATTCGTGGGAAAAATTAGCTCGATCGTCGTCTTATCAAAAGTATGTTACACAACGTCAACGTATCGTCAAATGAGATTCGAGCAGATTTTCGATCGAATGTAAAGTAATGGACGACCAAAAACGCGACGTTCAAATTTAACGCGCCATTAAGGCGCAATCGCAAAGGTCAACTTCAACATCGTGAGTTTGTTCGTTTTATCTTTTCATCTTCTACACTCTCCTTCTTTCTCTCTCTCTCTCTCTCTTTTCTGCGCGGCTGAATATATATTTGTTTCGTTCTAAGCGTAAAACGAAACTGGAATGAACGGACTTTAATGTGTTTCATTCTCGAACCGTTGCTTCGCATCTTGTGTTTCATGCGATTTTGACACTATCGGTTGTCACATGATAGCGACGGGTGTGCGTGATCTCTTCCTCGGTCTCTCGATGCGGAGACTAATGATTTATTGAAGAGGAAACCGGGATATTTGATCTTTCCGAAGCATAGATAGTAATTTGGACACTCTGTGAAATCTTCCGTGAGTCGTATCGTGTGCACACGGTGAAACTTAATTTCGTAAACATGAGATACATTGTAGGTGCCACTTTCGCAGTCACCGCCTCCACAACGATCCTTATTTTAGGTATCACTTTATCATATATTTATTTACAATAAGCAATATAAATAACAAAATGTAAGATGGAGCAATATGCTTGTGGCAAGTTGCCTCACTGAATTCACTTGTTTTTCGCCAAGTCGTATTCTTACATGTTCGTTACATTACAGTTTTGTATTATGTACTTACTGGCAAGGGAGAGCAAATTAGCATCGCATGGCACGTATAATCATATATTTGTGTGTCCTGTTTAATATGTGATATGATAAAGTACTAAACATTGTTTATTTTTCCAATTCAGGTTCTTGACAAATACTTCCCCTTTCATGTGGTCTACACTGGGCATAGGTCTGGCGGTAGCTTTGTCCGTAGTCGGCGCAGCATTGTGAGTTTTGACATATTTATGGTCTTATCAACAGTTTCTATATAATCAAGTCACTGATCGTAGTAATCGCTTTTGTAGGGGTATCCATACAACAGGGGTATCTATTGTTGGTGGAGGTGTGAAAGCACCCAGAATCAAGACGAAAAATCTGATCTCTGTGATATTCTGCGAAGCTGTCGCCATTTACGGCCTGATCACTGCCATTGTCTTGTCTGGAATGCTTGAGGAATTCAGTTACAATGATCCTAAAATCAATTTAGAAGATACCATACGTACGAACTCGATGGCTGGATATCTGATGTTCGGTGCTGGCCTAGCTGTTGGACTGGTCAATCTTTTCTGTGGCATAGCAGTTGGCATCGTTGGCTCTGGTGCTGCTCTTGCTGACGCAGCCAATTCCGCTCTTTTCGTTAAGATACTTATCGTAGAGATCTTTGGCTCTGCTATCGGACTCTTTGGTTTAATTGTTGGTATATATATGGTAAGTTAACGATTTTAACAATATATAATGTCAAAATTACGAACGAATGAACTTACTCTTGATTATCTGTATGATGTTCCCATATGCTTTCTTGCAGACATCTAAAGTAAAGATGGGCCCTATAGGGTAAAAGTAAGTTACAAGGGAGCGAGCGGTGACATATTATTGGGATCATAATATTCCATTCCACATTTAGTCAACAGTAAAAGATTCTAGACAAATGATTGCATATCTTGGAAACCATTGTGCGAACTTATGTGAATTTTATAGGTACCAATGAATGTGAAGATTTATATTACTGCCTGTTGCTAATTTGGATCTTATAATCTTTAGAACGATCTAATTTAATTACCTGCTGCTCCAATATCTGTAGTTATTAACGTGGTGTACGTTATATTGTTTCAGACAAAACTTCCCTATTTTTGTTGTGTAACATAAAAGTGTTTAAAATTAATTTAGAAATTGCGAATAGGTACACCAGTTTTTTTTTTATCGATATTAGAAAACAACATAATTTTCGTTTCGTACTTTGAGTGCGTTGTAGCGCTCGCATTTACGTAAGTCAATGTACATATTTTCTTGGTAACATGAATAATGTAATAGAATAATATAAAACAGTATCTGTATTAATTTATTCTCCATACGTATTAATCGTTGAAAAAATTGTTGGTTGAAAATTGTATTATCGGCAGTTATTCGAAAATTAGGAAACAGCCGATGTTATACTCCAAAAGTGTTAAAAATATTTATTCAATATTATATAAAAGTTTCTGATTATCGCACAGAGCTGGTTATAATTACTTTTACCTTCTGTTCGAAATATCAGAAAACGAAACTTGCTTCTACATAGACAAATAACATGATTATAATTTCATTCTTGTATGATAA